CCTTTGAGCAGGGGAACACATCATGCAATTAAGTTATTGTTTTGTGGCGGCTTGCTTGTGAGCACGTGTGTTTGTCATCTATGTTTGACGTCATTAAAGCGTGACCTTGCAAAACGTAGACTGAATACTACATTGTGCTGGACATGCGGTTGTGTCGGTATCTGGCCAGTGCAGACACAGAAACAGCGTTTTCAGACCGTCAAATCCGTCGCGCGCCTCAGCGGATTGCAAGGATGGCAAGTGCAAGCCGTGCAAGTATGTCAAGCGCAAGGCACGTGGAAGCATGTCTTTCAGAAGCCTTCCTGTCTTGGTGCGTGCACGGCCCGATTGCATTCACGACATCGGAGTTGAATTGCTCAGGGTGGCTGCACGAAAGATGACTGTGCGTTTTGCGTCTTGGTCGCTGATTGGGGTCCTCGCAATGCTTGGCATGTTCACGTGCCGAAACTTCGAGGTCACACGTGCTTCTACACCCGTGGTGCTTGAGTGAAATTTGCGCATGTGGGGTCGGGGTACCGGGTAGATCTGACTGCCGAGAGGCGATTGCCGAGAGGCGAGTTGGAAAAAGAGGTGCACACAAGGCGTTTCAATTTGAGTCATGCAGACCTCGAGTCGTCCTGGGCCTAAGTGAGCACTTCTGAGTTGGCCCATGGACGTACAGTCACTGCGGAGGCATGCCTGCAAGCTCCACCAACAGGTCCTTTTCACTTATAAGTAGATTATAATCCACTCATAACGGACTTGTAATCCACTTATAAGTTGTATAAGTAGAACGTATAGTTTTCAGTTACTTGACCTACTTATAAATTACTTATACATCAACCGAGGTTTCTACTTACAACCGAGTTAAAATCTACTTACAACCTACTTATGATCTTGTTTTTTCCAATCTTTTTGACACACACATTTTTTCGAGTGTCCTACATGGTTTGGTGTAAATTCCTGTTCCTGCATTGACTGACAGAATGATGCGTGGGCAGGTACTTTACGCGGAATCGTCTGCAGCGCTTGGGCTCTGAGGTGAACGTTCTGTAGCGTGTCTGCTGCAGTGAAACATGGCTACGAGAGTCCTGACTTGGGAAAGCGCTTTCCCTCCGAAAAAATAAGCAGGCAGCGGTTCACCCGCTTTGCTGGGGAGGCTTGGTGAAAGGTTCCGGTTTCCCTTAACCCTAAACCTCAAGCCCAAAAAACCTGTATACGCCCAGACCACTTGCCCTGAACTTTATAAGCTTCGCTTTAAGGGTCGTGCGTTCAGGTTTCTGGTTTCAGGGCATGGCTTTCAAGGATTTCAGAGAGATGTGCTCAGAGTCCTCTTGTCCGCCGAAGTCCGCGGACACATCATGACGTTGCTTCGGGAACGGGTCGTCGGAATGTCCGCCGATCATTAGTAAAGAGTAGCCAAGCCTTGCATCCTGAATATCTAAACAAAGAGGAATGTCCGCCCAAGTCCGCCGAAGTCCGCGGACGGATTTCAGATTTGTCGCGACAGGGGAGGGATTGTGACGGACTGCCTGCAGAGTTCCGGCGAGCTGGGGTGGCAGCTGGAATTGTTGAGCCCCGTCTCGAAGGAGAAATGGGGATCTGTCTGGCGGAAAACCGGTCACATGGGGGTCGTTTTGGCGAAGTTTCACCAGCTGCCTTTGCTACCTACTTGGCGGCGTTTTGAAGGGGACCTTGTCAAGTGTCTTGCCTGAAGGCTGCGCTTGCCGATAAAACCAGCGTAGAACGATGCTGCAAACAGCGGTGTGCCCGCTTTGGCCATAAAGAAACTTTCGCTCGCATGGTCGTCCACTGCATTGCATACATGAGTGTTTCCTACACATAAGCATTTTGTATCTTACTCAAAAAACACTATGTTTTAAAAAATGCTTACCTCTCAAACATTGGTTTTTGAAAAAACATCCTACTTACGAACTACTTATAAGTAAGTTATAACTTCGCCCAAAACCCTTCCGCGTAACTAACTTATACCGGCTAGCTAAGTAACTTATAAGTACCATAAGTGAAACGGTCCTGTTGGCATGTGGCCAGGCCCGGAGTGAGGGGTGGAGATATGTGGGACATGTTCGCTTTGCTGGCTCTTGTTGCTTCTGGCTTGTTGGTTTGGGAGGCTCCAACCCTAGACCTCACATCATCAACCCAACCCACGCTTCCACCCCATTTCACTCGCCCGTTAGATAGTCGCATGTTAGTCTGATCTGAAACCTCGAACGTTTTGCAGCGGTAGCGCCTTTCATACGTTTTCCGGTGCCCAAGCCGTGGGCCCCTGGGCGCGCCATTTGGTGCGATTGCTACACAAGTACCTGCCTGAATTGCACTGCGGCTGACAAAAAGATGGCATAACTTCGATGCTGACAGAGATGCATTCCATTGTGAGTCTCAGCACAGGACAGGGTTTGTCAATGAGAGGTGCGCCGTTGCATACATATAAAGTCATGTCACAACCTGGGTCCATTCAGCTTTTGAGACCGTGTGAAGTGTCAAGATGGAACTGTCCACGGATGACTGCTTTGGAGCTCATGCTCACAGAGCGCAACACAGAGACACAATGAATTCCGAAGTAGTGGTGATATGTTGGGTGATACGTAGGGGGAGTGTAGGAAAAATCCTGGCTGCCGGTACTATTACCCAGAAACATCCACAAACGGAAGGGTGCTGCTAGCTGAGCCCTGGCGTAGATTCCACGAGCTTCCGGATTCACGGATGCGTGGGGACTATGCGGATTATCCTGCTGCGAAGGAGAGAGCCCCAGCCTTTGCCAGCATGTGCCAAATCCTAACGGCTCTGTGAGTATGTAACGGTTTATGTCAACGGCTTCGGGACTTGTTTGCGTCTGCAGGCTGACTTCGTGCCTCCGGTGCCTTCCTGCACTCCACCGACGCCATCGCCAATGCCACCGCCTCCGATCCCAAACTTGGCAATGAGGCAGGGACTTCCTTAGACCTGTACTGTAAACCAAACAAACAAGCAAGCAGCAAGCATGAAGCGCCAAATGTCGGCAGCACAGGCCGCAGGTGCACAACAGCCAAGATGCCGTTTTGCCTCTGCCTGCGGGGTTCTCAGTGCCAAAGGGGTCAAAGGCCTTTCCAAGGCCCCAAAGCTCACCAGAGGAGAGTTTGCGCACGCTCCTGACAAGCTCTTTGAGGTCTCCCTGGAGCAGATTTACTGCGGGGCCACGCGACGCGCCAGCCTCCAAGAGATCTGCCGTCATACAACGTGCTACTGAGTCCTGCTGCAACATTGTGCGAGCCAGAGCACCACGTCCCACCAACGGTATGAGTTCACTTGAGTTTTGCCAAACCAGCGAGGTGCGTGTTCATGCAGAGCAGCTGCGAAGAGCAGGGTATGCGGTGTTGCAGGCACAGCTGGCAACTCACCGCTACTTTGCACCACGTTACCACACAGTATTCACAGAAATTCACCGTAGGATGTGTTCGATGTGAAGATTCCCAGCGGCGCTCCAGATGGTCACCGAGTCATCTTCAAGAACAAGGTCCCGGCCAAGATTAGCATCAGAGCCTTTGAATGTCCCAGCACATGTTGAAGAAAGGGTCCCCTGATATTTTTGTTGCCCCAGCCAGAGAAAAACAATGTTCATATATGTTCATGGCCGGTAACATAACGCAGTTAAGCAAAAGAGCAAGACAGCGTGCCATCCTCGCAGTGCTTCGAAGGGCCCCTGCCTGGCCCAGTGCACCATGTCACTTCTGCGGCACGCTTCTCCACAAAATCCGGGTGGACACTATATATGTGCAACATTCGACCCGCGTGAGGAATTCTCGCATACACCAGTTCCTGTGAAAACGGGGCTATCCCCGAGGTTGCACATACGCCTGTGGCACAGTACCCTCTCCTGTTTGCATGTGTTGTCTCCGCGCCACCTTCAGAAGTAGGAGCTCCGCGCCCAGAGTGTCGGGGGGCTATCCCTGTGCAGGTCCCTCCTGAGTGTGCCTTTGGAGTAGAGGGGTGAAAAGGAGAATAAGAACAGAACAGGGAGGAAAGAGAAAGCACTTCCTGGCAGATTCATACTGTCACTGCAAGCGTGAACACACCCCCTCCCCCGGTTCTATCGGCCTGTCGGCTCGTCGTGTTCTTTTTTTTAAGATTCTGCCGAGCCACGTGTGCGTGTAGTGTGTTGGGTCAGAAGCCTTCACGAGCTCCAGGGTCATGATGTTTTGCGAATCTTGTGCGAGACAAGATCAGTGGCTCCTCTGACCGAGTTTGATAGCTGTCAGTACATGTACGTAGTTCAGGCCTTACTGCAGGTCTTGCGGTGTTTAGGGCGCTTCAGGCATCTTGAGCCGGGACGATCAGGCTTAGAGAGCCGTAGGAGCAGAGGTAGGGTAATCATCTTACGTTCTGTTCTTTCAGCAGCGCAGCCATTAATCACAAGGCCAAGCCCCAAATAACGAAACGCGCTTGTGAGTCGGGGTTTCCTCGCTGTACAAATATGATTCCTTATATGGCCTTTCCCGTTTTTGCCAAGTTCTGCGCAGGTCTGCGGAGGGGGCGACGTCATCTTCGTTTTGCAGGTGTCGCTACATTTTGGTTTCGGCATTTTCAGGATCCCATCGGTTGCGTGTGACCATGAGACCTGGTCAGGAGATGGAGCACGAATCCTGGGCTCGGCAGGGCTGCCACCTGCTCACTGCTCAGATTCGCCAGATTGTGGGCACTCTTCGGCTCTGCGTTTGTGAAGCGCGCGGTGTCTGGAGGTTCATCCAGCAGACCATCTCCTTAAGGGAGGCAGTCTCTTCCTTTGCTTGCCTTTGCTCGCGCATATCTGTGTTCAAGAAAAAAACCAGCATGCTGGCGGCATCATGCGGCATCCACGTTCAAGTTCTGGAGGCTTGGGTTCAAGGCAAGAGAAAAAAGAGCGTGGCGCCTGAAGGCCGCAGAGTACAGAAGTGCAGCTCAGACCGCCAACCCCGAAAAAGCACCCAAAAAGCAGCCCCCAGCAAGAGCAAGCAGCAAGAGCAATCACAAAGCACCCTTCCACCATGCCGCCGAAGCTGGCGCTCAGCTTGGCAGCAGCGGCTCGCTTGCAGAAATGCGTTGCGTCAGGCTTTGCAAAGCAGCAGGCAGGCGTTAAGCTCCACATGTTAAAGCGTCACAGCGTCATTGTGCAAGAGCTCCAACGGTCTCCGAGCTTGTGCTTGGATCTCGGAAACGAAGTCAGTGTCAGAAGGATGCTGAGCAGGTGGCTTCCCTGCACGCCTGGCAAAGGCACGCAGGCCCGCTGAGTTGCTGCACCGTGAATTCTGAAGCACTTCGCTAAACGGCATCGCCCAGGGCCAACATCGCAACTGTCCCACCGCCAAGTGCGGTTTCGGGGTCGGGCGCTCGTGGTCAAGGGGTTTGGGCCGAAGACAACGTTGGGTGGTTCATGGAGTTCCGGCATGAGGGTCCTGATTTTTCGCTGCCATTACGCAGGGCATTCCCATGCCCTGTGCTCTGAGCCCAACACGTTGAGGTCCGTACAGCCCGCGATGCTCGGTTTGCTGCTCGGGCGAGGCCGAGCCACATGCTCGATTCTCAGATGAGTCAGTTTGCGCATTGGTTGACTTGGATGCATCGAGAACTTGCCAAAGCCAACCGCAAGATGTTGTCATGAAGAAGTGCTGCCCGGGGGAGCATTTGTTCGACATTTTCGTGCCCTTCAGAGCTGCAGAGCTGCAGAGCTGCAAGCTTGGATTGGTAGGCCTGGTAGGCCTGGCCAGACTCCTGTAAAGAGCTCGTACCACGTGTAGCGGCGCACCTCGCCACGAGTGGAAGCAACTCGCTTCCTTTGAGGCAAGCGGTGAGGCAAGAACTGGAGGAGCAAATGGCAACCGCTGGATTGGAGCCCCTTAGGAAGAGCAAACCGGTCGAGTTTCAAAAGCCACCAGCAACACCAGCAACACCAGCAACACCAGCAACAGAAGAGGCGGATGAAGTAGAAGACAAAGCAGATGGGGCGTTTCATCGTCTGGACAGCGTGCGTTGTCCTGCACGAACTATCGGTGACTCAATTCTTCCGCATGCATTGAGTTGCAATAACACTTTGTGGCAAGAGCCTTCGAAGAAGGATGGAAACGGAAGCATGTGGGCACCGTGGGTTATGCCGTTCCTGCGGCTTCTTGCTTCTTGCTATGCTTGCGCATTTCTTCGTGCCGGATTGCGGGACAAAAGCGGGTCTGCGGCGCTGCGAAGGTGCAAAGTGAAAAGCGCAGCTAGGATTCCAGCAAATGCACATCCGCGAGCTGCGAAATGCAGAAGGGCAAACGGGTCAAACGGATGGCTTGACTTCAGGCCCGAGCCAGAGCCAGACAGCCCTCGGCAAGGAGTGCTCAAGTTGCGTTCACCATGAGTGTGAACATGTTGCAACTAGAAGCCATGAGCTCTTCAGGACAAAGCTTGACAAGGCACGCGGCTCCGAAACTAAAGCTTTCAGCATTTCCACGTCGACGCGCCAAAGGTTGAGGACTTCGTGCGTGAAGGACCTGACGCGTTGGAAGACATGGCTGCAGTTCGGATAACTCCAATCTTGTTCCAAGCTCGTAGCTCCGTTTCGGAACTCTCTGCGTTTTCGAGTGGCTTCCGCACAGGGGCTTCAAATCTGTGAAGACATGTAGCGCCAGCAATGCCAAGTGAAGGTGTATCCCCGGCCGCATGAGTGTACGAGCCTCGAGCCTGCGGCAGGACCGCTCTACAAGAAGCTCTTGTTGTGCAGCTCTCCACCAAGCAGTGTTGAGTGGCTCCGACATGGCAAGGCGCAGCTTCAAGAGTATGAAAAGTTGATGCGGAACACCTCGCACATATCTTTCCAGAACGAGGTCGTGGTTGCCAGCGCCCCAACACAGTGAAGTGACCGGTACCTCAGTACAGAACGCGCGGAACGCGGAAGCCGAAGAACACGGAACCAGAGAATGGAGCCAATGGAGCCCAAGTCCCAGGAGATGCTCCGAGACCGTGAGGTCGGAGCTTCCGCACTGCCCGAGGACCTGGGAGACAAGGCGCGATCTTCTCGGGCTTTCGGGCACCGAAATTTACGTACTTGATGTACTCTCGCGTGCAGTCAAGACATAACTGCATAACTCTGACTCTAGCTGTAAGATGCGGCCCTGAGCCCATGTTCTCTCCCGCCGCATCATTTCAACAATGCACTACTGCACCTCATATGCACTTTGGCGATCTTCCGCTGATTTAGACGTCCCATCTTCCTGCAGATGTCCCGCCGCATCTACCACCTGTACTTGTCAGGCTCCAAGATGTTCCCAGCAGCACAGATATGGCACGATATAGCGCGGGATGATTTATGATATTGGCGTTTCCAAGTTTCCAAGGCCGATTTTCTATTGGATGCGGCAGCAGATGCTTGAGCTCCGCGCAGCCAAAGAGCTGAGGTGCGCTGCATCGCACAGTTGCAGATGCCTGGATTATGCCAGCTGAGTCAGTAGAGTAGCGTTTTTGCAAAATGAGCTGCTGTAGGGGCGAGCGATCTCAAACGATCTGCTTCGGTGTCTCTGCGCATGGGCCCTAAGGGAACACCGATAAGACACAAATCATACCAGTCGAGATGGGATGAGATCTGCTAGCATGCTAGAAAGAATGCGGGTTTTTCTGAGGCCTCAAGGTTGTGGCAAGACTACCATGACCTCGCTGCTCCAAACCCTCTTCCGGTCGGATGGCCTCAGCTGTGAGGCGCTTCGGCCACTAACTCCTCAAGGAATCTCTGGCCATCACTGGCCTCATCTAGCTCTTGTTTTCTGTTTTTTTCAGGATGTTTCTGTTTCAACGTCTCCACAGTGCCAACAATCGCAACGTGGCGTTGCCGACAGTCGCTGTCGATCGACGATTTCTACATTCCAGCCAGCCGGCTGAAGGCTCGTTGCCCAACCGTTGTTTACCAACCCTATGACCGAGCCCCAAACCTGCCAAGGAAGCGCCTAACGCAGACCTGCGCAGGCGGTGTCGGACCTGAACCCGGAGAATCCTCTGATGCAGTGGGGACTCTCAGCAAAACAGCTGCACAAGTGTGCTCATATGGGTCACGTGAACGTAATGACATGTGTTGCCGAGGACCCGTGGAAATGCCGGCACGCACGATGTACAACTGGGCATAGAGACCCTCCAGGCACAAGCAGCACAATGCGTCGAGCCATTGTACAAGCATGTAGAAGCTCAGTGAAATGCAGGAGCCGTGTGTTCACGTTAAAGGTTTGGGGACCTGAGTTGACTGGATAGGCCCTGCGGACATTCAAAGAGGATGAGGCTCGTGATACCAACCGATTCGCATGCATCTGTTGCAGCCGACACTGCGCGTGTGATGCTGTGTTGAGTGAGTTAGTCACTGAGAGACCCTTGTTGGTTTGTCGGTCTGCCTGCCATCTTGCCCGTCTCTGTGTGTGTCTGCACAGCCTGACAGAGCTCTACCACTTCGGGATGTGTAGTTTGATCTTGTGATCAAGAACACCTGCTTAGCGATGAGATTCAGAGATCTCCGTAGCGATCTCCTCGCGGTTGCTTGCTCGCTTTCCCGAAGATGTGTGAGCACTCGGGGCTGCAGATGCTTTGCAGTATCGAATTTCTACAAGCACCGAAGATCCACTCCCACGACGATCTACTAAGCACTGTCGAACGAGGGTGTGTTTGTGTGTGTGTGTGCCCGCGTGTGTACGTGCGCGCGCACGTGGGTCCGCGTGCAAAGTGCAAACCATTGCAAGCCTTACACAGCCTTTCGGTTTGTGTTGTGCCACGCCCCGGGCCCTTCTTTGTGCTCGTAACTTTCGTTGGCCTCGGCTTGCCCTTGGTGTACGATCGTCTTTTGTCGGGTCGAGTTTGCCACTTCCATCAAGGGTTTGCGGCACTCGCACATCGTTGCCTCGGAAAGCACATGCTAAACAGAAGTCGCCACGAACCACGAAAGCTTCCAAAGCCATGGCAAACCCATGATGGTCCTTGAAAGCGGCACATCTATGGGGAAGTGGCTCTGAGGTGTGGAAAGTTTAAAGGATTACAGTTTTTAAAGAGGAGCCGTTTTGAGAGATGTCGGCACTGAGTATGGGATCCCCAGGGATCCCCAATGATCCCCAGATTCGCAGGATGCCGCGGAGCCGTTTTGAGAGATGTCACGTGGCATTTGACGGTCTTGAGTCATCCGAACTTTATACACCAAGCATGCAGAAAGGACTATTTTCACAGTGGGCACGAAACGAGGCAAACAAGACAGCGCGCGCATGACAAAACAGGCTCTCACAGACAGGTGCGTGCAATCACAAGCAGAGCAAGTCTCGGACTTTGTTCGAAAAGCTCAAGTTTGCTTCTCGATTTGCTTAAGGTTGCCCTTCCTCGTTATGACAAGTCGGCACATGATGGCAGTGGCGATCAGGCGGGCACAGTCCGACAGAACAGTTGAACGGAAGTCTGCAGGAATGGTTTGTGCTAGGCGCTATGCAATTCAAAGCCTGCCGAATATGTCGGGCTCGTCTCACCCCATTACACAACAGACAGGGGGAGGGCGGTTGGCGGCAGATAATCCGCACCCCGAACGTGACGCTTGTTGTGGTGGCAGCCGAAGTTGTCTGCGAGGTCCCGAGGGCGAACTGGGAACATGCCCACACTCCCTGCGATGTCGTGCTTTTGGAAGGCTGGCCAAGAACTGAGATAACATGAAGACAACAGACGGGACGGGGGACCAAGCTCGGGGCGTCTGCGGCCAAGGATGCTTGGCTTCAAGCCCAAATCGGAAGCAGAGGCGTTGGAGTACTTCCTGCGGGAGAAGGGAGGGCAGTGATGGTCCTAGGGGGCTCGCTCCTGTGAGGTCGCTCGCATCCATCCCGGTCTTGTTCTGGTGAACCAGAAATTGAAGGATTACCAGGCCGGGTATTCAGCCCTCACGGGCCCTTCCTTCCTTTTTTTCTTCCCGTGCCACGTGTGCGCATGTCTCTGTACTTTGTGATTCATGCCTAGCAATGGTCGTACCGCTTTCGATTTCGAGGCACCGAATCCCGTGAGGATGCAGCCTTTGCATGCACCGAATTGAAGTTTGTGACCAGGCTGGAGCAGAGATCTGGGTTCCCCGGAATAAGACAAAAACACGGCGAAGCCCAGTTTGCACTCAGCCGGTGAGCATGGCCGAGGGGATTGAACCGGCACAACTAAGAAAATCCGTCCCCGGGACAGCCCTAAACCCACCAAGCAAATGTGTGCGCAGTATGTGCTCAGGGACGGATGGCTCAGCATCCCTGGCACAGTAATCCGCTACAAGCAGGAGGGGAGGGGTGTAACCAGCGCACATCGCATTGCAAGTGCTGAAAGCTGTCCCTCACCCTTTGAAAGGATTAAGCAACTGCCGCCAAAATTGCACTCAAAAGAGGTCATCCTGCCCAAGCCCCATGAAATACCACGAAGACTGAGGCTAACGATGCACTCACTATGGCCGATTCAGATTTCGTCGTTCTGACACTTGCACAGGACGTTTTCAGGACCTTGTCCGAACTGGGAGATGCTGCACTTGCCGCGGTCAATCAGCACACGTGGATCCTTTGCAGTGAACTTGGCCGAGACTGGTTTTTTAGTGCCTTTTTTCTTGGTGCAGGCCCTCATGGATGTCACAGCCCCAGGGATACAGACTTTCGTCTGACAGTGGAACTTCTTAGTCATGACGACATCGCTTCCCTGCCTACTGGCTTCGGCGAAAGATTTGGGAAAGATGGTGACATCCACTTGGCCTCCGTTGCTTGTGCCCTTGCCCTGGACACACCACACGTCCTCCACTTCCACTGTTGCCGTCATGTCAGTCACGGTCTTCACAAAATTCTGCATACCATCATGCAAGCGCGCCTGAACACCGTCAGCAAACCCATGGCTACCCTGAAGGCCATCAAGCGCGTTTCCACTGGTCCGTACCGAGTCATGCACTGTTGTGAAGAGAAAATGCCCACGTGAGTTGCAAGGAAACTTGCTCGTGCCGACGCCGGAAACATCAGAGAAGCATTGCCACACCCCAACAAAAGGATCACGAATGGCTGCCAACCTATCCGCGGGCAGCTGCTCCAATTTCACCCCCTCCAGAAAAGCAGTCGCAACCTGAAGTGCAAGCGCCTTCAAGTGGGATCTCCAGGAAATCAAACTGGCTCCTATACGACCTTCAAGTTCCCCTCGAAGAGCTCGTAGAGAGATTTGACCAAGTTCTATGAGCATGGGAATTGCATGGCAGACGTGCTCTCTGAGGGCCGCGTCCTCAATGATGACAGCTTGGTCTTGGCGGCTCATGACGTTCCGCTTCCCCGCAGGGCCATTCAATGCAGAACTGGGGCTCTAGCAATACACCTGCACCGCAAACTACAGGCGCTCGATCCAGAACCCTGCAATGGTCGTAACAAATGTCGACTTGCAGCTGCGAAAGAGTGACTGCCTCGCCAGGGACCTTACTAGGTGCGTCAAGGAGCAATTAGCAGCTGTAGCTATCTGCCGCCATTCTGAGAAGGCGATTCATAGACACTGCGTGCATGGAACTCGCGGAACGCCGAACATTTGCCCAATCAAAGTTTCTCTCGCTCATCTCTCCTTCTCGGTCGTCTCTCCACCTCGCTTTGTCGGTGGCTGATGGCTCATGAAGTTCATGCTTCACACTGCTTACAACGCAGGCCTGGGATGACCAGATCGACTCCTTCTGCGTTTTTGCAGTGGATGACATCGACCAGGCGGCCCAGAGAGAGAGAGAGAGAGAGGGCGGGGGGGCCCAAGCGGCCCAAGTGAAGCTCTGGCGAGATCAGTAGTCGGACCCTCACAGAGATGCATCGCAAACACCTGGATTCCCGATCGCGAGCCTCTTAACGCTGTTGCATGTCGAGTGTTCGAACCTAGTGGCGATCGTGATCGGGTCCGTGCAAGGCACGCTGAGTAGGTGCCCCATGTGTCAGGTGCATGCCCCGGATTAAGGTTCAGGTCTGTGTTTGTGGTGAGGTGAGTGGAGCTAGGTCCAGCTTTGTGTTTGGGGTGCCGGGAGCGCTCAACAAACTATAGCCTTTCGGTGAGTGTCACAGTTCCTTGCAATTCGCTGGAACCGTATAAGGGGGGACTGAGGAAGAGAAAGACTGACGAAGAGGTTCGGAAGACTGACGAAGAAGAAGAAGAAGACGAAGAAGAAGAAAAAGTAGAAGAAATAGAGAGAGAAAGAGAGCCTCTGCCGTGCCATGTCTGTGTGTCACCATGCCAACCCTTCACAATGCTGGGACGCGCGGATCGCGGGGGCTCCGGCCCTCAAGCCCCCAAGTGAAGTGAAGTGAAGAGCGAGGATGTCGGCCGACCCGCCTGGCCATCACGGCCGGGCCCCTTCTAACCACCCCTATGCCCTAAGCCCGGTTTGAAGAAAGAAGAAGCAGCAGCAGCAGCAGAAGAAGAAGAAGAAGAAGAGGAAGAAGAAGAAGAGTGCCGTAAATGCCCGTGACAGCCTCGGACAGGTGTATGCTTGGCGTCAGCAGGCAGAGACGGAGATGAAGCAGACCCGAGGCGTATCAGGGAGTAGCCACCAAAAAGCCACAGACGGCCACCAACCAAAAACACAAGACGTCCTGCATTGTTTAACTTCTAGAGTCCTAGAGCCAACGATGGTAGTACTCGTATACCTGCTCAGTTGTGCTCTACTCAATTTGCGTTATGCAGGCGCGGGAATGACACCGGAGGCTGTGAAGAAGTTTATTGACAACTACATGCCAGCATATGCAGCATACCGTGGAATCCTCAGAAGTGGTTTTGGCTCCTGACATCCCGCGGCAGCTCTGTTAAGTGTTGATCCTGAATCACACCAATAGATCAATACGGCAGTCGCCGCACCATCAAAGACCACAGAGTTCAGACGACGCGTGGGATCATCGCCGGTGTGATCTTTGACAACATCTGCAACAAGGGGGGAGCACAGGGAGCATGATGTAACGTGCAGAATTTTGTTTCAGCAGCGAGATATGCTGTCAGTCAGAACTAATTATGTTATCTTCGGGAAATCAAGAGACCTTTGTCTGCGTGGTCGCAACCGTCGCAAGCTGTATGGATGCCGGTTTTCCATCATAGCGGCCAGTGTTGGATCGCCAAACGAGCCGGCATAGGTAGCATGCTTGTATAGCCAGTGGCATTGTGTCAAGGGAGGCAGGGAATCTGCAAAAACCCTTTGCGCAAGGCAGCATGCGATTGTAACCTGTGCCCTTTCGAAGTTCGCAGTCAACTGCTTGCGACTGCAGGCCGGGACCTTTATGAGGCAGCACAGGGTGGAGGCATGGGTGTTGTGGAAGATGGAGGCAAGAATATGAATGCTCAGATGTCTGGCTGCAAGGTGTCGATCGGAAGCCCTCACTGCTGTGCTGGGTTGGGCCTGACCGCTTGCCCTACGATGAGTCTGATGTTTAGTTTGCATTCATAGACTCATCGCAGTCGAGATCCGACTGGAGTTTCCGTCATCGCTGTAGACTCTGTGGACTTCATTTGGATTGAGTCCGCATGTCACCGAGCCACTATCGTTATGGCACCTGGCAGCAGCCGGGTAACTAAGTTGCACTGAACTGCAGTACAAACAGAGTGATCCCACCGGCTTGCTTTTGGACAGAGCTTGTAAACTCGAATTGGAGCAAGCGCCACAAGCGCCACAGGCACCAGCATGCAAAAATGTTAACCATGTCTGTTTCTGTTTGGAGGCGCTGTTGGGCTGTCAGCTGGCCTTCGAGCACCTTGACGGACGTAGGACATGTCTGAGTTTCTTCCACGTTGCAAGCATGCCAAGGCTAAGCCAAGGCTAAGGCTAGGGCGGCTAGGCAGCGAACAAAGCCGTGCGGAGGATCCTGGTGCGCTCAAAGCCCGGGGAGATCCTGGCCCCAAAGTGTGGGGAGGAGGCGAGGTGGCTGCTCTCTCTGAATAAGACACTACAGTAGTCGCTCTTTTCTGATTCGGAAGTTCTTTCTTAGATCTGCTCTGAAACGCGAGCGCCGCGAGGGTCCCTGGAGCCGCTTTGATGGGGCCGATGCCTTCCCGGGCCAGGAGAGAGCGCAGAAGTGTCTGCGAGAAGGTTTTTTTTGCAAGGGCGTGCATGTACGGCTGCGGCGATATTTGTTTTCTTTCAGATGTGGATGTACATGAGATGTGACGATAGGCTGATGGGATGGTGTCCCTTCGTGGCGAGGATGCTGCCAGGGTCAAGACGGGCGACCTCGAAGTTTGCAAGGCTCTCTGGCAGCTGCCCAGGAGCCGGATCTCTTATTGTTTTAAAGGCCGCCTGCCAGGAAATCTGCCGTCGGCATGGCTGGTCTGGCTTCACCTATTGGGAAGACACGGCCTACTTCCGTGCGCAGGTTCGGCACATGGCTAGATTGCCACAGCTTACAGAGCGAAATGGTCAAATGCGACCTCGTTCTCTCCAACAAATTTGCATTCGCTGTTGTTCGAGACTTCCACTGCAGGACCGAGCAATGTTGCTGAAGCACAGGAAAGAGTGGAGCTCTTAACACCCCCAAATTGACTTCAAAGACCTCAAACGTGTGCGTCTTCACGCCAGCGACGCTGCACTTCATGGAGTCGCAACACCGAAGGTCCCGTGGATCCATCCTCTTTGTGCGCCCCGAGGCCAAGCAGACACAGGCGAGGAAAAGCAGGGGAATGCAAGGCGAAAGCACGACCTTTTGTTACTGCCCGCCACTGCCCAGCACGCTCTGCTTGGATGCGGGATGCCGCAGATGGGAAAGCCATGGCTTCGTGGCCACGGGCCTCAGCGACGCGAAGCGAGGCCGAGAGTGGCGAGAAGCCTTGCTCCGAAGGTCACCTCTTCGTACACCTGAAAGTCGAACTGAGGCCGCGCTCCCATCTTCCACAACGTCTGCGTACAGAAATATCAGACAATATATATATATATATGTATATATATGTATATATATGTATATATATAATATACGACAGATATGTATAAGCCCACAAGACATGGATTACCCAAGCAAGGTCGATCAGAAACTTGGCGAACTTGGACGAGGCCGCTTTCCTGCAAAGTCAAGCTCAAATGGCCTTGACTTGCTGGGGTTGCTTTCCGAAGGTCTCGGCCGCTTTGCAGGCGGGATGGTCTGGACTCTTGACTAGAGGACGTCGCATAGGCAGACTTCGTGATAAAACTTCTGGCCGATGTCGCAATGTTTGTGCGCTCCTGTGGTTCACTGCTTTTGCCAGCCGCATAGGCATAGACAGGCACGGAATTCACTGACATCGCGGGCAAACATGTAGAGGTCCGCATTCATCGGTTGTGCGGATTTCGGCAAGATGCCTTGCCCCCAATCCCCACCTCAACCTCAAAGCCTCCAAGCCCTCGCCTCAAGAACCCACTACAGTCAATCAACCTTAAGAACTAGAGCAACTAGAAGTGGGCAACACCTAGCAAACGAAGCTTCCATGGCTGATGGCGGCCAATGGGCAGTTGGAGCCCGGGGCACAGGCAACCTTCAGCCCATGCGCCACGATTTTGCCCAGTGGCTTTCACACCAAAGGGTTAGGCTTTGTATAGCATAAGCTTCCAGAGATTGGGGTAATGGAACTTAGCCCAGAGAACTTGCAGTGGGTCAGGGCTTCCAGTTCCTAACGCTGTGGCCCGAGGGACCTGCTTAACAAGGGTAGGTAAGACCAAGGCCGCCAGGGTGGCTAGGGTAGTTTGTCACTCCGCACTCGAACCCCCCTTTATAGTGACTCAGTGGATCTCTCAAGAGGCGCACCATCGCTCCGATCGCGGATGTTGCTGCCGCAGCTCGACGCCCGCAGGCGCCACCTTTTTGTATGGGGGGGGGGGGGAGAGAAGATGGCGGGTAAAGAGCCTGTTCTGTTTTTGGTAGAGAGGGACAGAGAGCATGAGCACATTGGACCGCTCGGCGCTTTTCCCCTCCCTTTCTCCAAGGGGCCGTCGCGACGGCTGACGAGCTTTTCCAGCTGACCAACAGTATCGACTGGTCGCAGAAGAAGCCTTCAATCACCCGAGAGGCCGCATCCGCAAAAACACAAGAATATAATAAAGCCGTTGGTTCAGATTTTGGAAGCTGTAGAAGCAAGCAGCAGTGTCCCGAGGTAATCATTGGAGACGATAGCTGGGAGAGGGGCAGCCTCCTGCTGAGCGTGGGTCATGGAGAGAACGAGATCCGCTTGCGCGGGGGGCGCAATGCGGACTTGATGAAGAAGACTTTGCAGGAGCTTCGGGGGAGGCTTCGAAAGACAACGTGGTCTCGCAGTTTCGCGATTCTTACTGTGATGTGTGCATGGCATGATGTAGCTCTACAGGAGCACATCGATGCGGACTGCGACATCCTCAGCCGTTGTTTCACATGGTTTTCACAGTGAGTTGCTTTGCGAGCTGCTTTGCGAGTTTCCCTGGGCTTTTCATATCAGAGGCTCCTTGTGGGTGGCTTTGCGGAAGCACCGGGTGGCGCTTCCTTGGCGCTGGGTGCTCCGCTGCCCCTGCCTCGTCTTCTCGGCCACACTGCTCGCAGTCCTTGGGCTGATTGGGATTGGGGTTACCAGCGCCCCAATCAGTCTGAACACGAACTTTGCACCTTGCCTGCAAGAACTGGCAAGCCATCGTAAGTTCTGACTGCGACGAATTGCAGTACAAGATGATTTACTTCCTCTCGTCAGACTGCTCGATTTGAGAGGATTCTCTCATGGAGTCTGACAGCGCCGCTTCGTTGAACTACGATGCAATCTTGCAGGCAGAATTGGGATCTTGGGAGCTTGCGCAGCTTGAGCAGAGTGAAGTGCTATCTCCACGTCAGCATCTCATCTCCGTGTGTGGTCTCTTTTGTGGTCTCTCGTTAAGATGCAGGCGATCCTCGATGCCCGAAGAGCACGCCAGGGCCGCCGCCTGTCAGGCCTCAATGGAGCCTTTCCTCAGTGATTGAGTCTGCAGTTCATGGAACGATGCCACGCTGGTCATTTCCATTCACTCGTCGTGGTGCTTGCAGGACCTCAGCTGGATTTCCGCAACTGGCGCCAGCGTCTTCTCAATATCTCGACAAATGTTGTGGATCTTGGGCTGACTTTTGAGGACCGGAATGCCTGCAGAGAGTTGCGGATTGCCGCAGAAGTTAAAGCTGTATTGTCCGTTTCGACAGGATGGAGAACGTGTTGATCCTGGTAGACGGTTGCAGTCGACACTGAAACTGCCACTTATCTGCCAAGCAGTTCTCCAACGAAGTACCTCGCAAGTGGTACGCAACGCGCACGCGTCACATGGAAAGGTACAAGCCATACCGCTTTGAGCTAACTTATGTTCGGCGAGATGATGGCCTCCTGACCGCACTGCACAGCTGAACTGGATTCGAAGTGTGTGGGGAAGTGCGGGCTGATGGTAAACGGCCAACCTGATCCCGTTAAGGCAACCTGCTGAGTGCTTCAGCTCTTGCATACATGAGGACAGGGGATCTCGAACCTTCAAAAGCTGCGCTGTACTTGTCGAGATAATTAAATCGCTTATGGGCTATCTGAAGTGCAAGGAGTATCGAGACAGAGATCAGGTCCATGGAGCCCTTTCGCCAGCTCTGCAACACGGCCGAGCCGCGACTTGCCATGGCGCAGACGTAAATTGGGGCTCATCAAGGGCTCCTCAAGGGCTCCAGGACACTCCAGTCTCCCATATCAAGTTTCTGTCCCAGGCGCTTCAAGCACCACTGCGAACCCGGCATCTCCATGGTCAACGTGATGTACCCCTTCCCTGTGTCGGATGGGGTCGGAGGCGATGCCCGTCGCTCGGCTCGATGTTCCGATCTCCGCCCCCCCCCCCCCCCCCCCGTCCAAGCACTGTCCTCAAGTGGCGAGAATTTCTCGAATTTCTCTCACACTTCGATTGAGAGTCTTAAGAGGCCTCTACTTCAACGGCAGTGGCACGGCTTCACTGCTTCCCGTGGCAGTGTCTTTGGCCCAACAGGACTCTCTCCAGTTCCTTACAATGACACACATTACAATGACAGACAGCTGATATTTGCATCCGTGCAGGAGAAGTTCACCGAAGCCGTGTGGCCTGAAGGTTTGGCAAATGCAGAGGTTCGCTGTTCAGGAGAGCAAGATCTTGGCTGATCTTAGCTGCACTAGCCCCCAAAACAGCCCCGGAGGCGAACCCCTCGCTTGGGCGAGAATTCCCGAGAGTCCGAGTTTTCGTTTGCCATCTCTTGACATTCTGAGCACCACATGGAAAAGCTAACAGAGGCAAAGTTCACTTACATCGGACATCTTGACAGCCACACGGTAGAATCGTGTACTCGCTTGGTGCTGCACTTGCACAGGTCAAGCTGGTCGGTTCAGCAACCTGCGGCGATCGTGTGGCCGATTGCGCCAAGTGGAAGGATCAGGGGCATTGTCTTCCAGGCAGCCCGCAACATTCTGCCTACCTCCTTCCCGGGTCTACCAACTGCTGCACACTTCGTATGCGCGTTGCACTGCTGGAGGCGCTGCCCACGAAGCCTTTATGCAGGATGGCCTTTGCGCGTCAGCTCTGAATTCTGAATCTTGTGGCGTTCACCGATTTTGAGTTGCACAGGATTTCTGCAAAGCGACCTGCGGAATTTGTGACACGGTGCCAGGCGAGCAGGCCTGGGCCCCACCCCATCTTAAGTCCCATCACACTGCAGCTCCTTGTGTTCACAGGATGCCACAGACACAGACACCGAAGGTGCGTCAGGGGCTTCATGTGACCATATTTGGCTTAGTTTTGGCTCCGTTTGACTCTCCACTGGCTTTGAGGGAATCTCTTGAAACCTCAACGCAACCGCCTTTGCCAAGTGCCAATTGCCAGGTCCCACGGAAATAACTGCCCTTCGCTCCTATTTCGCTCTTCAAGCATACTGTTGCACAGCGAGCCACTTTGACTTGTATCCGCGTTTCAGAAGTGCGAGTTCTGCATTTTCATGATGGAAAGCGACATGCAGGGAACATTCGGCCGCCTGGGGGCTTGAGGCGAATCCGGCCAAGGGGGCATTGTCGCCGGCATGGATGCCATCTGGAACACCTTTGCCTTCTCGACTCAACAATAAAAAGGGCTGCGGGTCGAAGAAGTGTGCCTGAGACTGTAAGATAATCAGCGTAATTAAGACACCTGAGGTTGGACAGCTGGTTGACTTTCTGACAGAGAAGAACGCAAAGGGCGGTTCGATCCGAGTGTTCTTCCAGGGAGACGGCGTGTCTTCCTATGAGACCTTTGCCGCTGTGGGTGGTGATGCCATGTTTGACACTTGCCCAGCAATGCTGAGTGTCCAATAGAGAACTCGCAGACGCAGCTGCAAGACTCCGCCCATATAGGACCGTAATAGGACCAGAAGTTTCCTGTGCAGGTCTTTGAGGTCTGTGAGCCTCAGTTGTCGTTTTCGCCTCAGGCCATCATGTCCTACTGCTTCGTGCTGCTGTACGCAACGCTCCACACGCGAAGCCCTTTCCTTGCTCTGGTGGGTCTCTTCTTGGTGATGCTCTCCATTCCCGCCACCTTGGCCGTGTTTATCCTGGCAAGTGGGAGTGGGGAGTTCAGCCTCATGATGTGCCTCTCCGTATTCATCGTCATCGGTGTGGGCTCGGACATGCTCTTCGTGTACACCGACTTCTACAAGCAGTCCTTGCTCTTCACCCGGGACCCGGCCGAACGGCTGAAGTTCACCTACCTCCAGGCAGAGGGAGTTGTCCGAGAGAGGCAGGCGAGACTTTTCAGAATCAGAAGACTCGGGAAGAGGAAAGAAGCACAAAGAAGCGACCATGACTGGATCGTGTGCCAAGGCGGCATCCTCCACCGCCGCAACGACCTTCACCACGGCCATGTATCCTGGCATGGTTGGGGGGAAAGGGGACCTTGTTCTAGACGCCTCTCGGCTGGAAGCCGAGGCTTGTACACAGTCTCAAGACTCTTCAAATGTGAACTTGCCCAGAAAGACCTCATAGGTCCCATGTCATTTGAGGTCTTTCTTCGCAAATTTGGCCTCCGTGCTTCGGCCGTTGAGGGAGTTTGGCTTCTTCATGGGTGTTTGCGCGGCTCGGCGGCACTAAATCTGAGATGCTTCCGGGCTGTGTTGTCATCATCTTGGCTCCTGGCCTTGTTTCTCAAAAGCCAGGTGACACTGGCATGGCTGATTGTGCTGTTGGCATACCCGGCTGTATTGATCATGGGTGAGCGCATTCAGAACTGCTGCAGGCGCGGTTTTTGAAAGATCTCTGTCGAATTGCAGCATCCCCGAATAAGTCCTGAAACCAAGCACCCTATACTTTCCATCCCTCTCTCCCTCTCTCTATCTCTGTCTCTCTCGCTCTCCCTCTCTCTCTCTCACGTCAACTTGGTTTCAGAAGAAGCTCTGCAGAAGACCAGTGCCTGAAACCTTGGCCGAGGCGCTGTATTCTGCAGCAGCCCCAGGCCCCGAGCAGGCGATCCATGGCCAACGCGGCCAAGAGGAAGAGCTCCTCGACGAATCCAAGTTGTTTTCTGTTGTCTGCTATTCTCCTTTTTTAGCAATTTTAATTTAAAAAAGAGGAGATGAAGTAAGACGAAGCGAAGGCCTGGTGATGCTGGCGGACGCCTTGGACCCGGAGAAGAAGGGCGTCGGCGCGGCGCACAGCTCCTGCCTCGGGGACTACCTGGCCGTCGGCCTCGGGAAGCGCCTTGCTCCCCTCAGAGGTAGGGCCCCCCCTTTTAGAATAGAGGCCCCCTTATAGGCTCCCTTTTATGAATGTCGTATCAGAGGCCCCATAATATCCCGATATGAGCAGAAGTGGGTCCTAAGATGCCCTCTATGATGCCGACATGACGTGGCCCTCCTCAGCTCAGGTTCAAATATCCCGTGGTCCTTCTTTTCGTGGGCATCACGGCGGTGCAAGCGTATTTGTCCATAACCACGATGGAGCAAGCCAGCGGTGCTCCGCAAACCTTCCCAGACGATCACAACCAGGACCGAAATGGCTCGAAGATCTTTGAAGCCCACGTGTGGTCCAACCTGCATGCGCCTTTGGGGGGCTTGCAGCACCATTGTAGCGAACATTCACAAGATTCTCCGAGTCCTCTGGCTGACAGAGACTGAACGTACTTTGCCGAAGGAAGCGCAGGAGAAGTACAACGGGCTCTTCGCCCAATATGTGCCGCAGTTTGCAGTTGCACCTCACTCGCTCTCTCCCCGGCTCTCTGCTATCTCTGTCTCTTTCTTTGTCTCTCACTCTCTCTCTCTCTCTCTCTCCCCCGCTCTCTCTCTCTCTCTCTCTCGCTCTCTCTCGCTCTCTCTCCTGCGCATGGTTGTGTTTTTTTTTGTTTGGTTTCTCTGTCTCTCTCTCTGTCTCTCTTCCCTTCCTACCTAGCCTTGGGAATATTTCTGGCTCAGGACTTCACAGACTACCCGAAGGGTGCTTATGCAGACTCCACGTTGAAATGCTCGAGCCTGGGGTGGCAGACAGGAACGCGGCTCGAGCAGCGCGCACAGCGCATGCCGCGGCTTACTTCGTGCAGCACACTGTATGTTACGTACATTTTAACGATGATTTCATTCTTACATTATACAGTATGTTCGTGTATGTAATTGTACACATAGTGTAATTGTAAACGCTTGCGCGCACCGCCTCGGCAGCCGGGCCGGCCCGGGTGGGGGGGGGGGTTGGGGGGGGGTGAGGGGGGGTGGGGGGTGGGGGGGGTGGGGGGGGGGGGGGTTGGGGGGGGGGGGTGGGGGGTGGGGGGGGGTGGGGGGGGGGGGGTTTTTGAGGCACTCCCCCTGTAGGAGCCACCGACAAGCGGGACCCTCCACGGCATCGGTTTGCAGCTCCTCCAAGGGATTGGGGGGGGGTCCCACAGGGGGGGGGGGGGGGGGGTTGCGTCAAAAAATTTGGCACAAGGGTTGGGTTAGGGGGAAGGAGGCCCGATCCGGGTCTGCTTGTTCCAGACGCTTCTCGGCAGGAAGCCGAGGCGAATTATGTAACATATATCAACATATCTTGATACATATATATATATACATGTACATATGGTCACACCCCCCCATGATCCATATGTATCCTTTTTTTGCTTGTCCTTCTGCACCTGTGATTGCTCACATATATTGTTGAAGTGAAAAACACCGATATTTACGATACTTTCGTGTCTTGCCATGTCTGAAGCTACAACTTGCTATTGATTATCTACACTTTAAAACAACAGAAATCTACAAACAGAATCCGTTTCTGGGTTTGATTTTGTGCGGTTTGTTAATCTCTGTAATTCACTCTATAATGGCTTTCAGTATGCACCTTCTTGAAATTCAACAATATTCATTGATTAGATAAAAAATGATTTATAAACCATTGTATAGTGCATAAACATAAAAGAAGAGATGAAGGGGTTTCAAATAAAGCACCTAACACAAGAAGCAGACTACATAATGAAGTTAGAGACGAATTCGCAAAGACAGAGACATGCTTAACGGACACGCAAGGACTTAAATTAGCGTATGAGAATCCTGACGGGATATATCAAAAATGGTTCTATTTTATACATTGCCGGGACTAAAAGCGCTAGAGATGTTTATGATGATTGAAAACTTCTTTTATACAAGACGCAACAGACTCAGCGTTTTCAAGATGTAGGTAAGTTCCTGTAAGATGGTTTTATTGAAATAGACTGTTAAAGAAAAGAAAACTGGAATCTCTGGTATTATGAGTCATAGTTTAGGTTCCGCATCGGGACAACAAATAAGCAATGATTAGGTTAAGCAGGTGAAAGGTAGGAAGAAGAACAATAGTAAAGACAATTCATATAGTTTTGAATTACTTGATTGAATACAAGTTGAAGGTATATGTATATGTAATTAAATTATCTATGCTATTTATATATAATGGAAACTTTTCGTCCCGAATATATCCTCATTGATAGTTTAAGTTTTAAATTACACAAAGGTAGTTCTTATGTTAATTGTCAAGGGTTTAAGAACAAAACGGCTGTTGGATTGATACCATTGCGTGGCCTCTTCTCACAAGTCAGATATTTGCCGTTAAAATATATGGGAAACTTAACAATTGAGTTGGAATTAGTAACTAATGCTACTAATTGTATCAATTACCGCAGTCAGAATTTCAAGAGATATAGGGAAAACTCGAGCCGGCTCGAATTTTCCGAAAATTCTCGAGGCACCAGGTCACCAACACTCGAGCAGGCTCGAATTTTCCAAAAACACCTACATTCTGTCATGGTTTCAGCATTTTTTTTGAAAATTCGAAACGGCTCGAATTTTCCGAAAATTCTTGAAGCTCCAGGTCTCGAAACTCGAGCAGGCTCGAATTTTCCAAAAGTATCCTAAATTATGTCATCGATGAGGCCTTGGGGTCACACAGCCATGGTTTCAGATTTTTTTTGGAAAATTCGAGCCGGCTCGAATTTTCCGAAAATTCTTGAAGCACCACATCTCGAAAACTCGAGCAGGCTCGAATTTTCCAAAAAAACCTAACTTTCAGGATCTACCGGGCTGCTGGAGCCATAGATCCTGAAATTTAGGTTGTTTTTGGAAGATTCGAGCCTGCTCGTGTTTGGGTGACCTACTGTGTCAGTTTTTTTTGGAAAATTCGAGCCGGCCGAGTTTCTAGAAAGACTTGATTTTTTCGGGTGTGTTTTTCTACCTTGTTGATGTAAATGACCTGCCTGACTTGAAATTATATTGGTATTTATCGGCCCTGTCGGTGTTTTTTTTCGCTAGCTCATGGCCCCCTCTCCTCCCAAGATCCATCTGTTTCGAAGCAGAAACGTGGATCATGGGGGGGGGGGGGGGTGAGCATACATATATATATATATATATATATTTATATTTATATTATGTTTATATGTATCTCTCTTCCTCTCTCGCTTGGTGAGCGCAGTCCTTTTGGGCCGTAAGCCCAGGAGTCTCTTCCGCGCTTGCAGCCTACACCACTGCAACACACATGGCCGCCGCCTGGGCAGCCTCGCCAGCTGCGCCTTGGCTCTTGCAAAGAGTGAGGAAATCTTAAGTGATACAAGTTCATGTAGAGAGCTGTAGAGATCTGAGCTCTAGCTGAGGCGACTGTGTGCCATACAAAAGCGCGGAACCTTCGCCCACAGACGGCTGCGGGACATACCAGGTTACCAGGATACACGTGCTGGAAAGATACATGTAGCAGCTGCCTGCTAAATTATGATCCAGAAGTTTCATTCAAGGTTCAGACACGCGTGGTGGGCAGAAGCGGATTGACACCAGGGCATCTTCAGAGTTCGGACGTGGAGCCGGGGGGGGGGGGGGGGGAGAGTGAATCGAGCGTTCAGGGAATGCTGCAGAGTTGCTTCGTGTTGTCCCTCTCGCCATTCATCAACTTTAAATGTTCACAGAGGAGCGGCTGATGAGCGAGATCATCCCAAATGCGAGCTCCATCAATCTCGCAGCAGCAGGCGTGTTGAATTGTACAGTGCCTCGAGGGCTGGAGCCAAACAGAAACGAAAGCATCGCGTCGCCCTGGATCGACCAGGCACGACGTCCTCTCTGCTAGAGACGCTACATTGGGACACTGGTGATATCGACCTGCGTGTCATGCTCCAGGTCCGAGCCAAACGGGGTGCATGCAATCTTCTTCATGTTTCTCAGATTCTCCATGTTTCGGTCCAGGCGCCATCCGCCACGGTGGTGAAGGGCACCGGCCGAACCTGCCTCTCCCAACTGCTCCTGGAACTCAACAGTATGCGATCTGCTTGGGTTATGTGGTTCGATCTGGGAATTGGTGCTGAGGCTCTGCTACTGCGGCGTGCAGCCCTGCGATGGCCCGCCCTCAGGACTCGAGCATTCGGAGACCCGCCAAAGACCCCAATTCTAGTTAGAGTTAGAGCAGCCCAAACCAACACGAATGGACCCTCTCGACCTCTTGCACCCCACCATCTGAGAGGATCCCCAAGTGCTGTGGGAGCACTGCAATTGGATGGCGTCGCAGAGGTGCCGCCGGGGGCGTTTGGCTTCACACGGGTCGTAGCAGCTGCTTGATTATAAGGACGGAGGGACGGGATGTTTAGCATTTAGCACCTAAAGGGGGTCTCTGGTGTTGCGAGGCAAGTCCTTGCAAGTACACATAAGTACACTCAGATATCGACATCGAGGTATTCGGGTGCAAGATTCTTCAATCCCAAAAACGCCCTGGCTGGCCGAGTTGTTCCCACATCTCAAGGATTCTCTGTGCGTGAAACATTCAAAAGAAACTTCGCGACACAAGGACATGGCCCTCAAGCTATCAAAAAAAACAGAATCCCGTGTTGCGTTTGCCGTGCTGTTTTGGTCAGTCAACGAGAGATACAGACCTCAGCGGAACCTCAGAGGACCCTTCTGGACAGGGCGCAGGGGAAAGCAAAGAGCTCGAGCCCTCGACGGACCCTTCGATAGACCCTCAAGAATGAATAAGTATTCGAAAATAGCTTTTTATGAAGGAAAAACGGTTTGATAATTCTGGGGCAGGCCCTGGCCTCCCGCCGCTTGCAAGTCACGACGACCCCCGAGCCAGTCTTGCCCGCCGAGCTGCAGACAGTGGCTCCGCCACAAAGAGAGTGAAGTGCTTTAAGGAGTCTTGTGGCTGCTTCTTGCCTGCGAGGACTCAGTAAGAGTCATAAGTGTCTTGTGACTGCTTCGACTCAGTAAACGGGAATTCTTCCTATTTGTACATCAGTGGAACGGATGGTCCCGGATGGTGACTTGAGTCACTTATCTTGGTGGATTTACTTCGCGATCTCCGGCGCCAAGGACGTGCTGGTTGTTTTCGGCCTCGCCGTCACGGGAACCAACCCGTTGCTGGGTGTCTCCAAGGAGCTCCACCAAAAAACCATCCCCTTGGGTAGTGGCGAATATTGTCAGCTTGAATGGCTGTCAAGCTGTTTCAAGTCATCTAATTTTAAGCTCTGAGGAGCAGCCTTACGGCTTCTCCAGCGACTTCCGCTTGGAAGACCCTTGGGCGCAGCGGAGGAGCCTGGACCTTTGCACCGACCCTCCCGAGGAGACCAAGCTGGCGATGTCCAGAGCTTTCATTGCTACAAGACTACAAGAAACGTCTTACCGGGAGCTCACCCAACTCACCCCCTCAGGAGCTGAAGGTGGTCTCGATGCAGTGTTGGCTACAGGCTTGGACCCCATTGCAACTGAGAGCTCGCACGGTGCCTCCGAGCGCTGTTCACATGATATGTCGCACTTTTCACGCTCTTCAGTAAAAACACGCTCTGCACGTGCGTCAGGGCTTCAAGGAGTGGTGGGTGGCCGGTGGCGAGGAGTGGCCTGTTCGGCCCAACAAGGACTTCCACGCGCAAGCCTGGTGGTATGCCAACAACAAAAAGACCGGCCCCTACGAGACCACCCGCCTCGCCCTCACAGTGCCCCATAGTGCCTGTGAGAGTCAAAAGTCCCTCCCCGGTGCTGTTGAGGCTACGTTTGGTTCTCGGAGGACCAGCGCCTCATCGCCATGTACTTTCAGTCCTTCGCCTATAGAAGCTCAACATTTCACACGACCCATCATGGCCCCATGAACTTCCGTGGTTTCATTGAAGTGATATGAAGTGATCTAAGGTTCTACGTCAACGTGAACCGCCTGGGGGGTTCATCCATCGGCCTGGATGCCATGCTGACCTGGGACCGCCACCTGGCCGTCCCTTTGCTGACAGTATGAAGCATTATGAAATATTCGAAATAGGACCAGTGAAATGCTTCGGCGGACTTCTTAGGAGTTCTTGCCATCCTTCTTGATCCCGCGCAGGCCTTCAACAGCCAAGCAGAGGCATCTATCAAAGGTGCGTGGCATGCCGGTGCCCGAGAAGAGTTGGCCCGACTCGGGCTGAGAAGAGTTGGATCCTCTGACGCTCAAGATTCTCTGCGGATTCTCTGCGGATGTGTGGCTGAGGCATCTCGGGTCTGGACCATCACCGAGGCTGAGAAGGCAGGCCGCATGCTATGTCAAGACACAGATGAAAAAAGACAGAAGCCAGAAGCCTCTGTTTTGGGGAGATCTTGAAAAAAGGAGTCGGCCAACTCTCCCACCCTCGCTCTCTTTCTCTCTCTTTCTGTTTGCGCAGAGTCCTTGCTTCTTCGGAGAGGTCATCCTGGACAGCACCCTGGTGACACTTTGCATCTCCTTGGGGTGCGTCTTCTTGGGAGTCCTCGTCTTCACTCGGAGCACGCATCTGTCGCTGATAGTCATGCTGGTCGTGATGATGATTGTGCTGGGCTTGCTTTTCTTCATGGTCATCGCCGGGGCCCTACTCTTGCTGCAGTTCACTTGTTTGCGGCTGAAGTTGTGCAGGTGTGGTTCTTGATTCTTGTACGCACCAAGATCATGTCTTGGAAGATCGGAGCTATCGAAGTATTGTCCCTCATTGTCTTCGTGGGTTTTGCAGTGGACTACTGCCTACATCTGCACCACCCTTACAGCATAGCTGTGGTATGGCCAGGGCTTTGATTTGCAGCATGTGGAATGGTACCATACTTGGCATGCCTGACACAGGTCGCACAAGTACCACTCCTGTCACATCACCGACGTGGAGGAGCAGGAAGAGGAGGACGAGGACGAGGAGGAGGCTGGGAGCTCCTTTGTAGTAGAGTCGACTGCAGTGCGGCTCGGCCATGCGAGTCCTTGTCTGATGGCCCCGTATGGACTCATGAGCCTGGACATTCAGAGGAGCAGCAGCCGCAGACGGTTGCCACACGACTGGGCAACATCGGCAGGCGAGACGCTTGAGAGGTGAGGCATGTGCTGCGCTCATTGCATATCGCATCTGTCCTGACAGGAAGAGCATCTCCATGCTCGGCCCTGAGTGTGCAGGGAGGCAATCTAATGTTTGCACGAATGGGATTTCAAGTCCGTTTGAAACATCGTGCTGCTTCTCTTTGCTTGTGAAAGCTTCCAATCCTTCACTAGCACTCAGCCACATCTTGCGACAGCTGATAGTCAATGCGCGCTGAGGGCCGCCGGTGCGACGAAGCATGGGAAGTCGGGGAACCACCGCGTGTCCATGAAGATTTCCGATGTTGCCGTCACCAAGGACATTTATTTAATGGACTCCACGCATGAGAGTCTTTCGCAAGTCTCTTTTGCAAGCAGGCCAACACCGAGAAGCGGAAGCAGAACCATGAGCTCCTCTCAAAGAACCGCAGTGCTCCCCTTTGAACCAGCGCAGGAGAATCAAAGGTTGATCCGCAATCCAGGAGTGAGAGCGTCTTGTATGTTGGTTGCACCACCTCCCGACCCACAATCACATATTGGAAAGTACTGTCGTGATCACATGAAGTATTCCTAATGAATGTAACGCACACGTTTCAAAGAGAAGCGCTCACAAAACTGCATACATGTCCCTCAGAAGACCCCTCATGCAGCAAAACCAAGATAAACAACAACGGAAGACTATTCTCCGGGACCCGGAGGACTAGTGCCCGGAAGTGTTGCTATGTTTTGTTCGTTTGTTTCAATTGGTTTGCCTGCATAAGGCACAAAGAACACCTTTCCAATCGAACGCCCCTTTCGCTAGTACATGCACAAGATCAACAAACAAGCGGAACATGCGCACATGTCCGTCAGAATACCTCAAATCCTGCAAGAGCTCTGCCAAACAACATCCACTCGCTTGTCCTCCGGATCCGATCTTTCTGATTGCCACGTGTGCTGTTTTGCTTTACTCAAAAGGCGCAAAGTACGTGCATCTTGCTAGTCGAGAAATAGTTCCTACACACACATACACACACACACACACACACGTCCCTCGAAGGCCAGCAATCTTCCGGATCCAAAACAATGCTGTTTCCGATTCAACTGCTACCATTTGAATGCACGTCTCCCTACAACAAAACGACGGAACATACTTCTCCTACTATAAACAGCACATCAGAATCAGAAATGCAGTCTTTGAGGCTCTGGTGGAAAACACAAAGTTGCCCGTTTTGATGACAAGCAAAAGATGCAGCATTGAATGTCCCTACCAAACACACACCAGACTACACATTCCTGACGGAATACAAATCCCAAAGCTTAAGGAAGGAGATTATCCCAGACAGCTATTCAAATATAACATGAAACCCGGTGTTTTTGGATGTAGGCTGCTCACGAGAAATCGCTTCATGAGCATGTCTGCGTTTCAGGTACGGCAAGCTATACCGCACGAAAGTTATGTTTGTGTTGTGTGACTGTATCCAAGGACGAAAAACACATCCTTGCCTGATCAGCATCTCGTCGTTTGCTCCCGGTAGTTTTCCACCATGAGGGTCCTCCTTGAAAGCCCTGCTTCTTCGGAGCGTCTGGAATGCCACTTCCATGAAAGGCTGCACGTGTGTCCACGAAACATTCCTGCTTGCACCAGAAGCCATCTTCTCACACACATCTTCTCCTGGTGCACTTTGCATATTTTCTTTTCGGTCCCTTGGGGGGGGATCCTGGGGAGTGCACAATGAGGGTCCCCATACGGCCAGATCCGGCCCACTCAGGTGCAGAGCGCTTCGAGCGCTCCAAGTACGCCCTGGAAAGGATCGGCGGCTCCATCGCCGGTGGCTCAGAAACCCTCCGTGGGTATTCTAGGTTTTTGTATCGTGCAACCTGTACGCCATTAAAAACCCCCAAGCCACTCACAAGGTCGGGTCGGCTTTGACCACGATCGGCTCGGCCTGTTTCCTCCTCCCCTGTACGATGCACGTGTTCTTCAAGCTCGGGGCTGTGGTCCGAAGCCTGGGAAGACGAGAAAAGCGAGAGACATAGAGAGAACAAGGGGAGGCATTGTAGAGTCTCCAAGTGGGAGACGTATTAGAGAGGATGTGAGAAGAGGGCGCTCCAAGGGGGTTTCCCTTCTCAGAGGTCTGCGGTGTGATCGCCTACGCCGTGGTATTTGCCCTGGTGCCACTGCCGGCCATCTTGATGTGCATCGGACCCTGCGGCGCCCTGGTTCTTTACGCAGACTCTTTGAAGCTTCCGTGACACTGGTCGTTTTCTCAAATCTCTTGGTGTAATCAATACTTACAGGCTTTAAGGACGTGCGTTGATTCAATCAGGAAAGTGATTGCCCGTGTGTCTAGCTTTCGGGACCTTGATCTCAAGTAAATGTGGCAGATGAAGGACATGCAGAGAGACGTTGCAAAGGAAAGGAGGGCGACCCCCAAATCCCAAACCACCGAGAAGCGGAACGAAGCAATGGAGCAGGAGTCTTGAGAATAAGGAAGCATAGAATAGAATGAAGAGGCGTGATTTAACAATGGGAAGTTACCAAGAGTGGTGCTTCCATTTGCCTTGGATGGTTTCCTGAGGCCACGACTTCCGCTCCCTCCTGGAGCTCCTAGGGCGCGCGGAGAAGACAGAATCCGGAAGGGGTTGGGAGAGAGCGCTATTTGCTGCTCCGCCGACTGGAGAGAGTCTGAGAGAGGATGGAAGAGAGAGAAAAGAATACTGACAAGAAGGCTGAGAGAGAGAGAGAGAGAGAGGGAGACAGCGCTGTGAGAGCCCGGCTTTTTGGGAGGCGGGCCGCCCAGAACATCATGCCCGAAGACGAGGAGGAAGAGGACGAGGAGGAGAGACCCTGCTCGTCGGGGGGAGGGCCCGGAGATCGTGGGAGGCAGCGCGTTTGCTGGTGCTGGCGCCCTCTTTGTGCATACAGCCGCGCTGCTCTAGGACAACATTCTGCCCCTTACCCCGATAGACGATTTTCGTGAGCACCGTCGCTACGTGCTCAACATGCCCAGCAAGGCTCGCATCTTTGCTTCTGTTTCCCACATCTCAGCCCTTGACCCTTACGGCCTTGCGAGCGCTCTGCGACATGCACACGCTCTGCCGCGACGCTCAGGGCATGGGCCAAGTGGGTGACACGTCGCACCTGCAGCCAACGCGCACAAGTGGCCTGCTTCATTCAGTGATCAGTTGGAGCAACCTGCAGTGCAATGTGACTCTGAGGGATCGCTATCCACGGATGACTCGGATGAGGCTGCGCAGGAGCACCTGGCACCAGTGGGACCCATCTCCACCCCTCCACACCAGGGTGACTTCATTGGCTTGAACGTGATCTCCATGCTGTCCAACGCTCGATAATGTTTCTTACGACATGTTTAAGCGGAGTTGCAGATCATCAATAAGAAACAGTTTGTAAAACAGTAGTGGGTGCAGCAGGCAGAGGCTAAGTGGATGGCACTCCAGGGCAGCACAGATATGTCTGGGCAGCCCTCGGGCGCCATCATCAATTCGAGAAGAGGGATTGACAAAGTCAACCCCTTTCCAGCAACTTAAGTTTGTGGAGGGGGAGGCTTGCGGCCCTAAAGCAACCTGAGAAGCCCCGCACCGCCCCAAGGCCACCCAAACTCCACAAACAAAAATAGAAAACCTCCCTCCGCACTCCCCGCAAGCGGGCCCAGAGGGCCCAGAATTGCGACCAGAGCGGAAACAAAGCTGCTCAGGCTCTTCTACCCCATTCTACGCATTCTCACTCACGATGTTGCAAGAGTCTGCGATTTTTGTCGATCTCCTTTGGTAAGGCGCTGCCTTCGCCACCCTCGGGATATGCACCCTTGCACACAGCGGATGCGGAGCCTCAGGATGACTTGGAGGAGCTTACCTTGTTTGAGAGAGAAGGAGTATTTCGGAGTATGTGGGAGCAGCTCTTACTGATGATTTAACATCAAGCATTCTTGAATCAGCAAAAGGCTTCATCTGAGGAGAGAGGTAGAGTTTGGAGTGAGAGTGCCCTTGTCTTCTTTTGCATATGGCGCACTATGCCTGTTTCTCCCCACATCTTCGTGTGGGGTTCTTACTTTTGGGGCTCTCCCGCCGCCTCCGCCGCCTCCTCCTCCCCCGCCGCCTCCGCCTCCACCTCCTATTCCCCTGCTCTCACGCCCTGCTCTCACTGACTCACACTCATCACTCAGTCACTCATCATCACTCACGCACCACTCACTTACTCACTCCGTCTCACGCACACACACACACACAGCACATCACAGCACAGAGCTCGCTTCGCGTCGGCAGCACTTACTCAGTCTCACGCACACACACACACACACACACTCGCACTCATCACTCAGTCACATTCATCATCACTCACGCACCACTCACTTACTCAGTCTCACGCACACACACACACACAGAGCACACATCACATCATAGAGCTCGCACACACATAGCACACATCACAACACAGAGCTCGCTTCGCGTTGGCAGGTGCAGCGCATGTGTCGTTTGTGCTGGCAGTTGCAGCATGGCTCGCTTCGCGTTGGCAGACGCGCGCTCCGGGGGCTCGCTTCGCGTTGGCATGCAGGTGGCCCTGGACCGGTCGCGCGCGCGCGCGTGGGGGGGGGGCTCGCTTTGCGTTGGCAGGCGCTCGTTTTTTGTGTAGCCTAGCAGGTGCAGCACTTGGGGGCCCCCGATCGGTCACGCGCGCGCGCGCGAGTGGGGGGCTCGCTTCGCGTTGGCATGTGGAGCTTAAGGCAGCTGTTGCCGAGCTTAGGATTCTCCTGCAGCCAACTAGCGCTGATCGCACCTGCCTGTCACTGCAAGTCAAAAAAAATGAAGACCCGCTTGCTGGATGACAAAAAAGCCCGAAACTCTTGAATGCCCTCAAGCCCGAAGCTGTCGCCCTGAATCCCACGCCTGGACGCTAGCAAAAGTGCGGCGAAGGACACAGCTCACTCACTCACTCGCACTTACGCACTCGCTCGCTCACTCACTCACTCGGATACTCCCTCACTCACTCATACTCACTTATACACTCTTTGCGAAAAGATAAAATTACACATGTGGGGTTATCCGGTCCGTTAATTTGAGAGGAGGTCGTGTTGAGCGACCTGAGCATCTCAGAGAGCCAACGCCAGAACCTCCGACTCACGGGAGGCCTTCAAAAAATCAGACTCCTGCCCCTTCCCCTCCCCCATTTGTTCTTGCAGCCCGCGTTTCACACTCAGGAAATCAATTTAAGCAAGTCTGCTGTTGGGGGGACATGACATATGCAGGAAATCAGAGTAAGTCTGAGCAAGAGCCACGCCTTTGCTCCCGCGTCTTGTGCAGGATTAGAGGGATCGGGGGGTGCGTGTGCTGTTGCTCTCTTGGTTGGAGGTTGCGACGGCGACCCGGGCCGCGACGAGGACACTGCAACGGGACATGAGAAGTCTGAGAGTTATGAAGGAGGGATACTGGGGATACACTCTTGGGAGTGCCAACTTGCGTAGGTAAAAAGGCAAATCTTCTCATAAATAGGAGAAAAGCAGAGGACAACAAATGCAAGCTGCAAGATCAAAATAAGGCAACTGGACGAAAGCGCCTTTGAGGCATCGCCTTGCCCTGCCATGTGACCTCGAGAGGCGCGCCGTCTGATAGGGAGACATTTTATAAGTTTAGGTCTTTGCTGAGATATAGAAAGAGACGGACTTTAAAGGCAACTTCAGTGGTGAAGTGCTCCTTGAATCCTTGAAGTGCGCATGCGCACGTGCACACTCTCTGCCTGAGGGGCCCACAGAGAGAGTTCCAGCACCTGGCTGGGGCCTCAATGTCCGAGCTCTTTTTCATGCAAGTGACGTGCAATTTCGGCTTGCAGATGAGCTTCTTCTGCTTGGGCAACTCCAACTTGGTCAGCCGGCCGCGAGATCATTGGGCTTGGCATTTATCAGGCACGGCTTGGCCCGGGGTAAGTTTATGGTCTGAAATTCAGTATGGACTCGACACCAAGACCCCCAACCCTCAAACCACTTCTGCGCGCCCGCCTGCAAACTTGTTCTGAGCTTGACCTTCACAGCCCAAAACATGATCGTCCCAGGGCTTAACTTGCAAGGTTATGTTTACATTCCTTCCCTGCCATTTGTGGATCGCCTCAAAAATGCCAGCACAAGCGTTTGGGCGGCTACAGTTACCTACAGCTTTCTCCGTCCATCTTGTTAGATCGAATGCACCTCCCACTGCATCTCAGCACAATGCTGATGCAAGTTGCACACGCTGCCTGGCCCTCGCTGAATGGGCCTTAAACTGCCTTAAACATTGCATGCGACTCAGACCATGCTGTTTTTGAGGTAGTTGGCGACTCTGGGTGGTGGCATGGGGCGTGTTCTTGCCATGGTCGCTGTAGCCATGGGCTTCTTGGATGCACCCAACTTGCTGAACTCTTAACGGTTCCTGTCCACATCATACTGTGGCTCCTGTGCTCCCCCGCTCGAGTCTTGTTTTGCGAAGACGGCCGTGTTGCCGTTTTGAACGCTCGGTGAATCGAACGTAATGTAGACTTCTCGCAGAGAGCTGCGTGACGCCTGTACCTGTATCGTGTGAAGCTTCTTCTGACTTTCGCCGTCACCATGCAAACGGCAACGCTGAGGCAGGGAGCAACTTCAAAAGCTGGAGGCCGACGAAAGGAGAAAGTTCGCGGGTGACTAAAGTATTTAAGTAGGGAGCCGTCTTGAAGCATCGAGGCCAGCGTGTCACAGCTCGAGAAGAAGCAGGCAAGAATCTTACCAAACCGAAACCCAGAGCCAAAACCCGAAACCCAGATGGCAACAATCAGCTTTGTCTGATCACTGCGAAGCAGTACTGAAAAAGCGTTTGAAGGCCGCATGTGTTGAGCACATCATGATGGCATGGTGCGTGCTGAAATCTTCAGTGCTCAAGATCGTTCTATCAGCATCCTGTCATGGCGAGCTCTACAACTGAAAGCTTGGGCACCGTGGACTAAAGTCAGAAGTCAAAGCATGGTACGGTACTTGCGTGGGCGCAGAAGACTGCAACTGAGGTGTTGCCGGCCTGGTCATCTTGGTCTATGGCCTCAAGGGTGTGAACCAGGTGCTGAAGCAGGCCAGCGCTCGGCGGGACACTGAGCTCGTATGCTGAGAGCCATGCCGAGTCGCATGATTCAGGCGGTGGAAGCAAAGAAGGAATTCCGCCGCAAGAAGAAGGAGCTCATCACAAATTTCTGCAACACTGTGCCGTTCTTGGCCTTGCCCGTGTCTTCGCACTCGCTTTGGCAAATCGCAGCCGCCGCTCCCGCCAAGGAATGGGTGTGGGATACCTGCTGCTGCTCGTGCCCGATGGCGCTGGCCTTGATACACTCAAAAGTTCGGATTATGGTCGTGTGTTTGGTTCGCGTGGGTTGGGAGCTTGTGAGGCGCAAAAGCACGAGGAGGAGCACGAACTGGTGGTGTGAAGACTCGGGCACCAGGAGTCGGGGGTTTTGGCAAGTTTTTGCACTGGTTGATGTCAGCGCGTCGCGCAGTATCGCTTTAGAAAAGACCGAGGCCACCCGACACTTGTTGGAGATTAACAAAAGAGGTTTTTTTGAATGCCATCGCGTACATGGTGTGCTACCACACTGCTGTGTGGCTGACAAGAAGAGACCATCACAAACCGTGAAGCCAGGTAAAGTGTGATGGTGTGAGGGATGAAGGTCGACATCGAAAATCGAAGGCAATACGCTGAAATTCTCCCGCCGCTAGAAACCGTAGATGGTCAGAGGTGCATGTCGCCAGTTGCTCAGGGTGAGCTTGCTCACTTCCAACACTTTGCCATCAAGATGGCCAACAACGACCCACACAACAAAGTTGCGTTTCTGTTCCACATGCCAACAACCTTTCAAAGCAACTGTGTTACTGGACATGGCTGACTGACCGCCATGCAAGGCTGTAGCAATGCCACACAATACCACACAATACTACACATGACGCGTGTGAGAATCTGCGAGACCCTCTACGCAGGGGCTGTCACGCTGTCACCATGGCTTTCACGATTGCGGCGGCCTCGAGTCCTCCGGAGTCCTTTCCCCCGACCGCACCTTTTCCTGCAATAGGAGTCAGAAGTAGGTGTCCATCTCTCATCATCTCTCGTTTTCTTGTGCTCTTGTGTGCACCTTTCGTGTGATGTTACGAAGCCCCCATCCACATGCTGCTGTTGAACCAATACAAGGCGATAAGCTGGAGCTTGGCGCGCTTCGGATTCGATTCGCGGCCGTGACGCCACAGCTGGGCGAGCGTGCGAGAAATGCGAGAACTGCTTGAGGCCACAAATCCACTTCACAGGCTCTTTCTATGACCGGCCCTTGCAATTACTTGCCTTGGAAGCCGTGGCCGAAGTGTTTTCCTCCACCTGCCGACCAACTGGCCGAGTAGGTCACACTGCAATTACTTCTCCCTTTCCTCAGAGGCCTGTGTGTTGAAGGCAGCTTGGGACAGGCTTTTTTTGAGCAGAGGGACTGCGGTCTTCTCCCAGGTCCGAGGCCTGATGGGCCATTTGGCCTGAACACCCAAAACGAGCACACGCTGACGAATGGAACCGGACTCGCCTCTGAGTTTCCGAGCCTTGGGCGTCCGATTTCAACGCCATCCGGGGCTTTCTCCAAGGAGGAGATCTGAAGCTGGCAATGGAGGTACACGCAGGAGATGCAAGAGCAGGGATGCACCATGAGCGCCAATGAGCGCCATGAATCCAACATCTGCCGATGCGTCTTGCGCCGCAAAAGATTGCTGCCTTGCTGGCTTGAACACTGCTGGCCGGTAGCGCTGCTAAGAATGTTGCAGATGGTGCGAGAGTGCTTGAGACAAAGACTGAGTGTGCCCAATGCTGCAGGTGACTTGCCTGCCGCTCCAGGAGTACACCCACCGTTCGCTCTTCATCCAATCAAGTTTCAGATTCTTGTTGGCACTTGTGAGCAGCAAGTTATTTGAGCACCCCAAAGACGATTGAGCCCTCTATTAGTGTTGCACAGGTTTCCCAAGAGCGTTTCTCAAATCCAACGCCGCAAGCACAAAGTCTTTCTCCGTAATGCGCCGCATCTATCGACTTGTGCTTGCGAGGGGTCCCCAGAGTCAGGGTATGCAATGTTTGCGAAATGTATCTTGAAGCGACCCAAGCAGGTTTGTCAAGATTCTTACGTGTCAGGATCGTAGTCCGGGCAGCAGCCGAGGCTTGCAGAGCACTCTGCAAGTGTGATCCCCATGCTTGATGCGAAGGCCTGCACTCTGCCAAGGGTGTCGTGAATCACCTTCGGGTCTTCTCCGAAGGAGGAGGTTGAAGAGTGACGCCGTATCAAATCAAAGTCTACAGGGGCTGGAACAGAGCCGCACGCAGATTGTTCAGAGGTGGTCGGTACCAAGCCGATTGTAATGTGCATTTTTGATTGAGTCGAGCTTCAGGCTGATTCCGCACATGCCACGTCAGGCGCATCTGCGGTCGCCTTCGTGGACAAGGATCCTTGACCTTCTTAGTACTCCTTCGTGAATAGTAGGGGGGCTACGTCGTGGCTTTCGGAATCCTTCCGTGCTTCTGCCTAATGGGGAAACTTGCGGCCCAGAAGCAAACAGCCAAAACAGAAACCTCCCCCCGAAGGCCTAGAATTGCGAGCACAGCGGAATCAACACTGCCCAGCAATTCTATGCATCCTAACTCGCAATGTAGCAAGAGTCTGCGATTTGGTCGATCTCCTTTGGTGAGGCGCCGCCTTCGCCTCCGCCTCACCAAAGGAGATCGACCAACTCGCAGACTCTTGCAACATTGCGATTCGCCGCCGCCTTCGAAACATTCACTCTTGCACGTCTTGCACACAGCGGATGCGGAGCCTTAGAAGAACGTGGAGGAGCCTACTCCGTGTGGGTAGGGAAAGAAAGCAATCAAAGGAGTATTTCGGAGTGTTTCGCCTCATTTTATAAACTGTGTAGAGTTTGGAGTGAGAGTTTTTTCTGCATATCGCGCACATTGTATGCGTGTTTCTTGAGAGGAAGTCGTGTTGAGCGACCTGAGAATCTCAGAGAGCCAACGCCAGAACCTCCGACTCACGGGAGGCTGGGCTCCTTGCAGGGGCTTTGAAGAATCTCTGAAACCCCGGCCCCCCGGTCCCCCCGCCATTTGTTCTTGTTGCTCTTGGCTCCCACGTTAAACACAGGGAATCATGGTGATTGAAAGGCAAGCCTGCTGTTGGGGGAACATGGCATATGCAGGAAATCAGAGTAAATTTGAACAAAGACCCACACATTCGCTGTTGAGTTTTTGCTTTGGGTCACGTGGCCGCATCCCGCGTCTTGAGCAGGACTAGAGGGATCGGGAGGTGCGTGTGCTGTTGCTCTCTTGGTTGGAGGTTGCCACGGAGACCCTGGCCGCGACGAGGAGACTGCAAAGGGAGATGAGAAATGTGAGAGTTATGAAGTAGGGAAGAGAGTAGTGCCACTTGGGGTTCTTCAGTTACAAAACAAATCTTCGCAGAAAAAGGAGAAAGCAGAAGAAATGGGTAATTTTTGCTGGCATACAAAGAGAGATTGACTTTGAAGGCAACTTCAGTGGTGAAGTGCTCCTTGAATCCAGTGCGTCTTCGGCAAGCGCACGCTCTTTGCTTGAGGGGCCCCCAGAGAGAGTTCCAGCACCCAGCTGGGGCCTCAACGTCTGTCTCTGTCTGTGTCTGCATGCCATGTCAATGTCAATTCAACTGAGAGTACGCTTGGCAAGCATGCGCTTTGCAAGCTCTCATTGCATTTGCGTCGGACTGCAGTGGGCCTTTCAAGCGCAAGTGAAGCGATCGGAAGTCATCCCGCCCCTGTGTCCGGATCCCCTCTCAGCCGCAATGAAGCTTGCCGCGTTGCTGATTGCAGCCGTTCTTCAGAACACGGCAGGAATGAAGCTCGGGAGCCTCGAGAGCAAATCAGTCCAGCTCGGCGACAAGCGCAACCAATCCGCCCTGCTCGGCAAGACTGCCGTGCAGCTGGAGCCCGAGGCCTTCGCCTTGTTTGGTGCAAAAAACACGCCAGAGCTGGCCGAGTTGAAGAAGCAGATGGCCAACAGTATCAAGAATGAGATGAAGCCGGCCTTGATGGCAAACTTGCAGAAGGTGCAAGCACAAGTGGACGCTGCCGCGAAGGCAGGCAACCAGTGTGGTTCCAAGGCCCTCGAAGAAGCTTCTGAGTACAACAGCAAGTTTTCTTCGGCAAAGGACGCCCATGCGACATGCAGGGGCGAGGAGAGCACCTTGATTCGCGAGAACAAGACGTGTTCCACCGAACTCACGGAGCTCACAACTGCGAAGGAGACTCAGTGCAACGCCGTAACGGCCTTGGAGCAAAGTCAGTCCAGGGCGAGTGAGGCCTGTGCGACGGCCAGCGGCGAAAGCTACTTGGCACAGATGGAGCGGCTTCGGAGCCACTTCGATCAGGCTGTGACGGAGTACAAGAACCAGAAGGACCTGTGCAGCACGGCCACGGCAAAGGTCGGCAAGAAGCTAGGCCAGGAATGGCTCGGACCGGATATACTTTGCGGTCTTATGGGAGTTGTTGCAGAATGTTGTAGAGCTGAGGAAGGCGACCGAATGCCAGGCCATCGAAACGAGCCACATTGAGAAGAAGATTGCATGCAACCAGGCCCAGGCCACCATGGACAGCAGCTCCTGTGCCTACAGCGCAGCTTGGACTGAGCCAAGGCCACTGGTCACAGAACTTCATCTACTGTACTAAGATGTACTAAGTAGCTTCTTGCACCGCAAAGGAAGCTGCGACAGTGGCCTGCAAGACTTGCTACACAGACGCCGCGACGTCCTATGAAAGCAGCAAGCCGGGCTTCGCTTCGCAGCAGCAGAGCATGCGCCATGAGATGGAGGCCATTCTGCGCATCACCTGCTATCTGAACGCCCTGGATGACGCCGACAAGTCCGCGGCTCTGACAACGTGTTCTGGACAGGACCACTCGACGGACGCAGAGGTTGTGAGCATCGCCCTCACATACCCCAATCCTCTAGAGGCAAGCTGCTCTGCTCCGAGCGGAGTTGCGGGCACGGCTGAGTACGAAGCTTCCGTATATGGTGTGCTGCCAAGTGATGCCCCCGCCGCTGCGTGCGCGGCCTCCTGCTGCGACACGAGTCCACAGCTCCGCAAGGTCTTCACATCCTGCGGCGCGAATGGGCCCTACGGCCCCTCGCAGGACGACTGCGACAAGGCCTACGGCAACTCGGACGTCTTGGTGCCAACCACCGATGAATTGAAGCGTGGCTACCAGATCTTTACCGTTCCGGAGACTGGCAGCTACGTCCTCCTGGCTGCAGGAGCAGCGGGTGGCCAAGTCTCGGAGGGAATCCCCGGCAAAGGTGCAGTGACGCTCGGACGATAATTGCAGGGGATGGGGAATGATGGGGACCTCTGCATGATTCGCGGCATAAACAGTCATAGACCGAGGTAGCATGATTCGAGGGCTCCAAAGCGAAAGCGTCATTAGTTGTACAGAACGAGGTTTCTGTCATGATTCGTCAAGTTGTGTGGACTCAAGCATCGAGAGACCGAGGGTATCTGGCAAGTTCACGCTGGACAAGGGCACGAAGCTCGTCATGGTTGTGGGCCAGAAGGGCAATGATGGTGACTCATGCAATGATGGCGGCGGTGGAGGTGGAGGTGGAACCACCATTGCAGTGCTTGACCAAGGTCGGGCCGTTGCAAACTGGGGGACTGTCAGTAGAAACTCTAGACTCTATAGAGTCTTCGCGCGAGACTCTTCGTGCGACCCCACGCAGGAACCGACCAACTCACCGGCGACGTGCCGACCGATCTCCGCCAGAAGATGGTCAAGCCCTTGCTCGTTGCAGGAGGTGGCGCAGGAAACGATGACAATGCCTACTGGGGCTGCAAGCACCGTTTCCAAATTTCAGGAAGCCTTGTTGCCCAAATTCTCGTGCCATAGAGCGAGCACTACAAACCCGAAACGAAACGGACATTGCATGTTCATTAAAAATTGAATTGAGACATGAAGCTGAGAGTTTGCACGCAACTCTGCCAAATCTCCTGAGACCACACCTTCTACGCTCATGGAGGTTGCAATGGCAAGTACGGGATCTTTGCAGATTGTCCAACCGACTGCCACCAAGATAGACCAAAATACGCTCAGATGAGTATTGAGTTTAGTATGCAGATGCTAGCAGACTGGAATAGATGGATTCAGTTTCGCCGGGCTGTAGGGGTCCATTGCAACTCCGAGGCAGATCTCCGCCCCCGGCATGGATGGCGGTTTGACCCAGACTGGTGGGAGCATGCCGGCGGGAGGAATCAGGGGTTCTTGTTCTTTTCTCGTGCCCTATACAGTCACTGGGCACGCGGCATAGCATGCCAGATTGTTGAAAGCCGTTGCCAGAACATCCTATGAAAAAATATCATATCATGATGTCATGAAGTATCGTCGCAATGCTGTCCTTTGCTGTCCTTTGTCATTGATGGCAAGTCACACGGCGAAGCAAGCTAAAGCAACGCAAACCGTTTCACACAATGTCATCATATCTCGACATCATACCTTGGTTAGGTTGGGTAAGAAGAAGGTGAAAGCAGGTACATCGCCGTATAGTCCTGAAAAAAACCGTGGTGGCATCCTCTGTTTCTGTTGCCACACGAAAGCACGATGCGCTGCAGCATGCGTCTGCAATAAACGTTCGCCAATGATACATTGCATCGAAAACATTTCGCTAAAACATTCAAACGCTAGTCATGGACTGGAGGACCTAGGAGTCTAGCACGGTATGTAGTGTACGATCACTGCACGATCACTGTACTATCAGTCTACTAATCGGTGTCAAGTGATCCGTTTTGCAGGAGGCTCCCGGGGGCCATGCCGCTCCAATGGAGCGGGCTTCAAGGGCGACAACACGAACGACGGACACACGAAGACGTTCCTCCAAGGATGGAAAGTAGGGGAAAGGGGGGGCTGAAGGGGGCTGAAGCATTGAGACTGTCATGTGAATCGGTCGAGGAACCCCAGTTTCGGTGGTAGGTGCCAGTGCCAGAACCTGCATCACTTGCGTATACCAGTGTGCGCTTGGGGCTCTACGTTGACATGAGCCCCCCCAGGTAAGATTAGCTTTCGTCCAGCGTTCGCCTCTTTAGCCTGGACAGCTGCCCTCAGGGAGCCGCTCGCAGAAGCAAACCGGCTGGAGGGAGAGCGGCGGCTTCGGTGGAGGAGCTTCCAGCTGCAACTCTGGCGGTGCGGGCGGCGGCTACTGGGGCGGACGGCTCCTCGACAGAAGCCTTAGATCTTTCCGGCGCGGCCATGCGCATCTGGGCAATCAGCTCCTTGAAAAGGCGACGAATATTCAATACTGAGGGGGCAGCAGGGCTTACACGTGTGGGGCTGAAGTTGAGTCTTTGCCGCGATTTCAGCCGGCGCCTATTGGGGACTGTTTGAAAGTACGGTGGGAGGGTACTCAATAAACGCGGTGAACTGAAGATTGATTCTGAGAATGACGGTGGGCACGAGGTTCCTTTTCATGGAACATGTTCAAAGCCCAGACATGCTTCTCAAGAAAGACCTATGTGTTTAGATCCTTTGCAAAGCGAGCCTGGACTTGGCGCCAGGGGGTGCTTGTGTTGCCCGCCGGCGGAATGGGCTTTTGAAGGTCTGGGGCCATGCGTGTGTTGATGTTTTGCCTGTTGCGTTGCTTGGAAAAGGGGTTTACGTCCTGTTGCTGAGCACGGCCGCTGAAACCAAAGTACTCCAATCTTGACCTTTGCTTTGGAGTGCCCAAATTTGGCCATGATGCCTTTTGTTTGCGTTGTTTGTAAACTACCTCTGCGGACAGCGCTGAGGGTTGTACGAGTATAACAACTGCTGGAAAGTCTTGTCCGTTTGTATTTCTTGAGTTAGGACTGTTCTCAAAGCAGGTCTGTCAGAGCGTAGGGCGTAGCTGTGGGTGGTACCGGTAAGGCTCTGCCAGTTTTCTTTCAAAAACTTCAAGGGGCACTTAGCGTCTTCCCTCTTGGAGGGCCTTTGTGGTCCAAACGTGGACGCTGATCGGCAGTTCTCGGAAGATGATGCTGCAATGCGATAGCAAGCTTGCAAGACCAGCTTGCAGCATCGTCGTACGATGGTATTGCACTTGTCTTTAATATTATAGTGTAGCGTTGTATTTGTTTTGGAGATACATAGGCTACCCTATACACTACTAGCATAATTAGTACGCAATCCCACAGCTCCTTTGAGGACCGACGATGAGGCCGAGCTTGGGAACGGCAGATGCAGCACCGCAGCCCAATGGGACGAAGATCAATGCACCAGTGGCTCCCTCTTGCATGGGCACAGCCCTCTTATTTCCAATGCAGTAGAATGCTACGTATACTGGGGTATGACATTGTGGTGACATGTCGTAACCTGAATATGGCTTTGACGAGCAACTAAGGTGGCGGCACTTCCTTCATGGACTCCTCAGGAAGCAAGTTCCTGGCGCATGGCGCCCTTTCCCATTGCAACGGCTACATCATCCTGGAGTCATGCGCCTCCCGTTGCACGTCATCACTACCTTTGACGTGTATGTGAAGGTGCATTTAGCAATAGCAATTGAACTTCTGTGGTATATCTGATAACCTTATGATAATCGTGGAAATTATCGTGTGCTAGTTCAGGCCAGGCCCTTGTAATATGTGTGCAGCTATGTCTACCCCCTCAAAGAAAAACATGGGTTGTTATCTTCCATGCAACGTTGCATATCCCTGTGACATGGAAGTCAGTGAGGTACGGGCACTTGCGCGCCCTCGAAGATCCCTGAGGCAACCTTTGGCCAGGGCTGCACTTGGAGCGCATGAGGCTGAACGCCCAGGCAACATTTAGCCAGGGCGCACTCGCAGCGCTTGAGGCTGAACTCCCAGTCGGAACTCTTCAAAAAATCGTGTGCTATATTCAGACAGCATAACGTGTGTCGTATAGTCTTACGGCCGTAGTCTACTACATTCTATGCAATATACGACAGCATACGGTAGTATCTTTGCCATGAATGAAATGCAAGGGTGCACGAATTTGGAGAAGTACTTGAGTAATTACAGGGCAGCGACCCTCAGCTGGAGTGAGAGACCGTAGCCGGGAATACTCTTTCAAGTATTTGCCGTAACATCACAGTTGTTTTGTCCAGTTGATGGGGGCCGCCCTGTCTCCAAGTCACAGCCGGCTGGAAGGAGCACAGTACGATAGTATACGACGGTATACGCTATTTACATCCTATAGATCCTATGGCCCTATGGTATACTATGTGTAGCCTCCTCGCGGCGTCGCAGCGAAACTGTGCTCTCAAGTTTTTTTCTTTCAGCAGGTGGTGTTTCAGCAGACGCTGTGAGAAGAGGAAGAAAAGGGAACGCCTTTGCTGCCAGATATTATGTGAGCCCCTGTACAGTATTGTACTGCAAGGGATAGTGACTAGAAGGGAAGGGCGCGGGGTCACGTTTTTCCGAGGTGCGGCTTAGCGCTTGGTGCGGCTGGGCTTTTGATGCGGCTTGGCTTGGATCGGCTTGGATTGCCCGGCCGTTTTTTTTTTGTTTTTTTTTGGCTTTTGCCGAGGTAAGGCTCGGCTTGGCTCCGTTTTTTTCCTAGGTGCGGCTTGGCTTGGCTCTCCAATCTGCACAGTTGGTGGGGCCCGGTTCCGCGTGACCCATGTGTTCTATTTGCCCCTGACACCTCGACTGAAAGACGGTGGAATATCTTCGGGTGCCTTGTTTCGTTTCTCAAGGCTGGAGAAATCCATTGGGCTTTTCCGGTAAGCTTTAGGACCCGGAAACCAGGCCTTCCGCTTCACAACCGCACACGACGAGCCCGATCGGCATCCGATGGAAAGATTCACAGGCTACGGACAGTCTTCAAAGGCTTTGCTTGCTGGGGCTTGTAGAAGGCTTGGCGTGGGGTCTCGCTATGGCCTTCCATGCTGTAAGGACATTCGATCAGCTGCCCTTGATTTTGGCATGGACACCTGGGAAGCCTCGCGCTTGGTACGGATATCTTTGTGACTTCCCGAAGCCTACGAGGGGCTTAGGGTAACATCTAAGTGGCAAGAACTTTGCTTCCATACTTCCTTGTTTGTTTCTAGTAGCTGAGGATGCTGTCGACTTGGCACCTGAATGCCTGGGAGCAATGAGTAAAATGCGGGTTCTCAGCGCCATCAGCAAAGAGCATGTGTGGTTGTTCCAATAGTTCCAATACTTGTGGTCTAATTAGTCATGAATAAGAAAGGCCCTCACAGCGATCCCAGGCCAAGACTCAGCCGATAAGCACACTACACCCACACCACACGAGGAGGGTTCCACCTACATCGTGACAGTCCAGCCTGCAGTTTGTAGGCGGATAAGATTCATGGCTTGCCTGGAGCTTTTGCAGTGCAGCCCATGTAGCAAGACTCCTTGACGCTTTGTCGGGATTGAGGGAATGGATCCCTTTGGTGCTCCTCGTATAATCCTCATTAATGCCCCCTGGAACCTTTTGGCCCCAAGAGCCTAATTAAGCCAAAACAAAGCCTTAAGATTCTAAGGCCAAGAAAACCAACCCACAACCATGCGTACAGGAGAGTTGGGAGACTTGTGCCGCAGTGGGCTCCAGATTGTTTACAGCCTGTCACCGCGGCACCATAAAGGGCGAAGGCAACACCACATAGCACGACACAGCATGACGTAGCATGACGTAGCATGACGTAGCATGACGTAGCACAGCTGCACAGAATTGTGTGGACTAGGAGTTGAGGTCGCCGTGTGTTGCTGTCATGGTGTCCCGGCAAAAAATGTTCTGCGTGGTCGGGAACCAAGCACGACTTTCCATGAACACCTCGCATTGAGAGCCCTTCAATTCGTCAACAGCTCGTTCATTGCTGGACTGTTCTCACAAGCACAATCAGGTTGCGGCCACTTCGAGCTTAGCCGCGGCGTTTCTGACCGTCCCGCGACTTGGTTGCTCAGCTTCCAGGACAGGTCGTGCCAACGCGTCGGATGTGTTCTTTCCATGTTTAAGCAGACATAAGATTGCCTGGTCGGTCTAGAGAGTCTAGAGTCCAGATGTGGAAAAAGTTACCTGTCAGGACGAACTTCCCAGGACCGCGATTCCTGAGTCTGCGCATATGCGTTCATGGTAGCCTTCGGCTAGTTTCTCCTTCAGTGCCACCTTTTGTGTGGTCTGCGGCAGGCGTTCATCGGACAACGCCTCGACCTCGGGATTGACAGTTCGCGAGCGGCGCTGTCCTGATGCGGAATCTAGGTTTCGCGCCGCCGCAGATGGCATGGAGGTGGGCGGACGCTTCACAACAGCGACATCATCATTTAGAGGACATCCTGACTCTGGTCTGGTGTCGTGCAGGGCATGGAGTCCGTTGGCCCCGTCATGGCTGCTGCGGCTTTCTTGCGGGCACCCAAGGGGGTTAAACGATCTTCGGCAGGTTACATGCTCTGGCAAATCTGCATCAGTCAACGTGCAATAGTAGCTTGAGCGACAAGTCTGTGGAGCTTCGCGCATGACCATCCGAGGTTCTCGCTTTCGGCCGTTGTGCTGGGAAACAGCGCGGGGACCCACCGTCGCGCCTGCTCTCACCTTCTCTCCTTCGAATTCGAGGGTCTCCGACATTCTCTGAGCAATCCTTCATCTTCGAACCCCCATCTCTTCAGGTCGCCGTTCCAGTTCGAGCAGCTCAAGCGGGCCTAACCTGGCATCAATAATGCCGGAAGCCTGCGATCGGTGCACATTGCCGCATGTCAGCTCACGTGCCAGTGAGATGTCCTGGCATATCTTGACTGCGAGGTCCTCGTCCAACCTCACGGGGGCAGGGGCCTCAGCACAGGGTTGCCATGGATGTCTTCTACGAAGCACCTTCAACCCTGAACTTCAAGCCTTGAGACCTGAGGGGCCGTGAAACAGTGAAAGTGAAACAACAACCCTAACCTGCAAACGCATGGCCCTCAACCCCTTCACCTCGAAGGCATACCAGTACAGGGCAGGGCTCTGCTTGGCAAAGGTGGCCCACGCGACTCCGTGCACTTCGAGGCCATTCTAGGGGTTCTGCGTACGGAGAGTAGAAGGAATGATCTCAAGAGAAGAACACAATCGTGAATATTACACCGGACGGAAGGACTGCCTAGTTTTTGTGGTGGTGCGGGGCGTGTATACATCCTCACCGGGCAAATCCATCCGGACGCATGAAGTGCTCTCGTTATCTCTACTCGTACCTCGGAGAGAGGTGGCCTCAGCGACACTCAACTGCACGTTCAGCCATGGTGCCAGCGGCCCAGAGAGACGCAAAACATGTTTGGCATCCAATGCTGGCAATTCTTTAGCCCTTGAGCCATGTGGCCATGTGCCCACGTTTCCATTTCCGTTTCCATTCCTCCTCCTCCTCCTCCTCCTCCTCCTGCTCCTCCTCCTCCTCCTCCTCCTCCTCCTCCTTCTCAGGTTCGAGCGTTTCTCCGAGAGGAGCATCAAGGTGTGCAGACGGGTGGCAAAAGAAACGCAGAGCTGAAGTCGAGAGTCCTCGAGTTCAAAGCTTCAGCAGTTCGCCCAAAAAAGGCGGTGGTGCTGGCTCAGACCGAGGCACAGCGCATCAAGCAGGACAGCAAGTCTACAGCCGAGTTCCTCAATAGGTACTAGAACTGGAGCTGGGAGGACCACGTGGGAACGGAGATGATGGTGGTGGGCCTGCTGGCCGAAGGCAGCGGGGGCGCCAAGGCGCTGCAGGCGCTGGGCGTGCGCCTCGAGGAGGCACGGGGGACTCAAGCGAATCGCCGCTGCAAATCGCCCTTAAGCCGACAAAGGCCTCACTGCCCCCATAGCCCCGTAGTGAATCGGCCGTTTAAGGCTTCAAGGGCTCAAGGGGGGCCATTTTCTTTAACTTGCGTTTGAAAGGCAAGGAGAGAGCTCGAGCGTATGGTGGGCTTCGGCCAAGGCGGGGCGACATCTGCAGTTGGTTCGGAACTTTTCCATTGTAGTGCCACTGCTCACAGGCGGCAAGTCGAAGGAGATTCCCTTCACCACGTCAGCCAGACAGGTACTGGAGGCAAAGAGCCGCAACCGGGTCCCTTCCTTGCTTCAAGTCGGTTCCCTTGTTGCACCTTGACCACAAGCCTCCCGCCACAAGAGGACTCTGTCGAGTGCGCCCGCGAGCGAGGCGTGGCCGTGCATGAGACTCATGAGACATCATGGATAGTTCCACTGCTCCCTCAACTACCTGCTGCTACCTGAACTAGATGCGTGCTATAGGTATATACATACAATGTACACATGTTGTTAAACCTACAATGTGCTCTCACCCCTCCCAAGATCCACCCAGGTGTTTTCCCCCCAAGATCTATCCACAGAGTCGTTATCAGTCCAAACGACGTAGTTTAGTAGGCCACCCAAGTTTGAGATGTTCGCAGAAGAGTTCGCACGTTCCAGAGCAACCTTAGGGCCTGAAACCTCCAAGTGCGAAACCGGCCGCGGTTTCAGGATGAGTTAAGGCACGATAGTCGTTACGGCAGCGAATCGGGGGAGCCAGGGGGGGTTTTGAGGGGGTCGAGGCACGATAGTGAGTCGCGAGGAAGTCGGACGAATCTGCGCTAGCTTTCGTTAGTCTTGGCTTGCCCCTCAAGTCGACGACGAAGCGTAGACGCTCCTGCCTGTGGCAGACACGCAACAAGTCAACACCTGCCACCTGCTGCGGGCGCTTCTTCGCCAGGCCTGGGCCTCACTTCCCGTCACTCTGTGTACCACTTCCCCCCTTGCAATGAGTCAGCAAGGTGGAGAGCAACGGTTGCAAGCTGCCAGTCACTCAAGCATCTCAAACCTGAAGGCCAAGCGAGTATGTGCGAGGCCAAAAACAGTCTGGGAGTGTCACTGAGGCTCGCCAAAGTGCTGGCCACTGACAGCCAGCAGGCACAAGAACAGCGAATAGCTGCGCAGCGAAAGTTTCGAGTAGCTGCAAGGCACTGCAAGGTATCATACATTCAATTCTCCTTCGTATGAAGTATACAGAAATCATCGAGATTTGTGAAGTTGGGCTCCTCCCGGAGGTTCTCCGCGAGAGGGTGCTGGCAGCCTTGGCGCAGCAGGAGAGCACAGAAAGCACCGGGGAGAAGGCACACAGGGCAGTCACAGGGCACACAGATTCAGCATGAGTGAGAGTGGGTCTCGAGCGAGCGAAGTGCAGAGCGAAGCAAAAGCGAAGCGAAAGGGAGTCAACTCCTGTGCTGCTTTCAGGTGTTGGGTGGCGCAGCGCGCCCAGCCATCGAGGATGAGGTTGACCTGACCCAGACGCCGGGCACTTTCAAAAGCCTGCTTGCAAGAGACTGGCGACTTTGGACAGATGAGGAAGTGGCAAATGTGGAAGAATACGGAGTAATGATGATCTGCCCTGTTCCCCCGCCGACAGAACAAAAAAACCACTCAAGCGCAGGCCCCAAGCAAAGAGTCACCGGAAACACTTGGACAACTTGGACGTGAACGTGTAAATCCATGTACGTTACGTGTTGAATGCGGGTTGGTGCATGTTCCGAGGCTCAAGTACGGCACGGACCTGACAGAGGCTGCTCGAGAGGGTCGCCTCGATCCGCTCGTGGGTGTGGGGGCACAGAGTTTTGAGCGATCTTGAGCACTTTGTTTGTTTGAGTTTGCAATGATGGTGTTTGCGTTATGGGCTCGAGACTGCAGACTGTCATGCGGATGTCCGAGGACGCCATGAGGAGTTGCGACGAACCATCCGAATCCTGGGCCGGCGCACCAAGAACAACCCAGTGCTGGTGGGCGAGGCATCGGGCACGGATCGTTGGATGTTGACCTTGTGTGCCGCGGCGGGGTTTTGGGATGCTGTGGCATTATTCATGTGGTTCAAGATGGAGCACGTGAAAACTCCAGCTTGTTGAAGGCTGGCGTCGGGAAGACCTCAATCGCTCTGGGCCTGGCTCAGCTCATTGCCGATGGCAAGGTTCCTTTGAACCTCAAGGACCTTCTGAAGCTGTTGAATTTCTCTAGGCTCTAGACAGCCACGTGACCTGCAGCGCCACACTCACGTAACAGGGTAAGTTTGCGGTGTACGTGAACAGTTCAATTGTCAACACGGCATCAGGACAAGCGAGTTGGAGCCCCATTTTGCAACTTTGCATACGGGCAGCATGCAGTGGGGACCCGATGCAAAGCTACAGCTTCTCAGGTCGTGCAGTTGGACTTGGCACTACTTCTGGCTGGCACCCGCTACCGAGGTGACTTCGAGGCAAGGCCACTGAGCTCCGCGAGGGTGTAGGAAGCGCCTCACAGTACATTGGCAGGAGCGCTTGCGGGCAGTGGTGAAGGAAGTGACTGACAGCAAGCGCCGGGTCATCTTGGTGGTCGACGAGGCATCGCCAGCAGAGCTTTGACTTAGTACCCCGTCCTCGACTAGTATCGGGGGGGCATCTTAGTCGTATGCGGTTGATCAGGTATCGCAAGTCACTGGGGGGAAGCATCCAAGGAAGGTCGCATTAAGTCTCTACAAACCGACGACTCCCATGTCCCCCCCTGAGCGCTCAGGCCTCGATCGCGAGCACCCTCAACTCTCCGAAATTCAAAGGTTCCCAGTCACAAAAACGCTGTGGCGCTTCGGGCTTCATGCAGAACGAGCTTCCGGATCTTCAGGTGCAAAGCAGTATTCTGCAAGATGGCGTGTTTTGATGCGACCCAAATGCGCGCAATCACTGGGGCAGTTGGTTTTGCAACATCTGGAGACTAGGGGGTGGCCATGTGGAAATATACCCTGCCTCGTCAAATGCGCGCAATCACTGGGGCAGTTGGTTTTGCAACATGTGGATGATACTCATGATGCTCCCTGCCTCGTCAAATGCGCGCAATCACTGGGGCAGTTGGTTTTGCAACATCTGGAGTCTAGGGGGCCATGTGGCCTGAAATATACCCAGCTGATGCTCATGATGCTCCCCTCCTGCCTCGTCAAATGCGCTCAATCATCGGGGCAGTTGGTTTTGATGCTCAAGATGCGCCGCAATCACTGGGGCAGTAGTCTAGGGGCAGGAGGGGAGCATCATGAGCATCAGCTGGGTCTATTTCCGGCCACATGGCCCCCCCTAGACTCCAGATGTTGCAAAACCAACTGCCCCAGTGGTTGCACCCATTTGACGAGGCAGGGGGAGCTCATGAGCATCAGCTGGGTATATTTCCGGCCACATGGCCCCCCTAGACTCCAGATGTTGGCTGGGTATATTTCAGGCCACATGGCCCCCTAGACTCCAGATGTTGCAAAACCAACTGCCCCAGTGATTGCGCGCATTTGACGAGGCAGGAGGGGAACATCGTGAGCATCAGCTGGGTATATTTCCCTCGTCAAATGGGCGCAATCACTGGGGCAGTTGGTTTTGCAACATCCGGAGTCTAGGGGGGCCATGTGGCCGGAGATATACCCAGCTGATGCTCACGATGCTCCCCTCCTGCCTCGTCAAATGCGCGCAATCACTGGGGCAGTTGGTTTTGCAACATCTGGAGTCTAGGGGGCCATGTGGCCTGAAATATACCCAGCTGATGCTCATGATGCTCCCCTCCTGCCTCGTCAAATGCGCGCAATCACTGGGGCAGTTGGTTTTGCAACATCTGGAGTCTAGGGGGGCCATGTGGCCGGAAATATACCCAGCTGATGCTCATGAGCTCCCCCTGCCTCGTCAAATGGGTGCAACCACTGGGGCAGTTGGTTTTGCAACATCTGGAGTCTAGGGGGGCCATGTGGATATACCCAGCTGATGCTCATGATGCTCCCCTCCTGCCTCGTCAAATGCGCTCAATCATCGGGGCAGTTGGTTTTGATGCTCAAGATGCGCCGCAATCACTGGGGCAGTAGTCTAGGGGGGCCCTGTGGCCGGAAATATACCCAGCTGATGCTCATGATGCTCCCCTCCTGCCTCGTCAAATGCGCCCAATCACTGGGGCAGCTGGTTTTGCAACATCTGGAGTCTAGGGGGGGCCTGTGGCCGGAAATATACCCAGCTGATGCTCATGATGCTCCCCTCTCGTCTCGTCAAATGCGCGCAAGCACTGGGGCCGTTGGTTTTGCAACATCTGGAGTCTAGGGGGCCACGTGGTCGGAAATATACCCAGCTGATGCTCATGATGCTCCCCTCCTGCCTCGTCAAACGCGCGCAATCACTGGGGCAGTTGGTTTTGCAACATCTGGAGTCTAGGGGGGGCCTGTGGCCGGAAATATTCCCAGCTGATGCTCATGATGCTCCCCTCTCGTCTCGTCAAATGCGTGCAAGCACTGGGGCCGTTGGTTTTGCAACATCTGGAGTCTAGGGGGCCACGTGGTCGGAAATATACCCAGCTGATGCTCATGATGCTCCCCTCCTGCCTCGTCAAACGCGCGCAATCACTGGGGCAGTTGGTTTTGCAACATCTGGAGTCTAGGGGGGGCCTGTGGCCGGAAATATTCCCAGCTGATGCTCATGATGCTCCCCTCCTGCCTCGTCAAATACTCGCAAGCCCTGGTTTTGCAACATCTGGAGTCTAGGGGGGGCCTGTGGCCGGAAATATACCCAGCTGATGCTCATGATGCGCCCCTCCTGCCTCATCACATGCGCGCAAGCACTGGGGCAGTTGGTTTTGCAACATCTGGAGTCTAGGGGGCCATGTGGCCGGAAATATACCCAGCTGATGCTCACGATGCTCCCCTCCTGCCTCGTCAAATGCGCGCAATCACTGGGGAGGCAGTTGGTTTTGAAACATCTGGAGTCTAGGGGGGGGCCTGTGGCCGGAATTATACCTAGCTGAAGCTCATGATGCTGCCCTCCTGCCTCGTCAAATGGGCGCAACCACTGGGGCAGTTGGTTTTGCAACATCTGGAGTCTAGGGGGGCCATGTGGCCGGAAATATACCCAGCTGATGCTCATGATGCTCCCCTCCTGCCTCGTCAAATGCGCGCAATCACTGGGGCAGTTGGTTTTGCAACATCTGGAGTCTCGGGGGTGAGCATGTGGAAATATACCCAGCTGATGCTCATGATGCTCCCCTGCCTTGTCAAATGCGCGCAATCACTGGGGCAGTTGGTTTTGCAACATCTGGAGTCTAGGGGGTGGCCATGTGGAAATAGACCCAGCTGATGCTCATGATGCTCCCCTCCTGCCTCGTCAAATGCGCGCAATCACTGGGGCAGTTGGTTTTGCAACGTCTGGAGTCTAGGGGGGCCATGTGGCCGGAAACATACCCAGCTGATGCTCATGATGCTCCCCTCCTGCCTCGTCAAATGCGCGCAATCACTGGGGCAGTTGGTTTGCAACGTCTGGAGTCCAGGTGGGCCACGTGGCCGGAAATGTTCCCAGCTGATGCTCATGATGCTCCCCTCCTGCCTCGTCAAATGGGCGCAACCACTGGGGCAGTTGGTTTTGCAACATCTGGAGTCTAGGGGGGGCCCTGTGGCCGGAAATATACCCAGCTGATGCTCATGATGCTCCCCTCCTGCCTCGTCAAATGCGCCCAATCACTGGGGCAGCTGGTTTTGCAACATTTGGAGTCTAGGGGGGGCCTGTGGCCGGAAATATACCCAGCTGATGCTCATGATGCTCCCCTCTCGTCTCGTCAAATGCGCGCAAGCACTGGGGCCGTTGGTTTTGCAACATCTGGAGTCTAGGGGGCCACGTGGTCGGAAATATACCCAGCTGATGCTCATGATGCTCCCCTCCTGCCTCGTCAAACGCGCGCAATCACTGGGGCAGTTGGTTTTGCAACATCTGGAGTCTAGGGGGGGCCTGAGGCCGGAAATATTCCCAGCTGATGCTCATGATGCTCCCCTCTCGTCTCGTCAAATGCGTGCAAGCACTGGGGCCGTTGGTTTTGCAACATCTGGAGTCTAGGGGGCCACGTGGTCGGAAATATACCCAGCTGATGCTCATGATGCTTTCCTCCTGCCTCGTCAAACGCGCGCAATCACTGGGGCAGTTGGTTTTGCAACATCTGGAGTCTAGGGGGGGCCTGTGGCCGGAAATATTCCCAGCTGATGCTCATGATGATCCCCTCCTGCCTCGTCAAATACTCGCAAGCCCTGGTTTTGCAACATCTGGAGTCTAGGGGGTGTGGCCGGAAATATACCCAGCTGATGCTCATGATGCGCCCCTCCTGCCTCGTCAAATGCGCGCAAGCACTGGGGCAGTTGGTTTTGCAACATCTGGAGTCTAGGGGGCCATGTGGCCGGAAATATACCCAGCTGATGCTCACGATGCTCCCCTCCTGCCTCGTCAAATGCGCGCAAGCACTGGGGAGGCAGTTGGTTTTGAAACATCTGGAGTCTAGGGGGGGGGCCTGTGGCCGGAAATATTCCCAGCTGATGCTCATGATGCTCCCCTCCTGCCTCGTCAAATGCGCGCAAGCACTGCGGCAGTTTGTTTCGCAACATCTGAAGTCTACGGGACCATGTGGCCGGAAATATACCCAGCTGATGCTCATGATGCTCCCCTCCGCCTCGTCAAATGCAATCACTGGGGAGATTGGTTTTGCAACATCTGGAGTCTAAGGGGGCCATGTGGCCGGAAATATTCCCAGCTGATGCTCATGATGCTCCCCTCACGTCTCTTCAAATGCGCGCAAGCACTGGGGCAGTTGGTTTTGCAACATCTGGAGTCTAGGGGGCCATGTGGCCGGAAATATACCCAGCTGATGCTCATGATGCTCCCCTCCTGCCTCGTCAAATGCGCGCAATCACTGGGGCAGTTGGTTTTGCAACATCTGGAGTCTAGGGGGCCATGTGGCCGGAAATATACCCAGCTGATGCTCATGATGTGCCCCTCCTGCTCGTCAAATGCACGCAAGCACTGCGGCAGTTGGTTTTTGCAACATCTGGAGTCTAGGGGGGCCATGTGGCCGGAAATATCCCAGCTGATGCTCATGATGCTCCCCTCCTGCCTCGTGCGCGCAAGCACTGGGGCAGTTGGTTTTGCAACATTTGGAGTCTAGGCCCAGCTGATGCTCATGATGCTCCCCTCCTGCCTCGTGTCCGCAAGCACTGGGCAGTTGGTTTTGCAACACCTGGAAACAAGGGGACCGGAAATATACCCAGCTGATGCTCATGATGCTCCCCTCCTGCCTCGTCAAATGCGCGCAAGCACTGGGGCAGTTGGTTCTGCAAGATCTGGATCTAGGGGGCCATGTGGCCGGAAATTTACCCAGCTGATGCTCATGATGCTCCCCTCCTGCCTCGTCAAATGCGCGCAAGCACTGGGGCAGTTGTTTTTGCAACATCTGGAGTCTAAGGGGTGGCCATGTGGAAATATACCCAGCTGATGCTCATGATGCTCCCCTCCTGCCTCGTCAAATGCGCGCAAGCGCTGGGGCAGTTGGTTTTGCAACATCTGGAGTCTAGGGGGGGCCTGTGGCCGGAAATATACGCAGCTGCTGCTCACGATGCTCCCCTCCTGCCTCGTCAAATGCGCGCAAGCACTGGGGCAGTTGGTTTTGCAACATCTGGAGTCTAGGGGGGCCATGTGGCCGGAAATATACCCAGCTGATGCTCATGATGCTCCCCTCCTGCCTCGTCAAATGCGCGCAAGCACTGGGGCAGTTTGGTTTTGCAACATCTGGAGTCTAGGGGGTGGCCATGTGAGAAGCCTGTAGGTTCACACGCTTGTGGGTGCGGGCAGCGGCGGTGGCGACACCGGAGGCGGAATGGATGCCGCACAGCCACTCAGGGATTGCCGCGACTCCACTCGCGAATGATACTCAGCCTTGCAGCTTTGTACACCAAGGCCAACCTCTTGAAGCCCGCCCTGGCTCGCGGCGAGACAGGAGCTCGGAATGTCCCCCAGTTTCGAAGACGCCACGAGTTTGTGACTCACTGCTCCGATCTCTCGAGGCTGCAATGCATCGGAGCCACAACCCTAGACGAGCCAGGACCCTATTTGCAACGATTCTGCAACAGCAATGGCGACACATTGTGACTCTCCGGTTGGGGTGCATGTTGAGCTGATGAACACTCTTGCACGCCATTGTGGGCCCTTGTAAGGGGCTCCTGTTGGCTTTCATGGCGTAAGTACTCCAGGTATCGCAAGTACATCGAGCGAGATCCGGCCTTGGAGAGGCGATTCCAGCCTGCCGGGGCCTTCCCGAGAACTGTCAGTGAGCTGCTAGTGTTACAGCTTCAGAAGTAGTGCTACTGAGCGGCTATTTGGGTTATGGCTGGCCTTCACGAGGTGACAGTGCCAGAACCCACGGAGGAAGAGTCTGCGTCGACCTCAAAGCTCTTCTAATGAGCATCAGAGCCTACTCCAGAAGATGTCCGCCACCCTGCCAGTTGGTGGATTCTCCATCTTCTCCTAAGGTGCAGATTCTCAAGGGCCTCGCCCCGAAGTGAGCACACCGGACCTTCTCTTTGCCAAGTACTTCTTTAGGTTTCTGGGGGCCCATTTCGGGGGTGAGATCCACATTGCCAAGTTCTGAAACGTGTGCTGTCGCGTCTGTTGAGGTACGAGAAGCATCACCAGCTCAGCTACACGACCGAGGCTTGGGTTTCCACATGCTTGCAGATTCTTGCACACTGGGCTGTTCGGTCCACGACACCGCTCGTCACTGCAGCGGTGTTTCAACCATTGCGTTACTTCATGTTACTTCCCATGTTGCAATCGTGTAAGGGTAACATGGACAGCATGTGCAGCATGTGGCTTGATCTCGAGGCCCTGGAAGCTTCCGTCAAACTGTCATGCCAGTTCATTGCGGACCGCTATCTGCCAGACAAGGCGCATTGTGATGCATCGTGTTCTCGAGTTGTGTGTTTTGAGGTGTTTTGAGGTGCTTGCCATTGCGATGCCGGTCTCCAAATCACATCTTGGAAGCTGAGGCCATCGATGTCATGGACGAAGCTGGCTCGAAGGCCGAATGTGGTGCCTAAGTTGGTCTCCGCAGGTGCTACCAAGGCCTTCTTTCCCTTCTCGAGATTTGTATGTTGCAGGTGCGCCAGCAGCTCTTTCAGGCTGTTGAGGCGTGGACTTCCGCATCGATTCTCCACCTGGAGTTGTTGCCTGTGATGCGCTTGGCAGGAGACCCAGAACGCAGCCGAGCAGTGGGCGGCAGGCCCTACGAAGCTCGACAAAGTGCAAGCATCTATAGCGAAGTCAACACATGTTCGTTTAGCATGTCGATTCAACGCCGTGCTGGGCTTGGCTGAGCATTTGCATCACGGGCGCTGGGGGCGCATTGCTGACAGGCAGAGAGCTGGAGGAGGCTGGGGTGAAATCCCACCCTTGTGAAACCTCACATGCAATTCTGCCCACCTGTTCGACACGACGGCGCAATAGAGCTGAAAGCCCTGAACCGACCCACGAATCCTGCAAATAGTCCCTAATGCGGGCATGGCCCGGCGAATCACCGGAACATACGAGCGAAGTGCGGGAGCCAGACGACAGCGCCAACAGCGATGCAAGTTCACATAGATCATCTTGGAGAAGAGGGCAGCAGTGAGCAGGTGACGGCCCAGAAGGCCCGAGCAGCGCGCGAGGAGCGCTACGAGGAGGCACTGCCTGCACTGCCACCGAAACCTCAAGGAATGTCCCAAAATACTTGATGGGGATGCTGGGATATAAACATTGCAACTGACACATTTGCGGGTGCGGTCACCAAAATGAATTTCAACTCAGCTCGAAACTCCGGCGAGTCGGTGTGTCTCTCTCTGTCGCTTTGTCTTTCTCCTTCTCTTTCTCTTTCTCTTTCTCTTTTTCAAGAGCCGACTTTTTAGTTACTATCAGTCGGAGAGGCCGCGGAGCTCAAGCGCAAGGAGAAGGACCTGGCTGAGCGGCTGGAGAGGCCAAGAAAAACTTGAAGAGTTGAAGCATGACTTGATGAAAGGGCGAGGAACTCTGCAAGGAACTCTGCAAGTAACTCGCAAGAACTCACCTCAGAAGCCACCGTGGTGCCGTGGGCAGGCTGCGGCAGGCCTCGGCTGAGGGCTCTGACTCCCAGGGCCTCGTGAAGGACCGCTTCAAAGGGGAGAAGGGGCAGAAACCAAGTCGAGACAACTAAACAAAACAGAGGCGCCAGAATGCGATGTAAGAATTTTATCAATACGTTCTTCATCCTCTGGTGCTCCGTGACTCAGAGAGAGGAGCTCCAGAGCCTTGGAGCCAAGATCCGTGAGGTGCTGCGATGCTTAAGTTCTGACATATGTTGGGCCCCTTTCTGAGAGAATGCGAATTCATCTTGGTTTGTGAATCCGGAGGCGGTGACGGCCGAGCGCTTTGTGGAGGCCCAAGAGCTCAAGGCACGCGAGACCCAGGCGGGGCGGAAGCGGGTGGAAGGGGCTTGAAGGGGGTATGATGATAGGGTATGCTGTGCGACATTGAGTCCGTGCCCTGGCAAGTGTTGAGGGGCAAGTGGCAGTGGGTGAAACGCTTGCACTTCTAAATCAAAGCACCTTGAGACATCAATCGAGAGAGCTGACAGGTGGCCGAGATATTGCAAAAGCAGGGTGGCGTTCCCAGCGAGGCGCGCAACTCCTACCAGGTCATGGCTGTTTGTGTAAGAAAGTATTACAGTAAGGCATTGAGGAACATGTGACAACATACGGACGTCAATTGGGATGGTGCCAGTTTCTTGCTAGATGTTGAGTTGTGGCGTGCTCGACAGGAGGCTGAGCCAGGCTAAGGAGTCCTGTAACCTGAAAGCCTGAATCCCTGAAGACTTGCTTTGCGGCTTCAGCCATTCCTAGCGGTCCTTATGCCACACTGCACACACATGAGTCATTGCGAGTCCCTTAAAGGCAACCCTCGTGCGGCAAGTGACCGCAGAAGATGTGGCGCAGGCCAACTCTCGAATCAAAACCGCACGACGTCTCTCTCTCTCTCTCTCTCGCTCTCTCGACTGCACTCCGGTCCAGGTGGTGTCCAGTTGGACAGGCATTGCCGTGGAGCAGGCGTGCACGCAACCATTTTGGCCTTACTAAGCCTGTACTAGCTCAAGACAAGACTACACATGGCCTCGAGAAGCCCGCATGCAGGTGAGTGCTAGCGAGTCTTCTCGGCTCCTCCATTTGGAGAAGGTGGCAAGCCTGCACAAAGTTCTCCTAAAGCAGAACAGTTACATGATGGCGCATCACATGGCTGCGCGCGAGTACATCAGTGGATGCACAAGTGATCTCATTGAATCTGCTCTCCTCTCTCGCTCGCACGGCGCAATAAGTGGTTTATGCGCATCCTGGCGGATTCAGGAACTCCATGAGACAATCATCGGACAGGACGAGGCTGGTCGGCGATGTCGAATGCAGGGAACGCCCTTGAGTTATATGCTTTATATTCCTCGACGATCTCACGAATACGTGTGAGAGAGAGAGAGAGAGAGAGAGAGCGAGGCCGTCCGCAGCGTCGCCCGGGCGCTGCGGCGGGCGCGCGCCGGCCTGCGGAACCCGCAGCGGCCGATGGCTGGGCTCGGGCACTCAGGTGTTAGGTTTTTGCTGGAGCTGTGAGATGTCTTGCGGAGATGGTTTGCGTGTGTCGAACTCTGTGTGTGCTGAGGTTCTGCTTCTGTGGGCCCACTGGGGTGGGCAAGACAGCACTGTGCAAAACCCTGTCCTCAACCTTCTTTGGCTCGGAGGCGCCCTGGCTTGCAGCACCCTTTCAGAAAGGCCTTAAGGCTTTAGGGAGCACCCCTCTTGGAAGCGAAGAAGCGAGCGCCAAAGCCGCCCAGGACTCCATGATCCGATTGGACATGAGCGAGCTCCACGGCTGCACACGGGGGGTTGGACATGTTTGAGCCGCCAATCGTTTGAAGAGGCTGTGCCGGACATGTGAAGAGATGTACTGTTCACGTCGCAGCATCAAAGTTCGCAGCCTGCTGCGACGTCATTGCCTTTGGACCTGGGTATGTATTAACGTGTATACCCCATCAGCACATTGAGTTGTCACCTGCAACGTCGGCATAGGCTCTTGCAGGACTGGGCTCTCGTAGGAAGGAGATGGAGGTCGAAAGGCCATAGGCCCAAAGGCCATAGACCAAGAGGGTTGGGCACCATGAGGAAGAGCTTGAATGATGAGCTTGAGTGAGGTTCATGGAGAAGCACACAGCCGGAAGCCTTGGAGAGAGAGAGAGCCCTTTCTTCGGGTGTCGCACCGATGGTCCATCTCCGAGTTCCGCATGCTTCTTTCAGGTGTCCAAGCTCATTGGCGCGCCTCCGGGCTATGTCGCCCTGGCTGCTTCTGTTTTTTCACGTATCTTTCACTTTTTTTCCAGATGCAGGGGCTCTGTGCCAAAGTTGCTCAGAGTTGTTTTCTTCTCGGCTCGAAATCCTGTTTTCAGGCAGTTGCCTGGCCCTATGCGGTTGCAGAGCAGCGCAGCGCACAGGAAGGACAGCACACCCGTAATTTCAGACAGACCGCCCCCAGAATGCCAACCATGGAAGCCGCTGATGGGAAGAGCGTTCCCGAGCTTCCCTGCTTGGTTGGTGGCAGCCGCGCAGGCAGCGGAAAAAGATCCAAAAGACACCGGATTCCGATGACTAATTAATATTTATTGACAGCCCCTAAGACCTAAGAAGATCCCCTCTCAGAGAGCATGATTGCAGATATTTGCAGTCAGTTGCCTGTGGGAGGCTTTGGAGTTCCCCGCCACCGCACTTTGGAGTCGCGGCCTGGTGCACAGCTGCTGCGACCTCTTCCCAAAAGCCTTCCGAGGCAATGACCAAGGCGAGGGCGATCAAAGGATAAGTGTAGGAAAGCTATATGTACTGAAATGCTTCAAGTTGATACTAATCTGCATGATGCTTGCGCGTGCCGCCTCGGCCACTGGCGCCCAAGTGGATTTCGGGTGGCAGCAACCGCTGCTGGGGTGAGACACCATGGTTGTAGCTGCAGCCACTCAAGCGCAGGTGTGGATCTGAAAAAGCGACGTCCAAGGTTTGAAGGCGGTGGGTCAACGTTAAACGGGGGCAGGAGGGCAGTGAACTCGACAATCTACCTAAGGTCTAGGAAGTATCCTCCAACAGGGGATTCGGAGAGCAGATACGCGAATCTACTTGCCTTTAGACACGTTGGCATGTTGGCGTGCAGGCCTCGAAGTGGCGGATTTTGATTGGTCGTCGCTGGAACTCGCAGATGACACGTGGCCCATTGTGTACGTGCCGTCCATGGATTTGGTCCAATTCCTTCCGCGCATCTTGTCTAAGTAACAGTCTCCTGCTTTCTGTAAGATGTTTCACACGGAGTCATGGGGGAGTCTCTGTCAGAGACTCTGAGCACGGAGACCTCGAAGAGTTCACCCCGATTCCGCCCAAGGTTTCTTGGCAACTCCTTCGGTGCGCATCACCCTGGTCACAGGGCAAGAGGCGCCCCATCTTCACGGGGTAGTATGCCATATTATGCCATGTTCGGCTTGCACGTGGTGCTCTCATGGCAGGACGTGGGGGTTCCGTGTGAGCTCTTCGCGGCTTCCGGACTCCGCCCAGAGCCGCCGGACTATTGTTATGGTGACTCAAAGACCTTGGCTTCAGGACCCAGTGAGCGTTCCAAGCAAGGCCTGAAATAATACGAGGAAAGAGGGAAGAAGAAATCACCGCTTCTCTCGTCATGCGGACATGCGGAAGCTCTCTCTTGGAGTTGTCGAGGTTCTTTGCGGTGCACCCAGACGCGCCATCTCACCAGGCCGAGATGGCCTTGAAAGTCAAAGTCCCAAGTTGGAGATCTAAAGTTGAGGACATTCATGGAGAGATGTTCAGAAGAAATCCAAGGCCTCAGAGGGACTCGGGCCACTCGGAGTTTCAGGCCCGGCGCTGGGCGCTGCAGTGGAGGAACCTGACCGCGCTGCTGGCGGACGCGCGCCTGCTACGCTGGTTCGCGCAGCACCTCGGCATGGCATCTTTCAAGGCTCAGTGTGGCTCCGGGTGTCATGTGGCTCCGTAGGTCGCAGCATTATGTCATCAGCTTCAGCGTCGTGGCACCCCAAGTCCAAGCTGCCCAGGAACTATGACGCCCCGGATTGCTTGGCAGGCAAGGTTGGGCTCAAACACATGGGCTTGAAATTGGGGCTCGCACACGCCCTCTCCGCCTCTCCCATGTCCTGCAGCTCCGCAAGAGGCGACGCGCTGCGGAAGCTGGCGCCCCTGCCCCTGGGACTGGACTTCCACACCGCCTCCGAGAAGGTCGGAGTCGACTGGACTCATCTCAAGGGGGCTGATTCGCATGGAACAAGAAGGAAGAACGCAGTGGAACAGAGGCTCCTTTGTCCAGCATTCAATAAGTCTGAGGCGAGCTGACGGAAGATTTGCCTCAGGTCTACAACCTGTCTCAGAGAGCCGGCAAAAAGTGGTGCCATAGGCGTAACCCACGGCAAAAAAAAGCACGCAGGAGGAGGGCTGCTTTATGATTGCACTTTGGAGGCACCCAACAAGATCAGCGTGCGTCTACAACAACAGCAGCTGGATTGGGCACGAGAGGACCGAAGTGAGAGTGAACTTGGGCTCAAGGCCGACTCTCTGACACCAAAGTCTTCCCCATGGGCCCCTGCCGCTCCTTGCAAGATTCGTTGCCTTCAGAGGACGCACCGCCGTTTGCTGAGCGATCCTTGAAGCTGCTGCTGCCAGTGGACGCTTGGGCCAGAAATGTGTGTTGCTGTGACATACAAAGTTACAAAAAGCTCATAAAACTTGTCGCTCCTGCACTTCTATGGGGTATTGGATATCTCATTCGCTTGGGTTCCTGATCCCTGCATGCACGGGCAGCGCACCGGACCATCGCAATCCAAGCGTGGCAAGCCTTCGCGATCTTGCAGTAGTTCATTCACTTGCATGTCCCAAGCAGTAGACTCGAACAGCGTTGACTGGCTTGGCTTGGAATCTGAAGCACTCTACCAGCTTTGCTTCGCACGCAGGACTGCTCTGCCGCGGTGTGGTGCCTCGGCTTCGCAGGGACTCGGGACAAACCCTTACATTACAACAATGGACACCCTATTCAGTTCTGTTCTACATGAAAGCCTCAATCCAAGAATAGGAGAAGTTGGTTTCAACAACAAGGCTCTAGCGAGCGTGTCCCTAATCGAGTCTAATGCTACGTATAGTGTTAGACTACAGTTTATGAATGCATAATAACTAGGAGCTTAAAGTCTTAAAGTTTAGCAGAACCTCTGAGTGCAAGAAAAGAAGTCAGAGGCACCTTCCTGGGCTCAGGGTCGCCTGCAATTGGACCAGTCGCGCGAAGTGGAGGTTGGAACAAGCTCAGCTTCAGCTGGGAAACGGTTTCCGTGATTGGTGCAGGAGTGCAGACAGCGCCCAGCACACACTGCGGATATACCTTGGATCTTTACACCTCAATTCCTTTTCCAAACTCTTATAGTCTCACCCAAACAGGCTAATAGTTCTACTAGTATTATGTGCGTACCTTTTGGCCGTATCATTGCGTAACTAACTCGCTATATTAACAATATATTCACTTGCCTTTCTAGTATTATATTGTCTTTTCCCCTTTGCTCCCTAACTACCCGATTAAAAGATTGTGATTTTACAAGGGTCTTTGTTTGCACAAGTTATAAGGGGCTTTTGATTGTAATGTTCTTCGCCTAAAAGTTGGGTTCTCTTGTACGTTTCTTTCATTGTAATCCCGGATTAAACCTTGGAAGCTCTATAATCTCACGCCTAAATGCATACAGTAAAGTAGTGAGCACTGTGAAAACAAGAATGCTATTAACAGATGAAGACAGTTAGGACTAAAACACGGGGCAAATCGTAATCATAAAATGGCCCCTAATATTCCAATAAAACGGTTTCCAAGATTTGTAAAATACATTCTTAGGGTCTTTCGCCACTTTAATCTTTTGCCGTATGAAAGGGCCATTCATCATTAAATTTACAAGTCCTGTCATCAATGGTCAATTTATAAGGGTCTTCCTGCAATATTGCATTGCGGATTTGTTCACCCATGAAGCCTTAATGGTAAAGAGCTCCTTTACAATATGGAGATGGAGGTGGCGACTATATCAATACTGTGTGCTTACTCACTTGACATTCCGTAAGAATTCTTGCTTAAATACACGGATTGTTGAAGAATGGAATGGATGAGCAACAAGCAAACCAAGAAGACATAGACAATTTCGTTGGTGATATGATGAAGAAGCAGTTGGAGACACGATTAGCAAGAGGCCGCAAGAAGTGCGCAATATGTAAACTCATTACAACGCCTGAAATCATTCTAATTGTAAACGCTTGCGCGCGCCGCCTCGGCAGCCGGGCCGGCCCCAGGCAGGAAAGGAGGAAAGAGGATTGAGAGGGGGTTTTGAGGCACTTTCCCTGTAGGAGCCACCGACAAGCGGGACCCTCCACGGCATCGGTTTGCAGCTCCTCCAAGCGATTGGGGGGGGTCCCACAGGGCGGGGGGGGGGGGGGGGGGTGGCGTCAAAAAATTTCGCATGGGGGGAAGGGTTGGGTTAGGGGGAAGGAGGCCCGATCCGGGTCTGCTTGTTCCAGACGCTTCTCGGCAGGAAGCCGAGGCGAATTTGCTTACTCATAGACTAGGCTGCTTGTGGCGAAAAACGCACAGAACAAGAGCTCACTGAAGTTGGATATTATGCCTTCGTAAAGTGCAATTTAGTTTTCGTATATTGAATTCCAGGAACGATTCCTTAGGCTTATTCTTGGGTTCAGGTTTTCAGGGAGAAGTGTTCTAAAGGTTTTAAGATTGGGGCTTTGTGGTCAGGATTTTGGCATCGGAATAACGGGATTTAGTGAGATTTGAGCTTGATATCTGTATGCCGGTGCCAGCAGGTTCCCTTAATAATGCCCCCCCCCCCCCCCCCCCCCCCCCCCCACCCCAAAAAAAAAAACACCCGCCCCCCCCCCCCACCCCCGCCCATCCCCGAAATACGTAGTCACAGTGGGTCTGAGCTGAGGTGGCAGCCGCCACAACGGAAAAAGCCTGGACCAAGGACGCTTCTGAGATTCTGTGAAGTCGTTCAAATTACACCGTGTGTCAACTGCAAAATTACAGCTTCAGAGCGGGTTTCATGCCGTTGTTTGGCAACTGGGGGCAGATTCGGAAGCTGCGTTGAGGACCGGCTGCATTGACCGGCACTGTGCCTGCGAAGTGCTTGAAGGCAACTGGACCCAGGCTCCCCGGCTCCAGCATGGCCAAACCCCCGTTGTCTCTACCCACTCCTCTGGTTCCTCGAGGTACCTTGAAATTCTTCTGGTTCTCACTCTTTCTCTCTCCACCAAGAGTTCTATCCGAGTGAGTTCTCTCCCTCTCCCGTTCTCTCTCGTTCTCTCTTGTTCCGGTTGAGGTGCCTTGGGATCGCTATCTTTCGGCCCTGGGCCGACATGCCTTCGTGGCAGCACCCATGGGCCACGGATTAGACACGCACAGAGTCTGGGAGGCGGCATTTGGCAAAGTGTGTGTCCTCTAGGAATCCTTAGAATTCCTTGGATTTACACGTAAGGTACTTGTACCTTGAGTATAGAGTATGGGGTGTGATCTTTGTAGCTGTGGAAAGCGCACGTCAACTCGGAAATTTGAAAAGACAACATGTGCCCTTCCGATTCCAGTGCCATGTCTTCTATCTCTTCCATCTCTTCCCAGCTGCTTGCTTTACTCGGCTCGCAAGACAAGATGGTGAGTCCCCTGAAAATGCAGTGCAACAGCGAAATTAAATTCACACGGTCAGCTGCCTTGGAAGAAAGCAGGTCTTCCCACCGAACTCACAAAAGTTGCCAGAAAGAAAACAAACCAATGCCTCAATGTTGTTCATCATCGAAGTCCATTTCAGGAACGGTCACCCTCGGTCAATTGGCCAGCCTGACACTTTCGCGGCGCAATATCCAGTGAATGTGTTCCTCAGCTGGCCTTTTCGGAAACAATCCCCAACACCAGCTGATCCACGCAAGACCCCGTTGCTAGCGCCACGCTCACTGCCAATGCCGGAAGCACGTAACAGCTGTCGGTCTGCTGTACCAACTTGCAGTTGTCAAATTGATAGTTTCGTGTTGCAAGCTCTGCACACTCACCCATCGCAGGTGTTGTTGATGGGCAGCGTGCCGGTGGTTATTTCATCTACCCTGGATGGCTTGTACTCTCAGCTACTCGGATCCACGCTCTGGTTCTCGTTGTGAATGTGACTTATTCACAGGGCTCTCTCCACTTGCCAATTGGCATTCCGTTTTTGTAGAGCCTGGAGAAGCGAGGCGCGCATCAAGCGAGCAAGGAGCATGACACAGAAGCAAGAAGACCTGCAAGGCAGCGAGGAACAGCTGGGAGTCATGTGTCCTCCAGGCCGCCCTGAACATCATATCCCAGGCTTCCAAACAGGCTTGGGGCGTTCTCACGAAACACGCCTCAAATCGCCCCCCCCGCATTGCCAAACACGCATCATCCACATCACTTCTGGGGCATTTTCAGCTCAGAAGTTCTCGCCTCGACTGAGAGCTTGCGGACAAAGGCGTAGAGCAGCATCCCCGCATGCTCCCCAAGGTTCCCAATCGTCGTGGTGCAGTCGTGGCGGGATGCAGCTTCGAGAGAAATCAAATTGTGCCTGCAATGATGCCAAGGTTAGGCAAAGCTTTCGATCTGGTGCTCAAACCAAGGCGCAGCTTATGACCCATGCCTGGAAGAATCAGATCTTGCAACAGTGGGGGCCGAACCCATTCTCGCAAAGGCCAGCGACCTGCATCTTTAGCAACGAGTGAATTCTGCAGAGTTCGACTCTCCGCAAGCAGGGTGCAACAGCGACTGACAAGCGGCTATTGGGCGGGTTTGATTCGTGGGTGGCATGAAGCCGCGCAACTTGGCTCGATCCGAGTTCGAGAATCGGGTTGCATAAGTTCAGTTTCTTGCTGATGAGTTTGGGCGGCTGTCCAGCTGTAGCGAGCTGGTAGTGGCCCAGTACACTCACCTCTGGATGTGCCTGGCAAGGATCGAAATGGGGCAATGAGCGTTAGAGCGCATTTCTCCCAGCAAAGACACTGGGATTCTGTGCCGCACTTGGGGCCACAACAGTGGATCTCGCCTTCGCGAGTATGCACCCGACAAGAAAGAGTCGTTTTTCCAATGCATGCCGTTCTCCAATGCGTGTCTCTGGCCAGGTGGGCTACTCTGACGGCGGTACCCTCACAGAGGTCACCTTGGTTCCGAGAGCAAGAGAAAAAAAAGCGAGACAGAGAGTGAGAGAGAGAGAGGATGCCGAACTGTCCAATCTGGAGGTGCCCTGAATGCCTGAATACCGGGGCGGGCGCGTACGCCCGGGCGCTTGCTCCCTTGCCCCCAAGAAAGAAAGAAAGAGGATGCAGGAGTAATGTTTGGCGACGATACGGAGGAAGCCTCCGTGGGGGGGGGGGGGGGGGAGAATATACGTCTCCCGCCGCCTGGATACGGACTGGGCGCGCCTTGCGCGCGCGGAGGGTGCATGCTTGCGCCCTTCAAGCCCCGAAGAAGAAGAAGAAGAAGAAGAAGAAGAAGAAGAAGAAGAAGAAGAAGAAGAAGAAGAAGAACAGGAGGAGGAGGATGATGATGAAGAAGAGAGAGAGAGAGGATGCTCCCCTTCGGGGGGGCTAAGCGTGCAGAGAGAGGGAGGGGGTTTAAAATGTTAAGGTGCCTTAAGGCGTCTTGTGTTGGGGGAACGGATGGGAAGAGGCGGTGCGTCGGCGGCCCTACTCGTTGGTGCTCTTTGACGAGGTGACGGGGTTCATGTCGTTGGAGTGCCCTCTCAATGCCCTCTTTGCCCTCTTCGAAGGTGGAGAAGGCACACCCCGATGTCTTCAACATCCTGCTGCAGCTGCTGGATGACGGTAGGCCTCAGCCACCAACCCTTGCGTTGCGGAAATTCCTGCCGTTCGGCTTCGGGATTCTAGGGTTGCCTTCAAGGGTGGTTAGGGCGTCGGGTGTGCAGGTATCCTCCCCGTCATGCGTTTATGTGCTGTAAGCCCTCAGAAAATAGACCTCGCTGAACATGCAGAGTCCGCATCTCCTCTTCTAGAGAACCCGGTAGGTTGGTTTGGGTTTTAGGCCTTCGCTTCTGGCATTTTCTGATGCCGACTTGCAGCTGCTTAGATCGTGGACCCAACATAGCTCAACATAGCGACACAGCGATAGGCTGTCGGTGGGCTAGCGCCGCATCATGGGCGTTCTCCGCACTCCTCAAGTGTACAAGTACAACGCCAAGTGGGCGAACATCAACGGCCAGCGAGGCAGCATGGACCTCTCTATCACTGTATCTCCAGGCGACATGGATATTGTGGTTGCCGGACACACGCTGACTATGGAGCACGCACCAGTCGCGGCGCCTGGCGCCTTCTACATTTGCGGGCGAGATGGGGATGGCTACATCTACAACCTCAAGGTTCCCCAGGACTTAAAGTCTGTGAACGGCCAGTACTCACGTGGCGGCGTGGAGTTTGCTGGCCCAGGATCTCCCGACTCTGTTGGAATCTTTGGCGTGGTCTATGCTAGCCTTGACGGACAAAGTGGTCAAGGAAAGTAAGCACCCTTGCGGGCTTTTGCTTCTCATGCACCAGTCAGGGCTCCTGGACGCTCGAAGCAGAAGTCTAGAAGCGGCCCCTGCTTTTCAAGTCCTAAGCCTTTCGTGTGGACCAGCCGAAGGGAAAAAAAGCACTGTTGCTGAAACGAGGATGCTGTCGCCTTCCTGCACCCTTCACTGATTCACGTCTCGGAATCCTGGAGATGTTGTTACAGCCGACGTTCAGGTTGACGGACTCCAGAGGTCGAGTCGTCTCTTTTGCAAACACCCTTGCTTGGGCCCCAGTTGACCTAGCCCCAAAATCCTTAAAGGAAGGGAAGACGCTTCGCACCAAACCGCATATCGCTCTCGAGGTCGTGATGACCTCCAACATCGGGAGCAGGTCTGTCGAAGGCTGAGTTCAAGCGACAGAGAAGAGTCCTCTTCCGCGAGTGCTGCGAGCATGGAGAGAACACAATGAGAGGGTGATCTAAGCACCTGGGAGCAGAAGAGGCCCTGAGCCCCTTGAAGGAACGATAGACAGCGTGACCACGCAGACTTAGATAAAGGACGCGAACGCTTTTGCCCCCCGCTTCAACATGAATCCCCAGGTGCAAAAGTCCGCAGCAGGCGGACTAGGCTTGGGCTTCGGCGTCGGTGAGGAGCTTCCGGGGACTGAAGTTGGCAGATGCCGTTTAAATGTTTGGGGGGTCCGAGTAGAGGATGAGGAGGAGGACAAGTACAGCAAAGTCAAGGAGCTGGTCAACGAGGACTTGAGCCGAACCTCTAGCCCGGCACCAACAATCGCCAAGCACGCCGCTGTGTGCAGTACGGCTTGTTTCAGGAGATGAAAAGCTTTTTCAGGCCCGAATTTTTAAACAGGCGGGATCCTCAGTCGGTCGCACACGAGAGCTGGGGCACGGCGCTCCCTGAGCAGGCTAGATGAGATCATTGTCTTCCGGCCGCTGAAGGAAGAGGATGTGAGGGCCATTGCTGAGGCAGTCCTGACATGAAAGCACTTGGAAATGCTCCCTGGGCCCCCTGCCGGGCCTCCCCATGAATTGGCTTCAGTTGACTCAGTAGCGCTTGCAAGCGAAGCGGAGGTGGAGTTCAAGAAGGTGCTGGCCAGGCTTGCCGACAAGGAGTCAGCACTATTTTCGAACTTTGTGCGAACGGAAGAGCAGTGCAAGCTGCGAGGATCTGGAAGTCACTCTCTTGCAGAGCTTCAAGGAGACTGCACGGTAGGTACCATCACAAGCAGCCCATAGCAGCTAATTGTAGAGTCTCGATAGATTCCGACGCGGTTGTGTCTGGCTGTGTATGACACTCCTACAAATTTCTTGTGCTTAGCTTCTGCACCGAGTCCCATAATCCCTTACGAGCACCTGAGAGCGGCTACCAAGCTCCAGGAACAGGTGATACGCGAGGGCTACGACCCGGCCTACGGGGCAAGGCAGGCTGTCAGGATAAGAAGAGGGAGAGATGAAGGGAATGGAATGAAAGAGAGGAGCGTGTTCAAAGCCTAGAGGCTGCTGTGGCACGTGTAATGTGTGTGTAGTGCGTGTATATACTGTTTGGCTCAGGCCGCTGCGCCGGGCCATCACTCGCATGCTAGAGGCCGGATTCGGATGCCATGCCACCACTGATTTTTCTGCTACTTTCTCTGCCAATTCTTGCGAAGTATTCCATGAGTTACAACTTCATCCGACAGCACTCAGCACTCAGTCATTGACGGCGATTGCCTGAAACTTGACACCGTGGAGACTTCACGGGGGCCAAACATATTTTTTCAGGATACGCTGGCTGAGCATCTCCTTCAAAGCGCCGCCGAATCTTGGAAGGCTCATGGTTACTGTACTCCTCCAGGGTCTGCTGCAATTGCTGAAAAGTAGCGGGACAAATTCAAATGAAACCGTCTCAGGGAACGAAAGCTGTGCAGCTGAGCGCGCCCGGATCTATGACAACGCCTTGCCTTGATGGTTTGAAAGTGATGTCAGTGATGTTCATTATGTGTGCAACGCGAGAAGAGCAGAGGTCGGAGAAGGGCGAGGTCCACGTTGAGGTCCTGGATTCGCAGCCAGCCGAGCCCAAGTCCGACCTCTCAGCAAGGGAGGAACAGACGCACAGATGAGAAAGGACCCTGAATCTGAACATATTGAATATATAACATTTTGCAAAACTTGCACCGTTTAGTAAAGAGGCTCATGACTCATGACTGTAAGATTTCTCGCTCATGCAGCTGATGCGCTCGTGGCATGTGCGCTCGGTGGGCAACGGCAGCCAGGTGAATCCTCATTTCCTTTACAAGGCATGTGTAAGCGAGAGGTCTAAAAATTGTGAAGACTCTGCTGAGTCAGTGCAGAGAGTTGAGATCGACTAGCTGCAGGTGGGGAATATCGGAAAGGAGCAAGAAGATACAAGAAATGAAGCCCCTTGAAGACTAGAAAGGTTAGGAAGTTTTCGCGCGAGGGCAATTGAAGAACAATGCCTGCCGACAAATTCTCAGCACAGCGGAGACGTTTGTTCTGCAGGCATGGCATGTTTAGGATTTCGTGTCGAGATACCCGCCGTTTGCGCAATTCAGGTCAGAGCCAGAGCCCAAAGTTGCGTGCTCAGGGCTGGATGAATCACAGGTTTGGACTTGGAACATCTGGGACATGGGTTTCATGTTCATACCATGCTATCAGGTCCTTGAAGAGGCCACGGCAACGAGCTGACACGGTGTCGTTGGACCCTTGGACACTGTCTGAAGATTGACATTGACTTTCAATGGGATGACGCGTCAGCTGACCCAGGACCCACACACGGCCTAAGTCCATTGAGACATGCTGAGACCGCGTTTCGAGTTTCACTTCAGTTCCAGATCAGTGCACCCTCCAAGCCCAGAAGTCGATGGGAGATTCTGAGACGCCACAAGGGGACCTAGGTTCAGGTTGGGTGAGTGTGCCATGCACTCGAATTCTTTAAGGGATAACGAACACCAACAGAGTTGTTCGCCAGAACTTTCTGAACTTGCATGGTAGCCGGAGACGGGCATGTTCCGCAAGTCCCGTAGGCTTGATCTTCCACCTTTGATGGCCTGCCGGACGCTGGAGCTCCCGTGCCCTTGTGCTCCTGTCCTGCCCCTTTCAAATTGGCCACGCTTTTTCAAACTGGCCAGAAAGGGCGGTCCAATCATTTTCGTTTCAACGATTCAAGCCCTACAGTGTCGGCGAAGTTCCGTTAGCATGCACGTTGTGCTCACAAAAAGAGGAATCAGGCTAACGCACCATGCACCATGGCCATGCCGTCTGACTCAATGAAGCTTGCAGCGTCCCTTCTCAGCTTCGTTTGGGCTGGGGCGGGGGTCCTTCTACGACCTTGAACTTGCGAACACTTGCGGCATTTTGTGACATGCACTCGCGCGGCCAAGGATCTTTTAGGACGGCACATTGTTGAAAGCGGGTCCACACGGTACAAGCGGATAAACGAGGCTGAATTTCTCATCCCTCGATCAGACAATCGGAGCTCGAAAGTATGTGGAAGCGCAAGAAAAGCAAAAGGCAGTTGAGCAGACCCGTGGGGGTGATGGCGGCTGCCGTGATGCCGAGCGTGGCGTGCCTGGGCTTCAAAGCTTATAGAGACATAGAAGCGACGCCCTCTGACGCTGTCCAGCTGCGCGCTGTGAGAGTTGCAAGAGTTCTGAGCGACTCTGAGAGATTCTGAGTTGCTGTGAGCCCAACAGCGCAGGTCGGAAGCGACAAGGGGCTCCGAGCACGAGGAAGGGCTGGAGAGAGAGGATGAGAGAGATGGAGAGACCTCTCTGACTCTCCCGCTCTATTCTCCATTCTCTTCTTCTTCTGATCTGGACCTCTCTCACTCTTCGTAAACTTCAGGCCGAGTCTGGCCAGGATGCCACCAGGACAAGGACGAAGCCTTGCCGAAAGTGGCTCTCTCTCTCTCTCTCTGTCTCTCTCTCTCTCTCTCTCTCTCTCTCCTTCTTTTTTTTTATGAAGTGCAAGAAAGAGAAGAGAGAGAGAGGAGAAATCTGATACAGAGAAAAGAGACGAGGACCTCGCGGGCAGCGCCCTCCCGGGAGCGCTCCCGGCAAGCCTCCCAAGGCTCCCGGGAGCGGTCGGAGAAGGCGCAGAGCTCCAGCTCTCCATAAGAAAGAAGGGGGGGGGGAGGGGTCTTCTTCTTTTCTGTGTGCCCTCATCTTGGCCTGAGAGGAGATGGCCACGAGCCGCTCCGCCGGACACCGAGTCAAGAAAAAAGAAGCCTCACCCGCCTCCGGCCTGGCGCGCGGCATTCGCGGCATGTTCGGCATGTTGGGAGTTGCCGAGGTTCCAACCATACCATCCCGGTATTCGGTAACACTGATCAAAGGCAACCGGGAGGCCTTCTGACTGGCGCAGTGTAGGTTGCAGTGGCTTATCTCAGTCTGTTGGCTCGATTGACCCGTGGCCCCCTGCGCAGTACAAAGGGTTCAACAGCCGGTCCATGCGCTTCGAGGCAGCGCTGCTCAAGGATCTGCCATGCATAAGCCTAAAGGCGCACCTGAGGTCAAAAGTAGCTAGGCCTTCTTCGCTGAAGGGTGTAAGGATGAAGGCCACCAGAGTCTGCAGGATGTGCGGGTCAGTTCCTGGGTCAAAAGAAATATCTAAACGAACACGGCAAAGGCTTTGCGCAGGCTGTTCCGTGCAGGCTCCCGCACGGCTCGCAAGCTCTGAGACTCTCGCCACCTCAAGGTCCAGCCGCTGAGTGCAGCTCCGGGTCCTGGTAGGTGGGGCCCGCAAGCATTGAAGGAACAGTCGGAATAGTTCGTCTGTGTTCGAACCCCCCCTTCTAAGTTACGGCCAGCAGAAGACCTTCCACCAGGACTCCGCTCTTCAACTTTAACAGTTAGTCTTCACGAACTCTGAAATTCTGGGACCATCTCGGATCGACACCAGACAACAGGAGTTCACTGAGAAGCCGAGCTGGGGTGTGCGTATTGCTGGCACGATTGACTGTCTGCATGGGTGCCTCCACCGTTGGGTCACAGCCATCGCTTCGTAATCTCTTCATTCTCCATTCTGTTCTGCTCTTCCACAAATAGCGCCAGGGGGCACTAGCGGCTTTGCCTCGAAAGCCCGACGCTTCAACATCCGGCCTGGGGGAGGGGATGACTTGTAGGTCCGTATTTTACGTGTATAATATGAGCTTAGGCGTGAAATGGTGTGTAGGGGCATGCATGGTCCTTGCAGGGTCTCGCTGCCGGCTGGGCTAGGGTGTCCAGGCCCAGGTGGGCACGTAAAGACATTTCCAACGTCAATTCCGGTAGTTTCCACACTTGTTTGAGGACCTTTTGTCGCCGATAGAATCCTTGCAGTAGCTTGGCGAGGCGCCTACGATGCACTGGGCAGCCTCCGCGCCGCAAAGGACCGGAAAGGTGCTGGGCAGGCCGGCCAAACCCACTGCACCTGTTCACCACCATGTGCGACTCCTTTCCTGCACTGGGCCGAGGCGACAGGCTCTGCCTCCTTCTCAGCCGTAACGGCACCGGCCAGGGTCGGGTGCTCGGCCGGACTGGAAGTCTGGAAAGGTCAACGTGAACACTGCCGAAGTCCACCTGAGAGTCCCCCGAAGCCTTGAGTAGAGCGCCTCGGTCTTTGTCAGGCTCGTAGTCACTGCGAGCTCCCGGGTCCGGGGTGCGCGGCCCATGCTTATAGCTAATAATGCTAGGAGGTGGTGCAACCTGCGCTCTAACGTGTGTAAGCCTGTAAGTTCAACGTACGATATGGGAATATGGGAATATGTCAGACTCGTGCCATCGCTGGCGAGTATGGCAGGCAGTACGAACCCAGACTCCTTGCCAGCCAGAGTGAGGCGCAAATGTATCAGGAGCAGAAGAGAAGACTGTAGAAGACTGTAGCTGTGTTGGATGCTTGGTACAGGGTACATGTCGGCATGGAACCTCTGGGATTTTGCAGGCTGCTTCTGCAGCCTTCCGGTCTACCAGCCTTCGCTTGGACCCAAGCCGCGAGCTTAGAAGTTATCAAGGGCATAAAAACAACATGAAGAGAATGTTGGCTCCAGGTTGAATTCCGCCCTAACCCGCCCCCAGCTTGAGCTAGAGGAGAAGCCGTTTCTATAAGTCAAAGCAAGCCCGGAGAGAGACCTTGAGGGAGTGGCGCAGCACAGCACGGCATCGCAAGTTTAATGTTGTGATTTCGCGCCTTTTGTACCGGGTGCCCGGCCTCAACTACATCTTGAATCGAGGGAGGCTTGGAGGTGCGACTCGTTTGACTAACTGTGACTAACTGTTGGAACAGCAGGAGACCAGATGCTGAAGTCGGAGGGGCCAAAAGCAAGACGTCGCACAGGAGGAGGAGAGCTTCGCAAAAGGACGAGACTGAGTTCAGGAAGGACAAAAATCTCATCAGAGAAGGAGTGGGCAAACGCGGAGGGAAGGTCAGGAAGCGAAGAAGGGCGAGCCCTGCAAGCCGGAACTGGACCTGGTCAGGCCGCAAGGAGTTTGGGAGTCCTTGCGACGTTCCCGGACTAGAACAGCACCGCTCCTCCGTGCCGAGTATTCAGAGAGAGTGCCGAGACCCACCAAGGACGTCTGCAGCAGAGCCAGCCAAGAAGAAGGGGGGGAGAAGAAGGGAGGGCACAGTAGGCAGAGTGCGACGCAGAAGCAGGTGAGAGTTGATCCGAGAACCGGTCCAGACGTCGAGGTCGCCCGGGGGGGGGGGGGGTGGCAAAGGGTGGTCGGGACATCAATTAGAGAGATCGTGAGTACTCTCCAGATAAGCACCAAAAAGAGTGTGCGCGCATTTTTCCTCCAACATGTTCCGTACGCAGTGATGCTAGCATTCCGTTGACGAGGAGGGCTTGTCCCTAAGCCCCTCGAAGGATGCAAAAATGCCATAATGCGAGACCGGGCACGTTTAACAAAGAAGAGGTTTTGTGCAGCACACGGCGTTGTAGCACACCTGTGAGGTCCATGAGCCACAACTTAACAAAACTCGAAAAGTCACCGGGAGGGTCAAATGAGGTGACGAGGGCGGCGCGCCCGGTCCCGGGGACTATCACGACGGCCTGGTTCGGCGGGGGCCCTTAGAAGGCTCATGGTTCGGTGGAGGGGGGGGTGGGGGTAGCTGGGAGCACTCCACCACCTAGGCCGGTGGGCTACATCCCGGAACACCTGCAGGGCCTGGACATGCGAATGCCAACGTTCAAGGACGGACGCAACATGCACACAACATAAGCAAGTTATACAAGATTATACAGTTGCATGATGACAAGGGTGGTGGCCAATGAATCGTGTGTCTCCAGGAGCGGTCCGTCCCGCGCATTGTAAAGGTGCACCGCGATCTCCCAGCCGCGTCTGCCAAAGCTCGAGGCCCATGTATGGCCCACTCTCGGTTTCAGAAAAGGATTCTTGTTCTGAATGGGGAGGGGGGATGGAGGGCGGGGATGGAGGGGGGGGGTCATGTTCGAATCTTTCGAGAGTTTGCAGTGAGACTCGTTGAGAGGCCTTCTGGGCAAGTTTGCCAACGAGGCCCAACCACCATGCGGGGGCTTTGAACTGTGAGTGACTGAGAGGTTGAAGATATGTTGAACTTTCAACGTGAGGTCAGCCGGCAGTGCTTGGGGAGCCAGGCTGGGTAGTCCCCCCAAAACCGAAGGGAGTGCCAAGCCCCGACGACCTGTCAACATGTCTGCAGAGTGATCAAAGTCTGCGCCAGGCATTGGCAATTGCCATGCCGGGCCCTGGAGAGTACCAGGAGAGACTCTTCTCATAATGCTGTAAAAAAATGCTTTAACAAAAGTAGCTAGTCGCCATTTTGGAGAGTTTCTGGCGAGATGGGTCGTGTGAAGTTGTGATGGCGTGGCTTTGTTCAGGACATTACCAAGTGCAACTTCAGCGCGGTGCGGAGCTCAGCTCCGTTCAGTCCGTTCGGCTCAGTTCGCAGGGGGTGGTGATGGGATGGGCACTTCATGAGCAGAGAATGTGAGAAAATCATTGAAAAGCACGTAATCTCAAGACTAAAAGCTCGTATATGCCATGTTCGTGAGTCCTTCTCTGGGAGGCGGCGGCCCAGAGCGCCTTCCAGGGCTCCAATCGGGACCCCGCGAAGGAGGGAGCAGCCTTTCCAGGCCCCGGCAAGTACGAGCCGAGGAAGGCGCCACCCCCCCAACCGCAATGCAGAAAGAGCGAGAGCTCAGCCCACACGAACCGAAGAGGAACCGAGAACTTCTTAATTATTGGGGGAGTCATTCTTTTCACTACCACTGAGCACTCACACAGTCACCGACTTCCTGCCGCACCCTGCGGTCCGCCTTCGAGTCGACCTCCGACCGGGGCAAGCTCCAGGCAATTGCGGCGGTTTGTTCTCTGTGGAGGTTATGCAAGTTATGCCACTAGCCTCCTTTACCCGACCTGCCCAACTACCCTAAACTCATCTTTGCAGGTCTCCGAGGCACCTGGGCCGGCATACTACAGTCCGGCTCTACCCAGGCTACAGAAGCCGGGGCCTTCGGAGCACTGGGAGCACGCTGCTTCTGTGGAATGTCCTTGGAGTGCCCGTCCTCAATCCAGAGAATTCGGTTGCTGCAGATTCTTGCCCTTTTCACCGCAGAATCCCCAGAAGCTCAGAAACTCCCATCGTTTTTTGTGGAGTGCCTGGAGAATCACCAGAGACTCTTGCAGTGGACCTGCACCGCATCCCACAGTTTCCTTGGACCGCCATTTGTTTGGGGTGTGAATGTTCAGTTAAATACATGTATTCTTCTTTCCTGTCGCAATGTAGCACTGGAGTCGAGTGCGATTGGCCAGTCTCTCATGGTGCTCACGCATGCCTGCACAGGTCCTTTCGAATGAAGACCGCCAACTTTGTTGCCTGACGGATTGCCCGCCCTGACCTGCATCCCAGGTCCTGGGCCAGAAAGGTATCACCATGTCTCACCGAGTCTCACGCTCGAATGCAGCATCCAATGCGGACACTCTGCAGCGCATCACCCAACGAACAGTCAACTGCTCATCTACACGCTCTGTCTTCTCGACAATCTTGTCGTGCTAGCCCAAAGTGGTTTCAGTATCTGCAGACTTTGCCCAAGCTGGCGGCATGAGAAGCCGGATTCAGTTCCCCCGCCTGCCGAAGCCGCTTCGCCAGCTACTCCGGGACGTTCATGTTCATTGAGGCCAGATTCTGTCTGCTGTATTCTCTGATTCTACTCTACGCTCAACCCCAAAAAGCCAAATGGATCTGCTGGCCGCTCCTGGTGCGATAGCGGTGACGCCATAATGCCTCATCATGTTCCACACGTCATGTCTACCCGGCCGCATCTTGAGAACGCGATATGTCAGGACAGCCAATGGCAAGCGTGGATCCCCATGGGCCATGCTGACCCTGCTGATGTTCCGAAGGGGACCAACATCTAGTTTTTTCGCAGCCAATGCGATCAGGTTCAACCGTTGGTTTGAGCAAGACATTCTCGTTGTTGTGCTGGGCCAGCATGCTGCAGCATGTCGCGCCAAACATGTACAGTCGTTCTCGGCCCGGATGTTGCATTGCTCGGGTAATGACTGCTCCGGATGTTGCGTTGCTCGGGTACTGCTGAAAATGGTGGTGCTGCCAACGCATTTGCTGCTCGAGCGAGTTAATGAGCATGTTGTTTGTGTGTTGGGGTGGTCACTGGGCAACCTGCTTCAGGCTTGCAAGCTCTTAGACACATTGCAGAGAGGGCATAGCCAGTTATCATGCTGCCCAGAGCCCTAGGCTGCTGACGTCCCAACATTCAATCCCCAGCGGCACGAGCCCACCACTACAAGTAATTGCATAGCAGACATGGTCGCCGCGATGGCCGATGCCGGGTCCCTTGGGGAAGCCACGCACCCGGGCATTCTCTTGCCACCGTCAGAGAGGTCGCCACCCATGGCATAGGTTGTTTCGTTGATGCTGCCATTACGTTCTTTGATTTCTGGTGAAGGTGTTGTTCGCGGCAAATGAGGTCGTGGTGCGCTGCATTGATGACCTACAGTTCCAGGTCGTGGTATTGCGAGTCCACAGTGCGGCCTCCAAGGAATGAGACGGGCATTGGCTGCTAAGTTCTGCTATCATTTCAAGAGACGTGGCGCTGCCCTGGTTATGGAACGGCAGCAGAGGTGACACTGCAGATGTGTTGTACCTGGACGATGGCAAAGTGGAGCCGGGCGTACCTGCAGACGAAATTGAAGCTCGACTGCATTCTGCCGCAGCGATGCTTGCTCCAGATCCAAAATTGGGCTTCGGCACCGTCTGCAGCTGTTCGAGGAAGCACCTGACCCACAAACACGATCTTCTCCAAAAATAACAGCTGTTTCATGCTCGTGTCAAGGACTGGCAAGCCAGCGATGGAAGGACGGGCACGGCATACGTCGGCATGCACTTGTACACACATGTCTTTGCTACATCTAGGCTGCTCAGAACGCTTCAAGCTCAACAAATCACAACCATCCTCCAGGAAGCTCTCGACGGACCATCCATTTTTCGAGGCATCAGTGGGGGATGCCCTGCAGGAAGAAGAAGAAGAAGAAGATTCATGAGAAGAAGGGAGGGCGGCGGGCGGCCGCCCTCACAGGGCTAAGCAGTGTTGGAAACATGCCCCAACACGCCTCCTTGCAGGCGGGTGTGGAGAAGTTAGCGCCGAGCTCAGGCTTGGTGGGGCAGAGGCAAAGAGCGGCTGAGACGATAAGAGAAATGAGAAGACTGGAAAAGCGAAGTGTTCACCCATGGAGGCCGGTGCGGATCACACATATCCTATTCTGCTTATTTTGGAAGACCTTGGAAGGCCTTCTCAAGCAAAACCGTGCTGGGCAAAGCAGGCGTAAACGGTCGGTTCAAGCACTGGACACTGTTGATTTAAGTACTGGCGAGCACAAGGGCGGTTCATTGGCGACTCGAGCGCGAGTCCTGATTCAAACCCTGGCGATTCGAGATCCGGCAGGTCAGTCGCAAAATTAAATGCGGGTTCACGCACCACCGACGAAATTCAGGGTTCCCACACCCCATTAGGGCTCGGCATCTTTTTAGGCTTTGCACAAGGTACCCGGCTCCCCTTATGTCCTTTTCAGGTTGCTATCGCTCTTCTGTTTTCAGCGCTTGGAACTTGGGGCGTCCCACCCGCCGACTCCATTTAGCTTTTAGGGTTGGGCGTCATGCCATTAAAGGGTCTGCGAGGCCAAGTCCACTCTCCCCAATCTTCACTAAGGCTTAGGTTTTCACACCCTCCCATCTCCTGTGCGCGAACCTGACAGTGCGAGAATCCGCAGCGAGAATCCGGTTGTTCTATGCTGTTCTAATGCACGACTCCCAACCGGTAAACAGATGTTAACACAACGATCGCCGATGCTTCGGTACCAGCATCTGTCTGATTGCCAGATGAGGCTCCACAGGGGACCACTCCGCTAGGTGCCGAATCAGTGTGGCTGGCTGGGCCTGAAGCTGCACGATGCTGCACGATGCTGCACAGGCTGCACGGCCGACAATTGATCAAAGCAACGCAAGGTCCGTGCTCACGCCACAACAGTGAGCGCCAATCGGCCCCAGACTGCATGCTCATCACTTTGCGGGGCGGAGCCGGCAAGGTGCAAAACACACGCCACCACCAGCACCACCAGCACACAGCAACCCGACCCTCATCACTTGATTCAGCAAGAACTCTGGGACACTGGCCCGGCCATACTGCATGCGGCTTGAACAGGCCCAAAGTTTTGCACCTTTAACTAAGGACTGCTAGGCTGCTAGACGATGGCAGGACCTTCGACAGCAGCCTCGTGAAAACATCTTCAGCTGGGAACGGGCGCCGAGGTCGAGATGGAAGCGGCAACCACGGCCGCGTTCGAACCCACAACGAGCAACATGCGTTGGGAACAAGGCACCCGTCGAACCCCTTTCCCTTTTCCCCCTTTCCCCCCCAACCCTTTTTCCGCTCCATGCTCTATGAAAACCCACATGTGTCAGAGGCAGATTCCGGGAGGAGGACGGCGCGGTGGTTCTCTCCAGCTGCATCGCGGTCCTCATGCCGCAGGCGGTGCGGACGCTGTGGTCTAGCATTTTTCTCAGAGCTTCAGAGAGAGAGAGAGAGAGAGAGAGAGAGAGAGAGAGCGCACACGAGACCGGAACTTCGGGCGCGCCAGCGCGCGGGGGCCCCCGGGCCCTCAAGCCCAGCAGAAGAAGAAGAGAGCGCACGGGGGGCCCTCTGGGTTCCTCAAGCCCCGTAGAAGAAGAAGAAGAAGAAGAAGAAGAAGAAGAAGACAGAGACATAAACCAGTCTCAAGCGAGGAGAAGAAGAAGAAGAAGAAACCAGTCTCTACCAGACATGGGGGCGCGCAAATTGCGCGGGGGGTCTTCCCCCCAGGCCCCATGAAAGGACGAAAGCAAGAAAGAAAGAAAGAAAATATTCTCTCATTGTTGCAGATTGTGCAGAGACCTTGCAAAATTCAAGATAGGGCCTTGGGCCTTGGCCGGAACTCACCCTCGGAACCCCCCCTGTTAAAGATCTTAAAGTTTGAAGGTAGTCAAGGACTGGGACTCGGAGGCTGCCATGCAAGCTTGCGGAGCCGGCTTGCCGGAACCCCAGTAGCACGAGAAGCTTCTCTTGAGGATGCAGACACTTGCAATTTCTTTTGGACATCGCAAGGCGAGGAGTCAGAAGTTTGCGAAAGAGGATAGAGGCAACGCAGTTTTTGACGGAAATTGGCATGCCAGGAGCATAGGCATGGGCGGTCAAAAGGTATGTAAACAGCTGATTGGTCAGTATACTTGAGGTTTCTTGTAGGGCTTCGGTCTTACCAAAGGTGTCCAGATTGTTTGGAATTGGCACTTTTGGTATGTAGGCATGTTCCCGCGCTGCCCTCAGAAGTACCCGCGCTGCCCTCAGAAGTAGGGGATAGGTAAGGTTCTGCGCCCCCCTCACAAGTGGCGGTAGGCCCTGGTAGGCACGATGACATGACGCTGGTATGGTTGTTCTCGGTCAGTGTCACCGCAACATGTCAGGCAAAGGTGCCAGATGCGGTGGTTGCTGCTTGAGAATGGGCCACAACGATACAGGTCGCGTTGGAGTTGGGGAGCGAAGAGCATCGGAGGGGGGGGCGAGTGCAAGATTGTAAGATGAGGACAGCAGCTTCGCGACTCCGTTGCGCAGCTCCTTTTCTTGCTTAATGTCTTTTCCAGCACTTGGCCATGGGCTGCCAGTCGGCCAAAGTCGTGCCTTCCACCGAGTTGAAGCCCGTTGTGCCGGGCCCAGGCACATCAGATGCCGATGCCGCGCCGCACGCGTCTCAGCCTTCGGCCGAGCCCTCGGAGCCCTCGGCCAAGCCCTTGACGGAGCCCCCGGCGGAGCCCTCGTCTTCGCCTGCAGTGCCCTCGCATCCGGTGCCCCGCTGGGCTTTGGAGCTGGGATTCGACGAGAACCACTGCGATCAGGCACTTTAGCTTCACCCTTTTGTTCTTGAAAAATAAGGCTCTGCCGAAGTAAGGGAGAGGCTGCTGAGAGGACAAGTGTAGCCATGTTGAAGGGCGCGTGGGCGGCACACTCGCAGTTTTCATATGTGAGCACCGCGAAGCGAGATAGATGCGCTGTGCCCAAATGTCCCAGGTTCGCAGCTACTTCGGGAAGCGCTCGAGCGAGATGCCAGGCTGGTTGGAGGAGGATGCGGCCATCTGGAAGCAGTTGGAGGACGCCAGGGCCTATGACGAAGAGCGTCGGCAGGCTGTGGACAGTTATGCGCACAGTGTGGCATTGGAGAAGGATGGCAAGCCAGCGAGCGTGGTCCGAGCGACACCTGGAGAGGCCGTCGAGCTTCATGCCAAGGGATGGATCCAGAACAAGGGGGGCGACACAAGCTCCCAACAGCTCCTCCTTGTTCTGGACAGAACCATCATCGCCGACATCTACGACTCGATTCCCGGAGCCGGGGATACCATTGACACCACCTTCTCCTTCCAAGCTCCAGAGGAACCCGGTGCGTACATGATCTGGAGGTTCCACGAGGTTGAGCAGAGCACCTCGCACGAAGCCATAGCAAATCCACGATAGCATGCACAGGTCATTGTATTTAGACGAGGTTGTTGGACCACCACAGTATTGTGCCAGGATGCGCCTACCAGAACTAAAGTTATGGGAAAACACACACGAATGCCAGCACAAGGTCATAGAACGAGGATCACATCGCGCAGATCTAGCAGCATCAGTCGAAGTCGTCAGTCCTTGCGCCCGTGGGCAATACTCCGCGTCACGTTCAGGTAGAAGATAGTGGGATAAGTCTGAGAGAAAACGGGCAAATAATGACGAAGCGTCTACGAAGTCTACGACTTAAATTGAAGTTCTACAGTCAAGAGGCGCTCAAGAACAAAAGAAGCCATCAGAGCAAAATGGCGCCATCTCGAGAGGTCAACTCGGAGAGGCGCCGTAGAGAGTGGGTTCCGTCCGGAATGCGGAGGAATCGCCAGAAAAAGCCGCCCTTTGAGGGGGGGGGGGGAGCAAAGGGGTAGTGCCTGTCGTGTACATGTTCATCAGATGCTGGAACGCCTGCACACGGCCCGCAAGGCAAGTCTTAAGGTCCGTGTGCAGTAGCAATAATGGGCCTTAAAGGTGTTCTGCAGTCAGGCATGGAAGATGCAAAGATCAAGTTCGCGGACAAGAGCGACTTTCTCGATTCAGGCAGGTATCCATCTCTCTTCGTGGGAATGCTCGTCGTATCGAACTGCACCAGCATGGACATGTCAGAAAGCAAGACAGAGGCAGCAGAAAAGAGTTGTGCGGAAGCTACTCCTCCCTGGGCCATAGAGTTGGGTCTTGATGGAGAGCATTGTGGCTGCGTTCGCAGCTACTTCGGGAAGCGCTCGAGCGAGATGCCAGGCTGGTTGGAGGAGGATGCGGCCATCTGGAAGCAGTTGGAGGACGCCAGGGCCTATGACGAAGAGCGTCGGCAGGCTGTGGACAGTTATGCGCACAGTGTGGCATTGGAGAAGGATGGCAAGCCAGCGAGCGTGGTCCGAGCGACACCTGGAGAGGCCGTCGAGCTTCATGCCAAGGGATGGATCCAGAACAAGGGGGGCGACACAAGCTCCCAACAGCTCCTCCTTGTTCTGGACAGAACCATCATCGCCGACATCTACGACTCGATTCCCGGAGCCGGGGATACCATTGACACCACCTTCTCCTTCCAAGCTCCAGAGGAACCCGGTGCGTACATGATCTGGAGGTTCCACCAGGTTGAGCAGAGCACCTCGCACGACGCCACAGCACATAGACATGTCTTCGCTTTTGTCTCAACAAAGAACTGGCTTTTTTTCTTGATGTTTCTGGTCGCTGTGAGTGTACCAAGGTATCGAGAGTGCAAAGAAAAGTTTTGCATTGTGTGAGGCAGCGGACGATAGTCAATATCCAAAAAGCTTTGCAGGCTGGCTCGTAGTATGTGACGGCCTGAACTAGATTTTGCCGATGGGCCGACCCGAAGGGCGCGCGGCTCATTTTTATATAGACTTATCCTCATCTCCGCGAAGCGGAGCTCTGGACATTCATTCTGAGCAGTGCGGAGCAGGCGATGTGAAGACGCTCCCGGCCTCGTTTAAGATCTTTGGCGCCGATCACGGAAGACCGCTACAAGTCGAAGACACGCGGAGTGGGCGCTGCTGAAACAAACAGGCAGTGCCCGAAGGGCAGCCGAAGCCGGGTGCAATTGTTTGGTTGTGAGAATGTAGAGAACGCCTTCTGTGCGTCTGCTTTCAACATGCACTAGCACTAACGCGAAGATTGAAAAATGGGGCTGTGTGGAACTGCTGTCAGAGTGACTTGAGAACTTTTCGAATGCCAGGTTCCACTTCGGCTGCACCTCTTGAGAGCTGGAGAGCTTTTGAGAAGCGCCGAGCGTTCCGCTCCAGCTCTGCCTTGGGCCGAAGGGGAGTTGACGACCAGTGAGGTGAGTAGTGTGTACAGAGGACATTGTACAGAAAGAAGTTATATATGCCTATCCTAAACACAAGCCGTGTGCGGTGAATGCATGATGCCTTGATGAGGCTTGCATATGTGCAGTCCGTGAAGTGGTTCTTCGGTGTTTTTGCAGATTTTGTTGCTTCAACATTTGGGAGTTCTGTGGGCTTGCTCGCAGATTCAGCGAGCCCTCCCATGGGCCACCTTCCAAAAGGGGAGGAGGCTCAGCAAGAACGAACAAGCCTTGACTAACCACTCAGATCTTGGCGCGAACTCCCTAGAAAGTCAGCAGCAGCAGCAGCAGCAGCAGCAGCAGCAGCAGCAGCAGCAGCAGCAACGACCACGACCACGACAACGACCACGATGACCACGAACACGACCGCGACCGCGACCACGACCACGACCACGACCAGGACGACGACGACCACGACGACGATGACCAAGAAGACGACGACCAAGACCGCGACGACCAAGACCGCGACGACCAAGACCACAACGACCACGACGACGACGACGCCGACGACCACGACGACGACGACGACGACGGCATCAAGCAGCATCGGAGCATCAAGCAACATCAAAATCAATTTCAGCACCAACAATAGAAACTGCTTGGCTTGCTTCCCGCAGCAGGACGTGGGCCCCCATCCCCAATTTTCCGTTCGTTTTCTGCTCTCACCTTTGTGTCACTCAGAATTCCAAGCAATTGCTGGAGCCTCCAAAGGAGCAGCGAGCACGGCAGCCTCCCAAAGGAGAGTTGCGAGCCTTCCAGAGGTGGAGAAAAGCTGAGCCACAGCGTCCACAATGACACGGCACATCTTGGACAGTGACTTGCATGGAGCGTGGGCAGGCGCCGGTCAGATGGCACTCTTTTGTGTGTGTGTGTGCTTGGCCTGGCCGATTGCATCACCTTGAATTGGCCCCGAAGTACTGACCAAACAGATTCCAGAAGGAGCCGCTTGGGTTGCTAAGCGTTGCAAGGCCTACTTCATACTCTTCGTTACTATTCAAGTTACTATTCCGTCTACTCCCAGTGCCATGGCCGATGTTAAGCGGACGTTGGGAGAGGAGTTCGATGCGGGGCACCGAGGAGCATGCTCGCAAATGTAATTCGTACACTAACTCCGCTAACTGCTAGCTGTTGTTTCCTATGCGTTTGCTGTTCTCTAACTTTGTTTCAGAATAGGGCCTGAATAGGGCGTGAGAGACACCACCCTGAGATTGCAGAGGCGCTGAGTTTCACGGCTTAACGTTCTTTTGTTCCCTTCTAGGTGATGCTCTCGGGGGGTTCTGGCAAGTGGCGGCTTGGCGCTTTCACGCCTTGCCCCAAGTGTCCTGATATTTTCTGACGTGATCTCAGGGAGACTTGTGAATGCCAGAGTCCACTGCCGGGAGGTTCAAGGAACACAATGGCCTGCGCATTGCGGCGATCCACAACACAGGAGCGCTGTTTGACTGGAACAAGGCCCATCCCGACAAGCAGGCTGGAAAGCATCTCTTTGCCAGGCCCTTTCCCCCCCCCCCCCCCCCCCCCCCTCCACCCTTTTGCCAAGACGTCGCATCTAGCGAGCAGGTGAAAGCCGGCGATCTGCTTGTGGAGGCCCTGCGCGGAGTTTCATGATTTTGCATTGACGTCAGATGGTCTTGAGAAAAAAGAGTGGCGTTTTCCCAGAAACCATCCAAAGAGGCTTCGGTGAAAGGATGTGAAAGGGCTTCCTTCCCCCAGCTTGGCAGATCGACTCGCAGAAGCCCGAGGGCGGCATGCGGGGCAACGGGAAGGAGTTGTATGAAGAGCTGCTCCGAGCCCGATGCTCTGAGCAGTGGCAGCCGCGTTTGCTGCGATTTCAGAGTGGTAGGAGAGGTTTGGTCACTGGTAGTTGTAGCCTCAGAGTCCTTAGGTGCCTCGTCCGTGCCGGCTCGTGATTGGCGCCGGGCCGATGCACTTGGGATGAGCTTGGGGCCTGAGAGGCCAATGGCCAACAAAGTACCCCAAAGTCGGGAGCTTTGTGGTTGCAATGTGCTAGTTGCAATGTGCTAGAAACGGCTGAGAAGAGGTTTCACTCTCTCCAGGACCTTCCTCAAGGGAATGACTGCCAGAGAAAAGGTTTGCAGCCATGCCGCAAGCCTTCGCACTTCGCGGGATGAAGCTGTGCATGCAAGGCCTGCACACACCCACTCACTTCTCCGTCCGAACAAGGCCCAGGAATAGCTCGAACCTAACTCACGCATCGAAATACGTGCTTTTTGGTCCCAGCCTTCAGCTCCGGTCAGCAGCAAAGCACCTCTCAACGTGCGGTTCATGCAAGGAATGCAAAGGAAGCTCTCAAAGTTGCTTTCCTTTTTAAGCTCTCATGGCACGTGGCTAGCTGTTTTCCGGCGATATGGTGACGGCCTCAGGCTGCACTGGGCCTTCCCAGGGCGCAAGGGTAGCTGCAGCATGAGTGAACTCCCTGCAGCTTGATATGGTTGATGTTCAAGCCCTTAGACCACCGTGGATACTTCCGTGGTCCTTATTTGGAAGCGCAATGAGGATGTTCGAGATGTTGCGAAAGCGCGCGCGGGAACGGTCTCTCTTGTGGTCTGGATTGGCCAACAGGAACTGCGGATGGGATGGCAACATTTCTCAGGCTAAATGGAGATGAACCGATGTGTCAACTCCTTTGGCCAGAAAAACCAAGGAATCTTCCTCAGGAGTTCTACTGCCAATCACAACATCTATTATCACAGGATGTGCTACTGCGAACCCTGAAGCGCAAGACAAAGAAGAGATCTCGGGTCAATAGCTGCTTCGCCACAAAGTAGCAACAGTCGTCATCTTTTAGGCGACCAACTTGAGCCATCGACCAAGCGTGTTGTTGGATGGCCGAATTCATGTCTTAGTTCCAGTGGACCCGGCATATACTCATGCATGACACCACACCGGCAATTACCCGGGTGCCACCACTTTCTCTGCACTGTCAAATGTCTAGTCTCCTTCATTCCCGCCACTACCTGCGTGTCCAAATCAGCACCTACTCCAAGTCCGTGCATTTGACTTTCAGTGGCATGGTGTTTCTTGTGATTGCTTTGCTTTGAAGTTTGACAACTTACCAGAATGCCGCTCTCCCAAGGCTTCCGAAATACCCGTGGCACCATCGAAGATCTCAACGGGAAAACAAGGCTGGAGCGGCTGGAGCACTCAAGCAGCGGATGTTGCGTGCAGAGATCTAGCACGAACACATGCTGGCATCTCACACAGGCCGTGTCGAGCTGCAGCCGCCTTCCCATGCATGGCCATGGGTCCTGGAGAGTCCGGTGTGTTCGGCAGTGTAAGCGCACTGTGCTTTCGTATACTCATGCTCGCACTGGCGGGCATCCGAGGATCTCTTGGTGCATCCTCTTCGCTTACCTCGCTGTTTTTTTTGAGGGCGTGCGGCGACTCAGAAAAGCCCAAGGCCGAAGCTTGCGGCCCCTCAGACACTTGTAGTTCTCCAATATCAGATCAATATCACGAATGTCACGGAGCTGTTTGGAGCTTTCTTCAGTCCAGGTCGCCCTCCTGGTGAACGACCACTACGGCCCCGAAATTTTGCCACGTTGGAGACTTGCGAGTGCCCAAACGGGTGCGCAGCGTCAGCGCAGTCACGCAGCCCTGTCAAGGTGTTAGCGCTGCGCAGTTCCACCTTTGCAGCATCTATGTGCTTGAGGCCGTTGGCATGTTGAGGATGCATGGGTTCAATGAGGGTTTTGTAGAGAGATGCTTCGAGAAGCTTCGGGAATTGAGGTGGCGATAGCCTTGGGCCCCGGCTGGTGTGCGATGTCACCCGGCAAGGCCCTTAACAGTACAGGCCCTGCGTGCCTGTTTGGTATTTGGTATTTCTCAAGTTGTCTATGCATGATGGAAGACATGGCGCTTAGGCTGGACGTCTGGCGAGCTCATTGCGCACCACGTGCCTTACACTTTTACGGCTTCAGACTTAGACGCTGAACGTTCTGACTCAACCAGACATCGAATCAGGCGTGACCTGATATGCGCTGCTCAGGTCATGTTGTGTTTTGCTTTGAACCAGCAGCACAAGTGGACCTTGCCACTCGTGGCCAGGGCCTGCAGTGTCCACTTGAGCGAGAGACTGGAGCGAGAGACAGCGAGACTTCAAGGTCGTTCTTCTCACGCCCTTGAACGAGGGCCTCTTCATCGCCAATAGCCTAGGAGCTCCAGGCACCCAAGAACCGCCAGAACCGAGAGTCGGAGGCAAAAGAGAATGAGATAAACTTGATAAACCATGCAGAACTGTTTCATATGCAGTTTCGACAGTCAAAGCATGGCCAGGATGGGTCGCCAAAGCGCGGTGCTTGGATGATGCCCTCTCCCCCACCCCACAATGAAGCAAGAAAAGGCATGAAAAGCCTTCATAAGCCTTCAACTCAGGTCCGGCGCCTCTACGGATTTTCTGTGATTGCCACGAGTCCCAGAATTCCCCGAGTGCAAGGGCCGTGTGAAGTGATTTGTGCGTATCATGTGAATCATGTGCTCACATGTGCCTAAGTGTCTAAGTGTCTAAGTTCTAAATAATGACATAGTGCTCACATGTGTGAGCGGAGTCGCGCTGAGAGGTTCTTCTGATTGGCAGCGAGATCAGGACTTGGATGAAAGTCGCTTTCTTGGCAGCTTTCGACGTTCTTTGTTTCTTTCTTTCTGAAGGCTGCGCAAGATTATGCAATTTAGAGTTTGCTTGTTATCTGCAGGTTATGCAGCAGCACTGGGCCAGCAGCCTATAGTGCCAGATGCCACATGTGACGAACAATGGCCGAGACTTGGCCCCCCTCTTACTCTCATAGAGGCCGACAGCGCCTTGCTGATGCTGCTGCTCGACCAGTTGGCCGGGGCACATGAAAAAGCAGTTCCTGGCGAGTGTTCCCACAAGTTCCCACACAATGCAGAGCGCCCGCTCCTGTCTCTCGCAGAGAATCGCAGAGAGAAAGTGAGAGGTCTTGCCTGCGATCTACTACCACTTCAAGCTGCTCCGAAGCTGCAGAAAGAGAGGAAAAGAATGGAAAGAGAGAGAGAGAGAGAGAGAGAGCCATACCAACAGACCCGAGACCAGCACGCGCCCCTGGGGGCGGCCTCCCTTCGGGGGGGTCATGCGTGGGGGAGAGAGAGAGAGAGAGAGAGAGAGAGAGCGCGAGGATGAATGTTTTTAGTGCTATTGTGAGCGCAACGAGAATGACTGAATGTTCGTTTGTGCAAATCCGGGAAGGGCATGCCGAGGCTCTGCATGTACGTCAGAAGGTGGAGGAAGACTCGCAGCCTTTAAGGCCGCGCTCAAGTCAAGTTTTAGCTCTCTCCCACACACACGCCACCCTGACATGCTCGCTCGCTCTCTCTGTCTCTCCCTCTCTCTCTCTCTCTCTCTCTCTCTCTCTCCCTCGCTCACTCTCTCTCTCTCTCTCTCGCTCTCTCTTTTTCTTTTCTCCTGACATGTTCGCCTGGCAGGTAGCGAGAGGCCAGCTTGTCTTGGGCTTGAGCATTTGTTGCCCGTGCATGTGTGCATGTGTGTGTGTGTGTGTGTGTGCGCGCGCGCGTGTGTTCTCTCGGGTCAGGCCGATCCAGGGAGCCAGAGAAGCCCCGAGTCAGTAGCGTGCCAGTAGCGTGGCTGAGTCCAAACCGCTCCCAGAATTCCTTTAATGAGGCTGGGCAGTAGTGACTCAATCGCTCAGAAGCCGCTGTTCCGCGGGCCTGACTGAAAAGTCATTCGGCCCACGTATGGCTGTGTATAGAATGCGAACCAACGCAGCTTCACGGGATCTGCCTGAGCTCTGCTGGGCACAAAGGACCTTTGTGAGCTTGTTGGGCACGTGGTGCTCTCGAAGCCTCTGACGATGCAAGAGCCGACAGGCACTGTGCTTCTCTGATTCCGCGGCACTTTGCAGCCCCAAATTAGACACACAAAGCACTGGTGAGCCTACCATACGTCAATACTTGGTGCAGCATAGCTTCTCCTTACACGAGCTCTGAAGAACGTCAGTCAACCTGGTTTCATGCCAGTCGCTGCCGCCGCGGCCTACACTGTCGCAGGTTGTACTCTGAGGTATTCTTTCTGGCCGTACCTGAAATATTAAATATTGCGCCTTCGAAATTCTGAGGTTTCTCTTTGGCAGTGCTGACAATCGCTTCCCTCAAAGCCGAGCAGGCTGGGTCTCGTTGTGGAAACTCAACTTCCATTTTCAGATGTATTCCTGAAGCTGTGACCCGTGCCCAACGGTGCCCAATCTTTTCCGAACTCAGTGACTCTCCTCAGACATCTCAGAAACAGAGTCCCTTCAAACTTTGAACTTCTTTCAGACTCTGAGGCCTTGGCCTCCCTGGCCTCGGCGCAGGCGCGTGCGCCGCGGGCGCGGCAAGGCGAGGGCCGAGCCCCAGTGAGGCGCGGTGGGTGGGGATTCCGGGATACCCCTGACACATTGAGTTAGCGAAGTCCACATAAGAGCAGAAGTATGGATCTTTCCACTAGTTCTCGAACCCTTGAGAAATTTTCTCGTTCATGGCGTGTCGACTGCCCTGCCAGGCCCGTGGCAGCCATGGCGCCGGCAACCACAGCCCACAGAGGCTTGCGGGGAGGTTTGTGGGAGGTTTGGAGTGAGTCCGGGAAGCTTGGAGAGTTTCCGGAGGTGACTCCTTCTGCATCTCTGTAGGATTCTAGGTGGGAATCTGATCCTCTAGGCCTTCGCTTCCCCGTGCTCTTGTTGGACCACGCGCCTTGGCCAAGCTTCAACAGGGAACAAGCAAGGATGCCTCAAGGGGGCAGCGCTGCCTTACACAATGGGGGGGGGGGCCCGACCCTGGTAGGTTAGGCCGAGAAAACCTCAAGCATGGAAAGTCCGGCATTCGAGCGTTTAAAGTTTTAGGGCTTGGGTTAGGACTTGTAAAAGTGTTGTGTGCAGCAGGCTGAGTGCCTTTCGGGTCTGTAGAGAAGGGTCCTTGAATTTGTAAGAGCTACTCTGGCAGTCTGGTGGTGGCTAGTGAAGTTATAGTGCGTGCGCATGAACTGTTCCTGTTTATGCATGAGCTGCTCTTCTTTGCATATTATGAACTGCTCGTGTACTGCAAAAGCAATCAAAGAGCACATAAAGGGGCTGCCTTTAGGATCTAGTTTTGGCTGTGCCTTGAATGCAGGGTCGCAGAAGAGAACCAGGTACAAGCTAACACACCGGCCTCTGAATCGGGTGGCTGGTGAGGGTTGGAACATTCGGATAGAGCTGGAATATCCAACGTATGTCCCAAGTCATGAGGACATGGCAGGACATCATAGAGCAGGGATTGTCAAGTTTCGACGGTGGGATGTGCAATTCACGTGACCGCGTAAGCTTCTGGCCAAGGATGACACGACAGTGAGAGGCACCGAGGAGATGCAGTGGGTTCGTTGAAGAAGAATTCCAATGGCTGCTTTCAAGCGAAGTTATGAGTTATGAGAAATCTGGCTGTTCATTTGGGATGCTATGACAGCGAGGAGGTGCACTATCCGGCTCACGTCACGAGCGTTCAGATACTGCGGCCAGACCTGGTGCCCGTGTCACTCGATGACTGGTTCCGGAAAAACCACGATCCGGGCGTCGCACGCCGAGACTTTTTGGGACTCAGATTTCTGGGAAGTTGCAGAGCAAGGTTGGAACAGAGTAGAAGAGGAGCAGAGTGATAAAGAGTGCTCTTTTCGTGCTTTGTTTTCCTAAGGTTTCGACCTACCTAAAGATGTTGTTCACGCCGGAGCAGATGGTCCAAGAGCATGACATCTGGGAGAAAGCCATGGAGCAGAAGCTGCCAGCTTTTTACGAAGGCCTGCAACTCATGCAATGAAGCTTTGGGGGTGAGATGGGGTGAGAGTGGCTCACACACGTACACCCCATCAGGCATGGCAGAGCAGCCTCGCTGCGATTCAGCAATTCAGGGACAGCGTGTGGCAAACAAGTTGCGGGCCGTCTCTTTGCGCCAAAAGGGATTTTGAGTTGGTTTGAGCCAAGGTTGCTGAAGGAGTACCGAGAGCGGGGTGGTCGCACCTTCACTGTATTGATGTCATGGTATTGATGCTGCAGCGAGCGTTTCTGGATCTTACCGAACACACTCCACGCTTTAGAAGCTGTTGCAAGGGATGTGAATGATGTGACTGAGGTGTGGCTGTCGTGTCCCACAGTCCGGCCCACGTGATCCAACGCCACTATGAAGCCCATTCCTGGGCCGAGCAGATTCGCCCTGACCTGATCCTGGGATGGGACCAGGACCCAGCCAAACGCAAGCCTTCACCATGGCCAGCTCTGCATGCGTTCCTTGGTTTTTCATGTATTTCATGGCTTGCCTTACTGCCTTACTTTTTCTGGAATCCTCACTAAGCCCACCAAACTTCACCAAACTCCGCGGTCTAGCGGTTCCATCGGCTTCCTCTAATTCGACAGGAGCAACAAGGTAAGTTGCACGAGAAGCCGCATAAGCCACCTGGGCTGGGGATTCGGGCCTTGCCTGATTTAGGAGTCGCGAAGACCCAGCTCAAAAGGCCTTTGACACCCGGGAATACTGCAAGCAAGGGCAAGTCCTTACGACGTCGCGATTGTTTGGGTGGGACTCGCGCTGGAGGTTGCAGCACTTCGGCGTCCAAGCTTCTGATGTGCTGGTACTGGACGACCTCTCACCTGGAGCCCCCCGATCCAAATTCTATGCTGATCGATGCTGAATGCCATTGAATGCCTCTGCCTCATCTTGCCTTCTCAGACCAAATTTTGGCTGTGTTTGGCTCCAGGTGAAAATGGCCAAAGCAGGAACCTCAGGCATTCCCTTCAGCCCCCTCCTGCGATGACCTGTTGCTTATAGCATCGATCTCAGTGGCCATGCGTAGTAGTCTTGCAGAGTGTGAGCCAGGACCCATCAGCATGCCTCTTCAGTGGAAAATTCGAGGTAGACAAACATGCTCGTAGGTGTTCAGCTGCACATTCGGTTGAGTGTGCCCACGAAATCTCATGTTCGTGAAGTCAGGATCTTGGCACAAAAACCTTTTATGTGAAGTCTTCAGTCTTCGCTCGGCCATGAGGCTGCCGGAATTACCACTGCCGCCGCTGGCTGGGGGCATTCGGTGCAGCCTATCCAGGTACCATCCCAAATTGGGCCCCAATGGTTCTGGAGATTTACGCTTTACTGACAAGATATTGAGGTAGCCTCCAAGTTCTGCTTCCGAAATGCCCAGGACTACATGCGGCGAGAGTGCGCTCATTACTTCGAAACGGTGCAGGCACGAATTCAATGGAAATTCATGGTCAAGATGTGCCCACATGCCGGACGCCCCGTGCAGGACTTTGCCAACTTCCTTCTGCAAACTCGGGACTCTGCACTCTGAGTGAAAAAAGCAGGCGGTGTCTCGACAAGAGCATGCACGCTAAGTTTAACAAATTTCTGCATTTTATCTTGCGATGGCCTTGCTCTTGGAATGATGTTTGGCCACTCAAGCTCCAACTAGAGTACCAACAGCGCTCCTGAGTTGGAGCGCAAACTGCCAAATCTGCAAGAATTCTGCAAGGGGTAGTTCATGTACGAACACATGGGCAACGAAGCGAGTGTAACTTGAACAGCGTACTGAAGGATGCATCACACGAATGCCTCAACGCTTCCAAAACACATGGGAAGAAGCAGCTAACTCAGCGCTTCACCAGCCTAAGCCCCCAAAAGACAGGTGAGATCAAAGAGCAACTAAAGATACACGACATACAGTTGTTTTCGGCATTGTGCCCCCTTTCGCTGAAACATTTTGTGACAGCATTGTTCGACGGCATGGGCAAGCCCGGCATGTTGCATTGTGACACTCGCCCTGGGGAATGCTTCATCACATTGCCGATTGTGACCCTGTGGCCGTGGCATGGCTGGGACTCAAATTGCGATTGCTTTGTTGCTGCCACGGCAGGCTCCAACTGCGTAGCCTCAACATCAATAGGCTGCCTTTTCTGCTGCAAGGCCCGGCTTGCAGGTTGATGGGGTTTGCAGTCATTCCGCAGTCGTTCCGCAGTTCGTTGCAATGCAGGGCTGTGATGCTGAGAAAGTCAGGCACGGGCATCCTGTTGTCTCAGCGCTCTTTAGCTGTTACTGTAATGCTCTGTAGACGGAGCTTCGTTCCATGCCTGGCAGGAATGCATTCACATTCATTCCGCCACAGCCTTCTTATGCTGTGGACGCGGAGGCTGGTGGCCGTCTTCCCCGGTTTTACCGCTGCACAACTCATGAGACTCATGTCCTGGGTCCTTCACACGTATATTGAAGCAGGGACACAAGCTGACTCAGCCGGCAAGGTCCAAAATCTTGCAATCTTATGCCAGCACCGAATCGAAGGATGTCGAGCAGAGCGAAGACACGGAGATACCCCACAAGATGTCATACCTGATGGAGGCACTGACCATCACTGACTCGGTGGCATGCATGAGTCGCTTTGCTGCAGGGCCTCGAAGGTTCCGAGCTTTACCGACGAGCAGCGCAGGCAACGCACACGATTACGTTATGTTACGTTATGTTACTTTCAATCTGTTCGTCCGAATGTGTTTTCTCATTTCCTGTAGAGGCCTCCGATGTGCATTTCTTGACCACAAGGCCGAAGAGTCCCCCCGAAGTATCTTTTCCGTGTCCTTTCTTCCAGTTCTTGCTGTGTTCGCCCTTCCGCCAGAGGAATGGGAACCAGATTCCGATGGTCTGGCTGCGGCGCGAGAAAGTCAGTCCAGCCAGGGAGGCGCGAGCATAGTTTGCGATGTGTGGCAGGGGGCGACTGGTAGGTGAAACAAGCGTACTGCAGCTTGCCAAGAGAGATGCTCTGCGCGAGGCCACTGCAGAGGCCAGCCGAGTTCGACTCCGAAATCTGCATAAACTTGTCTTGAGCTCTTGAGCCTTATAGAGTCTTGTGCCTGTCCAATGCCCCTCTAACCGACTTTGCTTTTCACTGCTTTGCTGCCAGGCATCTGCCGAGCTCCTTTCTCGGCTGGTTTTTTGTTGAGCATTTGCATTCATTTGCAATGACCACCGCCGGGCCATCGTTCAGTCCGTCCCCGCTTAAAATCAGCGATTCACACTTGCACTGAGGCCGCCCATCGTTGGGGCCCTGGTGAACGTTTCTCTCTGGGATACTCTTCCCTTGCTGCCATTTTGCTGCCTCGCCGTTGTTTTCGTGAGGTGCTCCTCCACTGCCATGGCAACGCCACCGACATCGGGACTCTGCTTGGCCATCACATGAGTGACAGAGAGAGAAGATCACATGATTTTGCTTGGGGTTGCGATAATATCGTATATAGAGAATCTTAACCTTCCCGAACTACTTTTCGCAGTGTCACGCACGCCAGGCGCGTGGGGGCGGGGGGGGGGGGGGGGGGGATGTGGGGCTGGGGATGCCTCCACTCCCTCACGCCCACAGAAGAAGAGGAGAGAGGAGTCCCTGCTGATAGGTCGTTTCGCTGCGTAGGAATTGAGAAGAGAGAGATGCCTCAAGACGGGCACAATGGCCGGCCGAGAACCCTTGCATCTCTCGCGCTCTTCTTTTTGTTCTCTCGCTCTGTCTGTCTCTGTCGCTCTCCCTGTCTCTCTCTCTCTCTCTCTCTCTGTGGGAGGGTCCCTTAAGCGAGCAGAAGAAGAAGAAGAAGAAGAAGAAGAAGAAGAAGAAGAAGAAAAGAGAGTCACCGCTGAGACATGCTGAGACTTTTCGAGCCCGAACCAGGATGATGATGGGCCCCTACTACGAGCTGGCAAAGGTCCTTGGAGTGGAGGCTCACCCATATTGCACTCAATGAGCTCCTGGAGTTGAAGAACTTATGCCGGTTAAGAAGTTTCTCCACAATTAGAACAACCAGGTGTCGCGGTATAGCCATGGGACTCTGGGGGCACTGTGATCTGCAGCCATCTGCTTCGACGGGCCCTGTAGCTCATCCCCTTTTTGGTGTTGGCGGGTCCACTAAGGGCCTGCGCGTGGAATGCAGGGATACACGATAGCAAAGTGAGCGGGCACGCTGTTGAAATTCTGAAAATCAATACCTTCAATATCTTCGGATGTCCTTTTGCTACGGATTGGATTGGGGGATGGACATGGCACGGCGACCAGTCCTGTTTGTCCGAAGGCGCATAGAATTCGCAAGCGGAGAACCCAACATCGTGGAGCGTGTCACCGTTCGCAGAATCTGCCTCAACCGTGCCAAGGTCTCCCAGGCCCATATCCTTTGCAAACCCTAACCAAATTCCCTACCTTCAAACCGTTACACCCATCAACCATTACCTTTTGTATCGGGCCAGACAGAGATCTCATACTGAAACACAGAGCCGCAACCTACCGCAGTTGCATCCGACTAATGGGCCTTTCAACGATAGCGTTTGCGCAAGACCAGGCCAAGCAATTTGCCAAAATAGCGCCGAGCCATGAGAAGCGTTGGAGAAGCTGTTAGAAAAGCCTGGCGTGCATACGGCATGTTGCAGGGACAAATTGAGGCTCCGAATTCCCAAAGCACCAGGTCTGTGGTGTGGAGTACAGCGGCTACGGTGCATCCTCCGGGAGGAGCGATCGAAGCCGTGGTAGTGACGGCCAGTGAGTGATTGGTAGTGCTGCTCACACGTGACTGTTATGTCGTATTGCGTTGTTCGCATCGCCATTCCCTGCATTCATGTGAGGCCCAGCTCTGGTAACAGCTACGCCGACGTGGAAGCTGCCTACGACTACCTGATAGAGAGGGGCATCTCACCCAAAAGGACACAAATAGAAGCAATATGAAGCAAACGTGAGTCACTGAAGTTTGTTGCGAACATGGCCAAATGACAACGAGACAGGATTGTCGCTTATGGGCAAAGCGTGGGCAGTGGCCCAGCCACATCCTTGGCCTCAAAGAAGACCTTGGGCGGCTGCATCCTCCATTCGTCGCGGCCCTAGGGTCCAGAGACTGTAAGAGCTGTTGAGATCTGAGAAGACAGAGGCGGAAAAGGATCGGGTCACGCCTTCACACCTGGAAAGCTCTCTTGGACCCGTTGCCCCCCGTTCGTTGCAGTTTTGCAAGGGGGACAGGCCTTTCCGTGACATGAAGTGAGAGGCCTTTTGAGGCCGCTTGGCACTGGTTGAAGCTAATACTGTAACACAATTAATTCCTGAGGCCATGCCTTCGCTCAGTGTATTTGTCCCTATACGCACACCGAATGGAGTTGAGCAAGCGACCCAAATGTCGTGCCAAATCTTGAGGCCCCTTCTCTCCGGCATCAAGGCCCTTCGGGGGAAAGATTGGCCCGGTTTGCTGGGCCTTGGGAGACTTCCTGGTGCCACCATCTGTTTATTCATGTATTGTATTATTATTCTGTTTTTTTTTTTTTTTTGGGGGGGGGGGGGGGCTGTTGAACCCTGCAAAACAGTTGAACCCTGCAACACACAAGGTGGTGGATCCCAAGCCGGATGCATGCTGTCGCCCTTCGTGTGTTTGGAGCTGCTTTGACTTCTATCCCAATGACAGGCCCCTGAGTCGGCAGTCAAGAGGGGGAATCAGTGGCATGAACGTCTTGCGCGTGGCGTCTTGGTGTCTGGGTTTGGCTCAGCTTTAATTGGCTAGGCGTGTTCGGCAACTTCTGTGCCCACTCTTCGTGATGCACGGCCAGCGCGACGACATCATCCCGTTCTACCACGGCCTTCGATTACACAAGGCCACTTTGGGGGGCTCGCGTCTGGTGAGGGGGCTGTTGCGATGCTTCGCTGTTTCGAGGCCTGTCCCAAGCAGCACCGCTGGCCAGCCTATTTCCCAACCCGTGCAGGCAAAGAGAGAAAGAGAGAGCGAGAGAGCTCCCTCACGCCCGAGAGGGCGACCTCCCCTTGGGGGGGTTGAGTGCGGAGGAAGGAAGGAAGAGCGAGGGAGCGAGGGAGAGACGAGAAGAGAAGGCAGAAGACATAAAAAGGAGGTTGGAAGAAGCAACTGAAGCAACTTTCAGCATCGCAGCATTGTGCTTTTCCACACACAGAGAACGCAGGCCACAACGATTTGGTGGAGACAGACATGCGAGCCTACTTCGGCGAGGCCCAGGGCATCGATGTCCGATAAATCTATGGGCATCCCTTTCTGTGTCTAATACTCCCCATTGTTCTTTGTTAGAGGTCTCCAGCTTCCTGCAAGATGTTCGACGGATCGCCTCCGGCCAGAAGGCACAGCGAAGCGTGGGGGCGAGGGCGACACAGTGTGAACAGAGCTTGTCAAGCTGGGCAGGTCGAGCCACCTTTCGAGAAGCCTCCACAGGCGAAGTCCAACAGCATTTGCGTAGCCACTCAGCCAACTTAGCCCTTCTCCTATGCTCCTTGTGGTGCTCAGGTGGAAATGTCCGATGCCTCCGTTCCTCAGGGTGCGCCGGAATCGGGAGAGGATCCAAGTGCCTCTGCCACCGCACGCTCTGCACGTGCCACTGCTCAGGCAATGGCGGCAACGGGTCCCACGAAGCCGTGAAAGTTGGCCCAGAGGCACTGAAAAGGGCTGTGAGCGGCTGTGAGTCAACAGTTCAACATCTCAATCGACATGAAAGAAACAAGAAGGTCAGTCGTGTCTTGGACGAGTGATAAGTGGATAGCCTGGATAGCTGAATCTTCATGCCTCAACGTGCTTGCCTTCCGGACGGCCTTTGATGTTGGCCTGCAGGACGGACGATATCATCAGATGCGCCAGGGCAATGTTCTGGTGCCCGGCTCTTAGAAAAACCTGGACACGAGCCGATAGTTTGCTTCCGGTACAGGAGTCCTAAAGGAATCATGGAATTTAACCCGTACTGTCGGTCAGGCCTGGCCGACGGGAGGCCGCCCATCTCGCAGCCCAAGCCTTCTTAGAAAGTTCTTCGTACTTCTCTTGCTTCTTCCAAATCTGACAGGTGGCGACAAGCAACCGTTGTTCACTGCATGTCTTCATGATACTTCATGGCAAGACAAGCCAGACACCACAACAACAGGCAAGCGATTTTTGTTAACTTCGGGTTCCCTTACGGAGTTTGAGCTTCCCTTGCCTTTGCCAGAATGCTTCCGCAGTACGGGGAGCAGGCAGTTTCGGGTTTGGGCTTCTGCGCTCCGTTGTTCAGGGACTTGCCAGGACCTGCCAGCACCTCACCCGCGAAAGCGCACGATGCACGAAACAGAGTGGTGCTTGGAAGTCTTGGAAGGGTGGACTGTTAGGCAGCAAGAAGTCCTCATTTCGCCATCCTGTGTCTCAGCCAGGCTGAAGGACAAGCAAGAGAAGTGGCGCAGCAGTGAGACGTTCACAACCCCGACCTTGCATATGCAAAGCCGCTTCAATTCTTTGAGCATCACATCCTCCACTGCACCAACGTTTCACCACAAAGTTGGATGGATTCTCGATCCAGCAACAATGACTGTGTTTGCTGCGTTTCTTCGCACTCTGGTTTTGAAGCTTCTTCTTTCCACTCTGTAGATCATATACAGTACTCATCCAGGCTGACACCTCCATACTGAGTACTTGATGTACTTGCGAGATGTTTGCACGAGCAAGAAGCCATGTCAGTTGATAGCTTATGTGGTTCTATGGCTGGCTCACGAGCACCGCTCATGTGTGTTGATAGCATGGCTTATCCCAGCAGTGCGCAGGCAGGTGAACCTCAGTGGACCTTAGTCATTCCACTACATGGCATATGGAAGCATGAAAACGAGATACTGGTTCTAGTCGTCAATGCTTTCACTAAGCAAAGTCTTCCAACTCCCAGTGCCACCGGGTTCATGCGGGCCTACCTGTTGTTTGGGATGCACCGAAACCACCCGCTAGAAACCGCTGATCTCAATCCAACAAAGTTTGCTCCCATGGCCAATGCCCACGCTCTTCACGTTCGGCGGGGCCTTCTTTGGGAGTTTGCAGACACGCGTACATGAGTTGCGCTTGTTCCCACTTCAGGCTGTGGCCCCCACGGCGAGCTGGGCCACGCCGCTTTCCCAGTTTTGCGCATGAGTACAAAGTGATGCAGCGAGCTGGTGGCCGATTTTGAGCGACATTTCTGAGAGCCAACGAGGCGCGGCCCCCCGACAGCTGCAAGCACCCGGAGGCTCTCAACAATCTCGCTCGGACTGTTCCTTGCCCCAAGACTTTCTTCCAGGCTACTGCAGTGACCTTCCCGTTGCCCGTGTCCATCGAGGTGGCTCGGTTGGGGCGGGAAGCAAGCGAAAAGCAAAGCGAAAAGCAAAGCGAAAAGCAAGCGGGGTCGGAAAAGGCTGTGGCTCTTGGCACAGACCACTCGCGTGGATCTCGGCAACTGGTGGCTGCATCGCGCCTCATCATCTTTCTTTCAGTCGTCCCTTTTTGAGTCTGTTTTCTTCCTTGCCAACATCTTGTGGAGTAAAGGGCAGCTCTGAATATCCATGGGTGCAGCTCCAAGGTTGGCAGTGGCCGGCGGCCAGATCTTCCGCTGGGGCCTCCTCGGTGCACGCGGCGAGCTTCAAGAGGGGGTGTTTGTTTTTTTTGAAAGAAAACACAGCGAAGCCGTACTGCATAGGGGGTTAGGATTTACGACACACCCTAGCCAAGCGTTGCCAGGAGCTCTCACCTCCATGCAGGCGAATGACCAGCCTGCAATACCTACACTGCCAACCTTTCGCCTGACCCCGAAAATCTAACTCATGCGAGGGATGAACGCCTAAGCCTACCCAATCCATGGTGGTGCGACAGCATGGGAGCAATGCGAGCCCCCGGCCCCGCCGACTCCCATGGACTTTCAGCCCACATAAGGTGCATCGCGAGAAGACAGCACCAGGAAAGTGTTGCCAGCTATGCTGGGGATGGAGCTGCGAAAGATGAGCTAAAAACTCAGCGCCCGTGGCGACCCGAGGGCCAAAGGTTTTGGGGCGTCGTGGTGCTTGGAGAAGCAGCTTGGCTCTAGTGGTGAGAAAGCGAAGCACTTTCCAACAACGGTCATCACTAGTACGAAAAATGTCACCCCAAGTTCGAAGGTTATGCCTAGCATCTAACCACTTACTTACCTTGCCAGCCGTCCTATCGGCGTGCTCATTGGCGGTGTACGCCCACCGCAGGTCAGAGCCGAACTCTAACTCAAAACTCTGGCTGGGAGGGGGTGTTTGTGTATGTGCTTGCTTTTTTTGCTTGAAAGGCTCTGGAGGGCGAAGGTTTTTTGGAAGTCTCCCTCCGAGTTCTTTGGGGCCCCCTTTGAAGTCCAGGTGCCCATGCCGTGCCACGCTCCTGGCGAGGCGGCCGCTGGGAGAGCCCTGGAGCATCAGGCCCGGAGGCCGGAGGCCCACAAGCCATAAATTTGCAACAAATCAGTCTTGATTCGAGTGCGTTGAATGCGCTTCTTGAAGTTTGGCTTCGAAATTGTTAAATCCACTCAAGAGATTGGAGTGCGAGGTCGTGCCCCGGCCCGCGGTGCTGGCCGATCTTGGAGGCCCCTTTCTCAGCTCCAAAGCCTTCCACGAGCCTGAACTGATTCAACCTTTAGAAGCAAGCCTCAGCCTCAAGCGTTACTAGCACTACTTTTGGACACACCTCCATTTGTCCCTGCAAAGGTCGCGGGCGCAGTCCTTCACCGAAGAAGTCGCCCAAAAGCGTGAAGGACAAAGGGGGCTGGATCCCATGACTCCACTTCACTTAAGTGGCCAGTTTTGCGTTTAAGGGGGCCGGTACAGGGTCAAGCACTTCTTCAGCTGCAGTGCGAGCTGATGTCGATTATTCGTCTCACCCCCAAGGTGAAAGCTCGCCGGTTATGGATTTCGCTTCCTGCCACTCGACATTACTGACTCTTACTGACTGCAGAGCACTGTCTAACCGACTCCGTTGTTCCTCACATTTGTCGGATCTTCATTCTTGCGGTTCCCCAAGATGTACCATCACAAACATTCACATTCTCTTGAGTTTTACACACGTCTGCAAAATGCCCCACTGCTATGGGGCGTGCTCTTACCCCGAAGGGGTTTGTAGAAAGGAAAGGATTCCCTAATGAAGGAGCTTCAAAGGGAAACACCAATGGCTTAGTGCAGTGAAGCTCACGCCACTGAAGTTGCGGCACAATCCATCTTGGCTCAGCTCAGCAAAGATCACACTTCGGAGCTGCGAGGCTCTGGCGGTGTGATGTGCCTGGAATTCACCGTCATCTCGATGAACAACGTCTCCCAAAACTCAATCCATTGACCACGGGTCGCGAGCAGGAAAGGCAGCAAAGTCTCAGCTGGATCCCCAACAAACAAGCAAAGTAACTCAGCACAATGCTACAACTTCCTCAACACGTGCAACGGCAACGTCAATCACCCTTGTAGACAACAACGAAAGCCAAACAACTTGAATCGTACTTGGCTCCTGGATTCACAACAGTAGGTTCACACAAGATGTCGTCAGGACTGCCCACAGTGGGAAGATCGCCTGCGAAGCTGTATAGTTCTGCGCGAATTGGACAAAAAATCAGATCCCTGGGCCCAGGTGGTAGTGGAAGCATTGTTCGACCAGAAGGTGTCTGAAACGGCTTCAATGGAGAAAGCAACATTCACCGGCCAGCGTTGGAGAATTACCTCCCTTCTGACGATGACATTGTTGAAGCGGCTTTTGCGGCAAAACTTCAAGGTTCCAATGAGAAGAGACCAGACAAAGCGCAAATGTTCCGTCAGCCAACGGTTGAAGAATGGAACGGATACCACCAGATTCTACGCTACGCACATTGCTACCTGAAGAACCGATAGAAACATGGAAAGATTTGTCGTCATACATTGAACAGGCTGCTAGTGTATCTTTGATAGTAGTCAACCAAGAAGCATCAAAACGTCTACATCTCAAGAGCCACCTCGAATGAAATACAGGACAGGCAAAAGGCACACGAACAAGGAAACTAGCAGGAGGTTGTCGAATCAAACCGATCTATCGCAAGCCGACAAAGACAGATAGACCGCGATCTTGACTGGGTTACATGAATTAAAAGGTCAAAGATAAGCATGCGAAGAGTACGTGGGCACAGAAAGATGACCCCAGAAGAGATGATTGCTGCTGGGCTGCTAGCGTATTATCACTTCACAAAATTGGTGACACAGATCAACAGGTCGATACACCAAAGGTGACACAGATCAACCTGAAACTACAGACCACTTCACCCGTAAAGTCATCTATGCTTTTGTTTCGGAACAGGCCAAAAGCTGTTCTTGAAGGGTGATCTCTGGGCGTCATCAGGTGGTAATTCGGCGCATGGGGAGGCATCATTCGAGTGCTATGAATGCATCAAGGGTGGGCATATTGTAAACGCACGACTTGAGGCTGCTCAGTCGCCGACGATGAATCACGATACTGGCCGAATCTGGCCGAGAGACACACATGGCACTGCCCTGCGGGTCGACGTTCGCCGTACTCGAAATGTCTTTGATGCATTCAGCTGGCTAAGCTGAGACCAGGTGCCATTTGTTGATTTGTCATGTTCACTTCTGAACACGAAGTGCCGACACGCATGCACATCCGATCGAAGAGACCGCCAAGACTCGAGTTTCCGTGAGCCACGGAAGGAACTCATGCAGCTCTGATAAGTTAGATCGCCTATTCCATTTTGCTGCAATTTTAAAGGCTGTGACAATGCCCACAC